TGGGCTGAAAATATAATGGTTGTGACTAGGACTGCGAACTTTTAATGCGAGACTTTGGCTATATATCTTATTTCAGCGTGTTCTTTCCAAGCATCTGTAAAACTTGAGATATATTCATGCGCCTAGACGAGAGCTTCAGATGTCTTCGATTATTAAACCTGCGTTTCGAAAATGACCCTCGGCACTTGATACTCTGGATCCAACCACATCAACACACCACTCGAGGAAGGCATCAAATCCTTGGCTTAGGTTCACTTCATACTCATTCCACTTTCGTTTAATAAACTGCTTTAGCTCAGAGAAGAACTCCTCGATAGGGTTCAAATCCGGTGAATAGGGTGGAAGATATATTAGCTTAACGCCGGCATCTGTGCACATCTGCTCAATTCTCATTGTACGATGAAATGAAGCATTATCCATGATGAGAACAGACTTTGGCTCCGGCCATCGGTTGCAGTGTTGAAGAAGTTGTTCAATGAAATCCTCAAAAATATCAGCATCGGTAGAGCCTTTGAAAACTCGTCGCAGGACTATCCCATCCTGAGCATACGCAGGTAGTATTTGATACCGTTTATCCCGTTGAAACTTGGAAGTCTGGACTGGTGTAACACCCAGAGGAGCCCAGCCTGTTCGTCGGAATCCCGCCCTTTTATCACAACCTGACTCGTCCACGAAGACCAAATGGTATCACCGAAAGGTTGATATGTGTGGAGGTAAAAGTCTCGTAGGTCTGCATTCCGTTCCTTTGCAATTTGTCGGGCAGCTTTCTTGGACCACCCCACTGAAGCAAGCGCCCGGCTGATGCTTTGGATCGTCACATGCTTTCCAAACTCGTCCCAGAGAAAGAGGGCCATCTCGTCTTGATATAAGGTCGGCTTCTCCAGTAAGTGGTCGCAAAGGGCTTCCATCATACGTGGAGTGATACTTCGCGGGCGACCAACGCCATTTCGAGGGGCCCTCACGTTTCTCAAAACTTGCAGGTTAGAGCGAATGTGAATTATTGATTGTTTGCTACAGTCTGCGATGTGGGCCATCTGAGAAGTCGTTAGCGACTTGCTTTGGATCATATGATGAATTAGCTCTAGCTGCGGCGGTTTCAGATTCGGTGCCATTTTGCTTAGTGTGATGTGAGGCGGTCATTGTTTGTGCTACGTGGACACTCGGCGCGTAATTAGGCAGTCCCTAACGGACCGACATTAACCCGAGGTAAATGACATCATATCGAGGCTGCTAACCATCGCAACCTAGCATAGTTTCAGACCGGCTCGGGCCGACACTCTTCCGATGGCAGCACCAGAAGCCATGTCACTGCGGATGGAGATCCACAAAATCCCTGAGGCATAACGCGAATATAGGGCGACCTTCGAGGTATTCACTGCGTTCCTTTAATTGAGATATAGAGATATACAGAAAGTCAGCTCTGTGCTATTGAAATAGAAAGGAAGGTACGGTGCTATCGACTACAAGAATGCCATAAATAGCAGTTGCCATCACATGACGGCGGGGCTAGGCTGACACGCAGACACGCGGGGTCCAGCTGAGCATAGTTCGAAATTTCGACACATCAGTGGGCCAATCTTCGTGATTTCTCGAATCACGCTGAGCTACACGCCCACAGGCAAGCTAACATCCTGTCACTTAAGGACTGGTAACTCCGCATGTTTCTCCTGAGGGCGAACAGATCCTAAGTTCTTGATTTATGGACCCAACGATCTCGTTTGGCGGTCCCAATTACGGATCAGAGATAGGCATTAACTACGGATCCATCAGGAACGAGTTCCGTCTTCCTCTAGGTAACTAAAAGAATGTTTGATAAGTGTCGTCGACCGTGCTAATCTTTGTGCAGATCTTAATCAACTATTGCCTATCGTGCCTAGAGCTGCATTCGACTCATATACAGATCAACATATAGATAAATGTCTTCCAGGAACACGGACCGAGATCATCGATCAAATCAGAGAATGGGCCTCGTCACCACACGGGAAATACATATTCTGGTTGAATGGGCTAGCTGGGACAGGAAAATCGACTATCTCCAGAAGCATGGCGGAGATCTTCAGCCAGTCTAAGTCACTGGGAGCAAGCTTTTTCTTTGAGAGAGGTGAAGCAGACCGAGGGAATGCCAGAAAGCTTTTTTCAACAATCGCAGGGCAACTAGCGATTAGTATTCGCCAATTGAAGCCATTCCTCGAGGAAACTGTCCATGGTAACCCGGACATCGCAGAAAAGACAATAAAAGAGCAATTCAAAAAACTCATCCTTCAGCCACTACAATGCCTCGAGCTATCCAATTTCCCTATACAAACTATAGTGATAGTGATTAACGCACTGGACGAATGTGAGGGAGATGGTGACATTCGGCTTATACTGCAACTTCTCCCACAGCTACAATATGTGACTGGGTTTCGTGTGCGAGTACTTTTGACAAGCAGACCTGATCTACCGGTCCGTCTAGGATTTTCGAAAATTGCAAACGATGACCATAAGGATCTTGTTCTCCACGACATCCCTTTAGAGGCGATCGAGCATGACATATCACTGTTCTTTGATCATCGGCTAGCAGAGATTAGAACAGAACGCTTCCTACCTGCAGACTGGCCTAGTGACAGAGATTTTCAACGGCTAGTAGAATTATCCGTTCCATTATTTATTTTCGCTGCCACTATCTGTCGAATATTTGCGGAACCTCATTGGGATCCTAGGGACAGCCTTACCGAAATTTTTACACGTCAAAACGATCATTATAAGCTCGACGGGACATATCTTCCAGTTCTGGATCGTCTTATCAACAGACAAAACGGGAAACAAAAAGAAAAACTCATTTCGGAGTTCCAGCAAGTAATTGGTGCCATCGTGACACTAGAGAGTCCACTCTCAGTTGCCTCACTTTCAAAACTTCTAGGCATCCCGGAGAGGCTTATTCACCTTCGACTAAACCCACTACACTCGGTATTAAGAGTGCCAGATAATGGAACAACGCCCGTGCGGCTCTTCTACCTGTCATTTCGGGACTTTCTTCTTGATCCAGAAACGCGCAAAAAAACTCCCTTTGCGATAAATGAGACAGAGATGCATCATTGCTTAACCATACAATGTCTCTTTACTTGTCAAAAACTGCGGAAAAATATCTGTGGACTACCAAGTGATGGGACTCAACGTGGAGAGGTTGATCAACCAACTATTGATCGCTACCTTCCTCAGGAGTTGCAGTACGCTTGTAGATACTGGGCACATCATATGATGCAATGCACAGATCTAACTAATATGATGGTACAAGATGCTCTTCTGTTTCTGCAAAGGCATTTTTTACACTGGGTGGAAGCGATGACCCTACTGGGCCTCATATCGGAAGTGTTATTAATTCTTAATCGCCTCCTGACAGCAACACTGGTAAGTTTCCTAGACAGTCATACATTATTCTCACTGATAGACCTAGTGCCTTCGTCTTTCTCTTATAATGCGCACGCCTAAAGATAACTTTAGCAGAGATGACGAGATAATGATGACCTATAGGCTTTCTTTGGTTCATATTTGACAATTAACTCGTCTAGATCTATGGCAACTACTACCAAGTGGGTCGGAAAGCGGCGCGACTACCGGGGTTGCTTGGAACACCTTGATCTTGCGAAGTGGTGACGTATCAGAGGCAGTCCCGAACTACGAACAGGTGTTCTATGGGAATTGCTTTGTTATTTCCCAATAGGTTGAGGTGCGATAACTTGACTGCAGAAAGTAGACGCCATCAAATTCAAGTCTAGGCAGTAAATTGAGTCCGCTGAGTATATCATGAATTAGGTGAGGTAAGCGGCGGGGTAAAGGTTACAATTTGCCATTATAACACTGTGGGGGCCAAGGTTCGGGACAGTTTGGTTAACCTTAGTTTTCGACCCTTCAGCCTGCGAACATACGTTCTTTTTGGCTGTTCGTGCTCTAATTTAGTTCGCATCGTTCTAGACCGCATCGCTTATCTATTGAGCTCAGCTGACCACAGGCTATGATCTCAATATACATAATTTACTGTCCATACAAACATCATGATTGCATGCCTAACGCCCGATCCAGCCTAGAATCTGCAGCATAGTGGTATTAATCGCCAAATTATTCCATCGACTCTATATCAGAAAAATTGAAACCGGTTAATTCTGTGCCAGTTTTTCCCTTTATAGAAGTGATTTACTCATAGCACCTGATATAGCGCAGCCTAGGCGCACACAGAGACCTTTTGCGTTCCCGGAAACCTACATTGGTCTTCTGATTTGAATACCTCCTACCGAAGATGGAATTCAGGTATATCGGCGAAATCTGGGAATCACTCAAACTTGAGTAGAGGGGGAGCTGCGTATTGAAAATGGTCAGTGGACTCAACGTTGTGAAGTCTAGAACAACCTCTTCGACCCGTAAGAAATTAGTCGTTAAATCTCTAAGCCTTATTCCTGCAAACATCTTAACATATTGAGTTCTACCCCACCCGGCAACCATGGAGGACTAGGGCGGTGCTGACGCTTTCCTGGAAGTTACATTGCCGCAGGCCGTCGTTTTCTTCGTCTGCTCAGAATGAATTTTGCCGACACTTGTAGGCTACCTTAAGAGCCAACGTATGTTTTTATGTATTGTCCGTCGTGGTCCTCCCCAAACCAATAACAACATCAATACTAGTAAGCGAACTAGAGACTCGCTCGTTTCTTATATTTGAATATTTTCTGGGTTGGGAGGCGCAACTTTGCAGGAGTCAAGGCTACTGGCAGACACCCACGAACTGCGTCACAACCAACAACGGTTTATTTAACAAGAGATAAACCAGAGCGACAAAAGATCTGCAGGAAGCCGATCGAGGCATGACAAGCAGTCACCAGACACACGGGAGTGATGGCTTGCCTCGAGCAAGCTATTGGGGAAGCTCGACAGGCTGTCAACTCTACTCTGCTAGACGATTTTAACCGGGCAAGTTTGTTGCTAAATTAGGACTTTGTCTTAGCGACCGGTACTCCCAGACTGGAAAAATGACAGACCTCGAGGAAGCTATTTCCGTCGCACGACAAGCCGTCGATGCTACAGCGCTAGACCATCCACGTTTGGTTTGGCGATTGAACAATCTCGAGCTTCTTTTAGGCGATAGGTACTCGAGGTCCGGAGTATTAGCAGACCTCGAAGAAGCTACTCACCTAGCACAGCAAGCTGTCGACACTGTGCCACCAGATCATCCGAACCGAGCAATATTGCTGAACAATCTCGGACTTCGTCTCGGTGAAAAATATCTACGAACTGGAGCAATAGCAGATCTCCAGGACGCTATCAATGTCGCACAACGGGCCGTTGATGCTACTCCAACCGACAATCCGCAACGGCCAATAGTGTTGAACAACCTTGGATTTCGACTGGGCGACAGGTACTCCCAGACTGGAGCAATCGGAGACCTCGAGGAAGCTATTAATATGGGACGACAAGCTGTTAACGCTACTCCACCAGACCATCCGGACCGGGCTGGACGGTTAAGCAATCTCGGAATTTGTCCGGCGACAGCTACTCCCGGACAGGAGCAATAGCAGACCTCGAGGAAGCTCTTAGCATAGCACGTCAAGCTATTAATGCTACCCCGTCAGACCATCCGGACCGAGCTGGACAGTTAAGCCGTCTCGGAAGTTGTCTCGGCGACAGATACTCCCGGACAAGAGCAATAGCAGACCTCGAGGAAGCTATTAGCATAGCACGACAAGTTGTTGACGCTACCCCGCCAGACCGCCCCTACCAGGCTCGTATATTAAGCAATCTTGGAAATGGTCTCCACAACAGATACTCCCGGATAGGAGCAATAGCAGACCTGGAGGAAGCTATTAGCATAGCACGACAAGCTACTAACGCCACCCCGCCAGACCATCCGGACCGTGCTAGATATTTAAGCCATCTAGGAGCCTTTACGGGCTACAGATCCTCTCGGACTAGAGCAATAGCAGACCTCGAGGAAGCGGTTAGCATAACACGACAAGCTATTGACGCCACCCCGCCAGGCTGTCCGGACCGGGCTATACGGTTTACAAACCTCGGAAATAGCCTATGCAACAGATACTCCCGGACTGGAGTGATAGCAGATCTCGAGGAAGCCAAGCGATGTTTCATTGACGTCGTACATCAGACCACGGCCATTATTAGCGAGCGTGTCGTAGCTGGCCGTCGTTTTCTGTCCTCTCCAGGCATCCTTCAAGACCAACAAGCATATTCGATTGCCAGGACGACAATCGACTTGATTCCCTTAATAGTGACTCGTTCTCTGCAAAATGCAGACAAGCGGCACCTTCTGTCTGCTGCCGTTGGACTGTCATCGGACGCCGCCGCTATTGCTCTCCATTTTCTTCACGGCCCAGTCGTTGCTATCGAACTACTCGAGACCGGCCGCGGTGTTATAGCAAGCGCGTTTTTCGAGCGGTCTGAGGTTTCCGCTCTCGAAAAGGGCCATCCTGAGATGGCGCGCTCCTTTATCGACCTCCAGGATAAGCTGGACACGCCATCTTCGCCAACTTTTCTTGCTATAGCAGAGCAGCCCATTATGGCTACAGAGACAGAAGGAAAGCAGCGACAAGAGGCTGGGCTCCATCTCCGGTCGCAGCCCGGGTTTGAGCGATTCCTTCTTTCCCCATCTGAAGCCGACATGTTAAAGGCTGCATTATACGGGCCGATTGTCATCCTGAACGTGAGCTCGTTTCGTTGCGATGCTGTAATCATTACGCAGTCTGGAATTCGGTTGCTAGAGCTGCCACATCTCTCCCAAGAGACCATTAATGACCGGGTCGTCGGGAATCTTCAGTCTCTAGAGACACTCGAATGGCTCTGGGATGATATCGTCCGTCTAATCCTCGATGATTTGGGCTTTACTGAGCCTCCGTCAGGCAGTCAGTGGCCGCATATATGGTGGGTTCCAACTGGAAACCTGACTCGATTTCCTCTCCACGCAGCTGGACATCATCTCAGGCGCAGCGGCGAAACTGCGCTCGATCGAGTTATCTCGTCCTACGGCTCGTCCGTCAAGGCAATCATAAACAGTCGTCGACGGGGAGCGCAAGCACTAGCAGGCGGGAAACCCCACAATGTCGTCGTCGTTGCCATGCCACACACGCCGGGACAGCAACTGCTTGAGTTTGCAGGTGACGAGGTCAATGCCGTGCTAGCCACCTGTAGGTCAATGGGACTGCAGCATACCCAGCCTCGACCGCACAAGAATAGCGTCTCATTAGCCTTAGAGACTTGCTGGATCTTCCACTTTGCTGGCCATGGCGGCACGCATCCCACAGAACCACTCCATAGCCAATTGCTCCTCGAGGATTGGGATCGAGAGCCGTTCACGGTGGCGAGACTCTTGGAGACCAACCTCGCCTCAAATCCGCCATTCCTTGCCTACCTCTCGGCGTGCGGGACAGGTCAGACCCTGGATGAGACGTCTGTCGACGAAAGCATCCATCTGGCCAGTGCGTTCGAGCTGGCCGGGTTCCGTCACGTGATAGGGACGCTGTGGAGTGTCGATGACCGATTGTCTGTAGACATGGCTCGAATGACGTATGAGGTTTTGCACAGTGAGGGAGTCAGGGATGAATCTGTGAGCGGCGGACTTCACTACGCTACCAGACTGCTTCGAGACCAGTGGATCGACAGCGAGACAGATACTGGGCACGGGAGATCAGGGCTTTCAAGTTCAGCAAGGGACGGCGGGTTGTTAGTTCCGGAGCGGAAGCGGTTACTCTGGGTCCCTTATGTTCACTACGACACCTGATACCGAAGCTATGGCTTATTCTGGATTAAAAGCCAGTGCTGGGAACTCTTGAAGCATTTCGAGCCTAAAATTTGTGTCAGACAAAGATTGTATCTTGGTAATTTTTGACAACTAGTCGACGAGTACAGGTGCGGAATTAGAGTGTGTAGCGTCTGTCCAATCAACGTCAAACCCCTCCTGAACAGCTAAGCTCTGATGATGAAGAATCTGTTAGCAAGATAAGTAGGAGTAAACGTGAACGTCGAAGCAGCGATTGTCGCCCGTACTCTTCGTCGGAGGATGCGAGAGGTGATTCGCGTTGAGTTTGTGGAAGTCAGCCAAAGAGGATCTTAATCCGAAGTCGCGCCGGAGTTGGGAAGACGACTTTGTGTAAAAAGATTATCCACGACTTTATCCATTGTAGCGTGTGAAAACTCTTGTTCGACCGCACACTTTGGGTGCCCTTATGGGACCTGAAGAGAATCTCTAGCCTAAGGAGGGATACAACCTTGAAGATCTATTTTTACAAGTATATCTCTCCCAGAACCCGATAGGCAAGGTCCTTGCCCATGAACAGTGGGTTGCATTGGATGCCACCGAGTATCATCGAACTCTCTTTATCCTCCATGGCCTGCCTGGATGAGGTTTCTTGGGGGAATTAGATAAAGGCCACAACGTGTTCCCTCTCCTCCAGTCTCTGTTCCAACTACCCAACGTCATTATCACATCCCGCCCACATGGATCGCTTCCATATTGGCTCACAGGTACTTTCGACCTTGAACTCGAAACCATCGGATTTTATCCGGATCAAGTAAGGGGTTACGTCAAGGTAGCCTTCACCAGTCAAGAACCGCGGGAAGCCGACTCGAAAAAGGCCGACCAGGTTCAGTTATTTCTCCAAAAGCATCAACTAATGAAAGGCCTTGTGCGAATCCCGATTATACTGGACGCCCTCTGTGAAAGTGCGTTGCTTATTTCCTTGTTTAAACTAGAGGCTTGAAAGACCCCATGGAGTGGAAAATTGTAAAGTAGTAATACTCAACTACCACGCCTAATTTTTCCGACAGCAGTAGACTTATTGGGGCTGATGTTCAAGGAACCGTCTTATCGTATTGCATCAGGGATCCTAGTTATTCTTAGTCTGTATATCTTCTTTGTATGTAGCTCGCTCTTGGCAGCGACAAATATCGAGAAGCTCGTTAATTCCGAAGCACTGCGCACCCTCCCCACTGTAAGGACTCGGTATGAACAGAATTCATGTAGTATTGACGAAAAGTAATAAAGCTGAAGAAAGGAAAGAGAGGTAAGCTCTCGCGCGATTGTTATGGTACAGATGGAACAGACGGTTGTGGTCACGTGATCGGGCACGTGACTCCGACAACACCGGTTCGTCACACTATACTGTATTCTATACAACGCGCAGGGCAAGCGAAAAGATGCGGAGATGACGCACCGGCGAGCACTAGAAGGCTATGAAAAGACACTCGGTCTGGATCATCCGTCCACGCTTATGGCAGTCAATAACCTTGGGCGTGTCTTTTATGATCAGAATAAGTGGAATGAGGCGGAGAAAATGTACGAGCGAGCATTAGCAGGCTTCGAGAAGGCGCTTGGTTCAAATCACCCGTCTGCTATCCCGGCGCTCAACAACCTCGGGCGTCTCTATAGTGGTCAGGGCAAGTTGAAGGATGCGGAGAGGATGTTCCAAAAAGTGCAACAGGTTTTAAGGTTCTCACGGGTCAACAAAGATGACAGAGTGAATCTTCCTAGCGGGTGGGAGCGGCGGACCACCTTTAGCGGCCGGGTGTATTACCGGGACCACAACACACACACGACTACAATGCCCATTTAAAATTGGCATCTGCAAGGGTCGCACAATAGGAGTTTCAGCCCCTCGATCAGCATGGCAAGGGTCAAAAGTGGGCTTGTACGGCAGACTATAGGGACCACCTTGCCAACTTTCTTAATCATCCAGTCCAGTCTCGCGGAGATACGAGGCAGCCTGTGCCAGCGCAAGTGGAAGGCCCCCCTAGTAGAGAGAGTAACTCTTCGCTTGTCTCGTCCATGACTGCAGCTTATCAGCTTCTGGCCTAACTTGTACACTGTAATAGAGGCCTGATTGCGAGAAACAAGTGCATTGAATACGCGATACTAAGTGTGAAGAAGAGATGAAAACAGTAGGTGAGGCCTCGCAGATAGGCTGCAAGGATCGCACTAGGCCCAAAAGGGAAGCAGGCCTGATCCAGAGTGTTACAGGAGCTCCCAACTGATTTTCTGTGATTGGAAAGCAACTTATAGCTACATGAAAATAACCAGTGTAATGGGGATTTCCGCTCTCAATATCGGCATCCTAGCGTCATGTGACTGAGGCCTTAGCAACAAGGCTAGCGTTTTGTTTCGTGAGATTAAGTAGCGTTCGTTTGATAGTATCAATAACAACAACTATGTTCCCCCTTATGAAAATACTCTGCTGAGGTTGCTGAGGTCGCGGTATCGGCATACTGCTTATGAAAGGTTCTATTATTCGTTCTGTCAATCCTCTATAGCGTCACGCTTTGCCTATCGTCTTCCTGCACTCTGCGAGTGTGGTGGTGTTGTCTCTTCGCGATCGACCCGTCTGCCAACGCAGATAGCCTACGAGCATTCCCATCTTACACTAGGTAGTTTCTTCTATAACACCGTGACCTTCCAAAGTTTGAACCACCTTGATTCTAGAGTTAGTCAATATATGGCTGCCAATGGGCATACTACGACCAAATTCTGTGAGAAAGGTCCGGTTTGCCATTGTGAAAAGAATATTCTGAGCTTAATAGTGAAAGGGTCTTCAGCTATGATTATTGACACTGCGCTTGGAGATAAATTTGATAGCATAATTACACTGCAGACAAACCCAGCTCGACCCGGACAAGTTTGTCTCCAATTTCCAGATCCAAACCAAGTGATATCTCTAAGCTGTCTTGGATACTCCCGTGGTATCCCAATATAAGTTCTTGTGGAGAGTATACCAGTAATCGGCGCAGAAGAACACCCAAGTCTCAGGATTCGTGCGAACCAACTGAGCATTGGTCTTGCGATCAGAGTTTTTCAAAGCATTTGCTTGACCGTCCCATTCAGATTTAGCAGGTACTGCGTAACCCTTTGCAACACTCTTAAAAATAGTGCCAAGCTTATCTGTTAAGCGGGTCAGCTATGTCTCAGATTTAACTTGCATCACAGAGTACTAGTGGACTTACAGGTCGCATCTATAGTGTCGTCGTTGCCAATGACCAGATGGAATAACTCATGGAACAAGGTCGCACTTTTAGAGAGCACGTCGCTAAGCTTTTTGCCTTGAGCGTCGACACCGAAATCTGTTTGTACGTCGGTTCTTGTGAAGGCCCTCGGACATAGTGTGACGGTTCTTGACGCCGTGGTACCTTGGGTCACACCCAGTTCGCCCGAAGCACCGCATAAACCTCCTTCTCCATAGGCATGACCTATGATATATTCCTTCAGGTCTGAAGACCAGTATGGCACCGAACCTGCTTCTTGCAATTGCGATCCGTATTGCTGGGAGTCTTGAATCTCCACCTCTTCACCACACTCTTCAATTCTAAGTGTCCTAGGTTTCGGTTCCAGCCAGGAGCTGTCGCAAAACAACCACGGCGTATCTTTTGAATCAGGGGATTTCTTGGCCATGAACCATTGAACTTCCTCGAGAAGTACTATAGTATTTATTGTTAGCCAAAATCCGGAAGATGGTACATCTCAGGCAGAGTAATGAAACACTTGGCTTGAAGATGGTCAAAGGTTAGTAAGAGATGGCTTGATATCTTACATTTGATATCATCCACGTCCGCATCGTCCGTATCATCGTTAATACCCAAGTATTTCTCAAGAGCATGTTTCGCGTTCTTTGTTTTTGTTTCATCAGCGTTACCCTTCGCGTCATCAAACGCAGAAATACCGGCGGAGGCCATGGCTTGAGATTCCGTCCACCATTGCGTAAGGACCGATAAGTGAGAGTCACAACCGCCATTCTCGGATCCTTGTTTCACATTAAACACATCACCGATCTCGGCTGAAAAGGCAAAGGGGATGTAAAAAAGCCAGAAGGCCAAAATCTTCACGGTGATCGATGACATAGTTCTCCGATCCCGAGCAGAAATATTTGTCGTGATTTCCGTCTAATCTCGGGGAAGTGAGAGAGAATGACCTTTTTATTAGAAAATGGAGTGGCACATTGGGGGGCGGCCCCAAATTTCTTGTGAACCGCATTGATTTATAGCATTCATCTAATTATAGAGAGTCTACTAGTCCTGCTCGGGGCTATGTATTTCAGGGGTAGATTGTTGAGCCAGGTTTGATGTGGACGAATTCAAGTTGGAGAAGCCATGAAGAATCACGCGTTTCGAGTTAGATTGTGACCGACGATTATCTGTACTGCAAAACATTGCTACTGGTGCAGTGGCTGAATATTCCAAGTCGTGTTTGAAGGACTTCAAATTAGGGAGAAATCGACATATCTCCGGAAAGAATTTCAGGAATAGATCAGTTCCAGATGAACTTCAACCAGAACCTTATAGAATCATTGAGACTAACAGCCGCTTGTTTTTGTCTCATCTGCGTAAATCAGAACGCTGATTAAAGTGCATTGTACTAGGGTATGTACTTTGTAAGAATGCGAAAGCTGAACGCCACGGGTGCATTGACCCCCAGCCCCCCGGCCCCGCCCCCCCGGCCCCCAACCCCCTCCACCCCGGCCCGAAGGCCTGACGTCGCTTTCCTTTTTCACTTGCGCTCTCTCTTGTTTATTTGCGCGCTGAACTTTTCACTTGCACGAACCATTTCCATATACTACGTTTAATATCCCGAAGTTATCGTTTTATTTATCATAAGCAGCTATGCCACCTCCGCAGCTGATGGTATTTACCAAATTTTACGTGCCTGAGACCGCAAGTCTAGAGGACGAATACTGGGGAGATTTCGCACGAAACCTGCAAGATTGTCCCGGGCATCATATTTCTAAATGGGGCCGAATCGAGGAACATTTAAATGATGTTCTTCTGATCACATGTAATATACCTTCCCTTAACGAGTGACGAAGATACTAAATTCTCCAGTGTGGACATCCCAAGAGGAATTGAATCAATTCAGAGCCTCATCATCACACGAGACCTACTTGTCAGCATTATGTCGATACTCAGCGATTCCACCAGAGGTCTATGAGTTTGATTATAACCTTCCAACCCCGTGGTTGAGGAGCCCAAGCTATCGTATCTCTTTTATATGTGCGCACTTCTCAGCTTCAATAGACCTGGAGCAACGCCACGAGGCGCCTAGAGTCAAGGCCCTCGAATCTAATGTCGCTGTTATGCCTAACTTACGCAGGTATATGACGCTTGCACATGCAGACAGGAAGCCTATAGGACTCTGGGATAAACCAAAAGCAGATGATAGGGAAAAACCGAAGACGTGTGTGATATTCTACTTCTGGACGAATGCTGAGACGGAGCAGGACTTCAAACACAAGGAGGGGCGTCATGGGCAAACAAAATATCAATTGGCCGAGCAAGAGTTGAGGGATGCTGGGGTTGAGAGATGGACAGAAGAGCACTGGGTTCCACGAAAGCTTCCGAATATTAAGAAGTGAAGGGATAAATCAGTGCTCGCAATTCTAGTGCCCTTTGCAAATGCAGGAACAAATCGAAGAAAGATCGACGCTCAGTGAGAAATTACTGCGAAGGGGATGCGAATTCTTCTGTTTGAAGACTTATCACATAGCTATTGACTACAATATGAGATATTCTCCTGATTTGAGATAACCCCAAACACTACTGATATGAAACTTCAAGTAATTCCCAGCGTCTTTATAATGTCAAATATGACTATCAATACTAGCAGAACGCAGCTACATGACTAGGCTAAACCAGCAGGGAAGTGTAACAAAACCGTTGCACGAAAGAGTCCGTGTTATTTCCTTTGCGGAGTCCTCAATGTATCTCCCCGTGATATGCGACACCTTTTGCTGTCGACAGGAGGAACGAGTAGCAGCCGACCGCGGGGAGCTGCGAGGCCGACTAAAACCAGCCAAATTTCGCGCCAAGCCTCGCTCTGATTGGCTTGTTTATTGGCAAATACACGTGATGTTCTGCCCTCACGTGCCTTTGCCTGCCTTTTGCTTTTGATGAACGCCCTGAAACGACTACGAAGTGGAGGGGTTTTTTTACTCGTTTCAGGGCTTCCAGTGTGCGGCAGCGCGCGTCACCAGTCTTGAATTAAGCCGGTAACTTTGCAGTCCTCATCGATGAGAACGTTCAGTTTGTTGAGATCATACTGAGCAACCCATAGGGTAAGTTTTTTAAACTGTTCTAATTTATCAAGAAAGGCTTCAAGTTGATGCCGGTATGGTTTGACATCATCCGACGACGATGCCAAGAGGGCCTCGAGATGTGATCGAATACGACCATCTGTAACACTCTGGGTCAGGCCTGCTCCCCTTTTGGGCCTAGTGCGATCCTTGCAGCCTATCTGCGAGGCCTCACCTACTGTTTTCATCTCTTCTTCACACGTAGTATCGCGTATTCAATGCACTTGTTTCTCGCAATAGGCCCCTATTACATGACACTAAGTGTCTTTTCATCATATCAACCCTTTTTCGTCCTGACTGGGCCATTTCGACGCGTTCCGACGTGTCGTAACCGACAGCAGGACTCATCTCTCACCTCAACCATACCCTTTTCTCTCGTCTGAGCAAGTGTGCCTTTCTAAAAGCACCGCTGACAGCGAGAACACCTTGAACTAGGAATGCACACGATATCGCTTTTTGACGATATCGTACCGTTTTTATCGTTATCGCTATCGTACCGCAGAGGAAAAAATTTTGCGATACGATATCGCGTATCGTACCGTTCTTTCAATGTTTTTACGATAATTATCGCCTATCGTACCGTCAATATCGTTGTTCTGACGATACGATAACGATACGAATCCTGCATTACGATATTATCGTTACGTTAATGCCAAGCTTAGTCACGGGACCTTGGTCATATGAGCCCTCGGGCGCTGGCCAATGAGAGGCCTCAGTTTGCGGCACCACACACCTCCATGATAAATATATATCTGGTGGTAGGAGCCATCGTGTACATGCAATATATTTTTCTTATACTTACCATACAAATTTATATGACAAGGGGGAAAAATTCATACCATAATAAGCATTCGATTTCCTACTACCTGCAATTTTAAAAATTAAAGCGTTTACAGACGTGATCTTTTGAAAATCCGACGAGGTAGATTAAACGGGGATACAATTCGAATGTTGATGTTGATGGACGATACTTTGTAGGCATAGGGGGGATGTGGAGGTTATAGGAGGTCGTCGGAGCTAGTCCTAGGTAGAAAACAGAGGTTGGTTTATTTTTTTATTGCAGATTCGAGCGATTCAGCGCGTCGTAGCGATGTTGGATGGCCCTTGTGGTGGTGACCGTCGCCGACAGGCGACTGTAGCCAACGCCACTGTGGCTGGTATATAGGCCCTAGTACTACATAACAATATCGTTGTATCGTGCGATGTCGTTATATCGTACCGTTTATCGTATCGTCACACTATAATTATAATGATAATTATCGTATATCGTATCGCTGGGTGCTAGAAAAATTGTTACGATATACGATACGATATGCCAAAAAATGGACGGTACGATAACGATAACGATATGCCAAAAATCCTGCGATATCGTACCGTGGGCATCCCTACCTTGAACCCCCGAACTAACTGAACCTCCTGAACTGACGAGATGTCTCAAACTGGAGAAGAACCTGTGGCCAAGCCTGAAGCCGGTCCCTCGAATGAACCTACACGACCTGTGACGCGTGGATCGCGACCACAGCTAGTCTTCTACGACAAGAAAGATGAAAAGAAGGTCCACAAGATCCACAACGCGAGAGACCTCGCGACCTGGGTAAAGGACGACCCCAATTTCACATACGACGCTATCCTCGATAAGTTTGAATTCTGGAACAGAGATCACAAGAAATACCAGGAAGAGATGGCCGCTAACCAAGAGGAGCTGGCCAGAGCCCAAGACGAAGCTAGTCTAAGACCTGGAACGAGCCCGCAAAGACCTCGAGGAGCAAGACGAGGAAGCTGGAGATCGTATCCGAGCTGCCGATGAGAAGGCTGAACATCTTCAACAGACCCTCAACGACCTCCGAGCTGACGAGGTTTGACTGATTACCAAATTGACCGTGTCTGAGAAGGTAGTCGCTGAGAATGAACGTGTTATCCGACGGCTCCGAACTAAACGTGATGAACTGGCAGTTAACCTAGTCGAAGCTAACCGAGCCCGTACTCACACAACCACTGCTGGAGATGTCCCACTCCCCTACGATCAAGGGAAACCAGAAGCGATCACCCAAGATGCCGGATCCCCCGATGCTCTCGGATGGCAAGGAAGTTCGATGGGAAAACTGGCAGACTGGTATTGAGTTCAAACTCGCCCAGAACGCAGACTGGTTCCCAACCGCACACCATCGAATTCACTACGTTTCGACTCGACGTGAAGGACGCGCTCTGAAGCACATTGGACCCCGTCTCCACCGAACATCGACCAATCGCTATACTGATGCAGAGGATATGCTGGAGCGTCTGGCAGAGATCTTTGAGGACCCGAATCGCAAGGAGAACGCACGACAGGAATACGAATGTAATAGAGGCCTATTGCGAGAAACAAGTGCATTGAATACGCGATACTAAGTGTGGAGAAGAGATAAAAACAGTAGGTGAGGCCTCGCAGATAGGCTGCAAGGATCGCACTAGGCCCAAAAGGGGAGCAGGCCTGACCCAGAGTGTTACAGCGAACAGCTGAAACAGAAACCGAAAGAGGAGTTTGCAGACTTTATCGCAGAGTACTCTCGTCTTGCTGAGGAAGGTGAGATCCCTGTTGAAGACCGCAAGCGAGGACTCTATCGCAAGCTTGTCTGGCGACTCCAAGATCGTGTGACCCAGTACATGATCGATCCAAGTCTTACTCTTCAAGAGTTAGTACGCCGATGCCAGGACACCGCGACTCAGATGAACATTAATTTCAAGGATAACCCCCCGCCTGCGAGAGGCAGCGGTGGCGGCCGAGGAGGAATAGACAAGGATAAGGACAAGACCAAGAGCCCCGGCTCTGGTACTGCCCTGGGCACCCCCCGCCCTCAGATGGATGCTGCAGAGCGTGCAGCCCTTCTCAAGAATGGCCAATGCTTCTACTGCCGAGGAAAGGGCCATATGGCCAAGGACTGCCCTGAAAAGAAGACCCCCGCTGTTGCTGCTGCTGGAAATACGCCTGCTGCTGCAGCCGCTGCACCGGATCCCCGTCTCGTCGAGATGGAAGCTGAACAGCCGGCAAAAGACTAGGCCTGGGGCAAGTCTCCATCTCAGGCCTCTCTAGCTCTGCCATACGCGTAGTCGACCTACAAAAGCTAGTTTCAGGCAATAGTTTACTATTCAATGCAAGAATCTCCCTGAACCAGAAAGCTTTTGTCCTCAAAGCGTTAGCAGACACCGGAGCAGATGCGTATCTCTTGATCGACACAGACACCTTCATCCTCATGAAACCCCTCGGCGTGATAGCTGAACGCCTACAAGACCCGATCCCACTCATCGGATTCGACGGCAGGCCAGCGGACCCCGTCACCCACGTTACCCATCTGACGCTGACGATCCAAGGTTTTCGCCAGGTCAGTGCGCAGTTTATGATCACTGGACTAGGCCATCGTCAAGCGATTATTGGACGGCCGTGGTTTGAAGAGACAGGAGCCCTCCTGGATTGCAAGAACCGGAGGATTATCATGCCCGATGAACCATCGTTGACAGACATTGTAAAGACGGGACTTGAGCAGAAGATCCCATTACAAATATTGAGACCTCCTCTGTCGGAGAGTCACCAGGCTGATGCAGATCGCCGTGATGAGGCAATGAAGAAGCAGGAACGAGAACCACGACTCAAGAAGAACCACAGTAACTCACACGAAGAGGATTCGACAAGGAAGATGACTCGAGCACTTATCGGAGAGAGTATGCCGGTTCGACCACACTCTCCATCCCCAGACAACCGTTCCAAACCTGGCGCAATTGGAGGCCCAGGCTTCCACCGACATATGCAGAAGAAGGAAATGAGATCTTCATCACCAGTATCTATGAAATCGACCATATTATCTCCTGTAATAGAAGCCTGATTGCAAGAAACAAGTGCATTGAATACGCGATACTAAGTGTAGAGAAGAGAGCAAAAGAGTGAGTGAGGCCTCGCAGATAGGCTGCAGAGGTTCAGGAACCGCGCTAAGCCCGAAAAGGAAGTAGCCTCTGGTTCAGAGTGTTACATCTCCAAGAAGACGCAACACTCAGGACCCGACTATATGCCGAAGCAATACAAAGCGTACGCAGATGTCGCCTCGAAGGCTAAATCTGATAAATTACCTGAACACCGAGATATCGATTGTCGCTTCGACACTGGGGATGCCAAGTTTACGCCTGGATACTGCCCTCTATACAAGATGTCAAAGGAAGAACTGGAAGCCGCAAGGGATTATATTAATGAAAACCTAGCAAAGGGATTCATTGTGCCAAGTTCAGCGCCCTTTGCTTCACCTATCCTGATGACGAAGAAGCCCGGCGGAGGGCTGCGCTTCTGCGTCGACTTCAGGAAGCTCAATGCAATCACGAAGAAGGACGGTTACCCCTTACCGCTGATGGATGAGCTCCTACAGCGGGTGAGCGAGGCTAGAATCTTCACAAAACTGGACATCCGACAAGATTTTCATCATATTAGGATGCATCCTGACTCAGAGGATCTGACAACATTCAAGACAAGATATGGACAGTTCAAATATACAGTGATGCCGTTCGGTGTGACTAACGGGCCTGCGACATTCCAACGCTACATCAACGACGCGTTGAGGGACTGCCTTGACATCTTTGCCACAGTATACGTGGACGACATACTCATTTACAGCAAGTCGCTCGAAGAGCATGAGGAGCACGTTAAGGCGGTCCTAGAACACCTCCGGAAGGCCGGATTGCAGATTGCACTGCACAAGTGTGAATGGGAAGTAACGTCGACGAAGTTTTTAGGCTTCATCGTTAGCACGGAGGGAGTGTCCCCAGACCCGGAGAAAGTAGCCGCAATCACTAAGTGGGAAAGGCCGCAGACGGTGAAGAGCGTGCAGTCATTCCTTGGCTTCTGTAACTTCTACAGACGATTTGTGGAACAATACAGCAGGCTTGCAAAATTGCAAAGCCTCTCTTCAATCTGACGAGGAAGGAAGTACAGTGGCGGTGGACAACGGAGTGCCAGGAAGCGTTCGACGCGCTCAAGCGCAAGATGACAGAAGCACCAATCCTTCGACATTATGATCCCTATCTCCCAACACGCGTGGAGGTTGATGCTTCGTTGGGGGTAATCGGAGGCGTCCTGTCGCAACTACATGACAAGTTTTGGCATCCAGTCGCGTTCTTCTCCAAAACTATGGACCAGGCGCAGCAGCACTATGAGATCCACGACCGAGAGCTCCTAGCGATCATCCACGCACTCAAGGAGTGGCGACCAGAGCTCGAGGGACTCAGGAATACTGACGAATTCGACATTCTGTCAGATCATGAACCGTTGAAGTACTTCCAAACCAAGAGGACCCTGAATGCACGACAAATACGGTGGATGCAGTTGCTTGCAGGCTATCGATTTCTCATTAAGTATCGCCCTGGAAAGGACAAGGTACTAGCTGACGTCCTCTCTCGAAAAGACCTCATGACCGCCAGAGAACCCGAACAGCATGTCCTCCTTCCTCCCTCCCTCTTCGAAACTCAAACCTCCTCCACCGAGCCTCAAACTAGACTCCCCGACGAATCACGACAACTCCCCGACGCTTTATCTGTATCTACGCTGACTGGTGAAGTGGTTGAACGAGCGAGACAAGTGAACCGTACAAACGAGAGCTTACAGAAATATCGGGACCAGGTTAAAAGATTGGAACAATGGACAATAGAAGATGGTCTGCTGTTGGGATAAGGAAGAGGGATTGTAAGGACAACAGGGAGCCTATCAAATGAGAAGGTCGAAAAATACAGATACATAGATCACTTCCTAGCTCGAGTCGGTAAAAGCGCCCACGCGATCATCTCTGGAATTCAAATACCAGTTAAGAAAACTAGCAAAGATTGTGTCTATACTAGTATCATCTATCTCCCAAGTACAAAGAACATCAAATTGAAACTTAGATCACAGTCTTTCTTAATTGAAAGCTACACCAAAGAAAAGGCTTTCTACTCCACCAGGTAGTCCAATACATGTACCCTCCTGCATTGGCTCAATAAATGTTGAGCCACAATTTGTTCCAGAGCATCCTATTTATCATTAGAGTTTGAAATCAAAGCTAGGGACTCTAAGGTACTATACCGGAGTATACTGCACCAGCAGCACCACCTCCTGTCACTAGGAATAGAGCTCCCGTGCGTGAGTCAACAGAGTGACAACTACCATCTACTGGAGAAGCATGGCTTATGATGTTTACATCAGACTGGCTATAAGTCTCTTAGTACATAAGTAATCGACAATATATCCAGAAATAACATACCAATCACTTATAGAGGCATATTGGTTGAGCTTTGAGTTTGCTGCAAAAGCTCCTCCTCCAAGAAGAGTAGAGAGGAAAATAGTGTAGGAAAGCTGCATTTTGATATAAAGCAGAGGATTGTAAAGGTTTGTAAAGGTATTTGAAGTCGAGTAGAGTAATAATAAGTAGGCTAAGGAATCAAGTAATAAAGGGAGGGAAAAGGGTAGACTTATATAGTGACAAAAAGTAGTATACTATTTCTAAGGAGTTACATAAATTCAGGATTCTAATTTTACTATACTTACTTAGGCAAGAGATATACATATGCCGCAGAAGGATCAGTCCTAAGCTGACTTAGGCAAGAGATATACATATGCTGCAGAAGGATCAGTGTGAGCCCCTATTATAGCGGATCGGCAGTAAGATGATCGGCAGCACTATACTAGAAGTATATGCCGCAGAAGGCTTAGTTCTAAGCTAACTTAGGCAAGAGATATGTATATACCGTAGAAGGCTTAGTTCTAAGCTGACTCAGGCAAGAGATATACATGTGCCGCAGAAGGATCAGTCCCAAGCTAACTTAGGCAAGAGATATACATATGCCGCAGAAGGATCAGTGTTAGCCCCTATTATAGCGGATCGGCAGTAAGATGATCGGCAGCACTATACTAGAAGTATATACCTCAGAAGGCTTAGTTCTAAGCTGACTTAGGCAAGAGATATGTATATGCTACTTGTTACTGGGATGAGACATAACGCACAGCTTAGAACTGATCCTTCTGCGGCACATGTATATCTCTTACCTAAGTCAGCTTAGGACTGATCCTTCTGCGGCATATGTATATCTCTTGCCTAAGTAAGTATAGTAAAATTAGAATCCTGAATTTATGTAACTCCTTAGAAATAGTATACTACTTTTTGTCACTATATAAGTCTACCCTTTTCCCTCCCTTTATTACTTGATTCCTTAGCCTACTTATTATTACTCTACTCGACTTCAAATACCTTTACAAACCTTTACAATCCTCTGCTTTATATCAAAATGCAGCTTTCCTACACTATTTTCCTCTCTACTCTTCTTGGAGGAGGAGCTTTTGCAGCAAACTTCAAAGCTCAACCAATATGCCTCTATAAGTGATTGGTATGTTATTTCTGGATATATTGTCGATTACTTATGTACTAAGAGACTTATAGCCAGTCTGATGTAAACATCATAAGCCATGCTTCTCCAGTAGAGGGTAGTTGTCACTCTGTTGACTCACGCATGGGAGCTCTATTCCTAGTGACAGGAGGTGGCGCTGATGGTGCAGTATACTTCGGTATAGTACCTTAGAGTCCCTAGCTTTGATTTCAAACTCTAATGATAAATAGGATGCTCTGGAACAAATTGTGGCTCAACAGTTATTGAGCCAATGCAGGAAGGTACATGCACTGGACTACCTGGTGGAGTAGGAAGCATTTTCTTTGGTCAAGTAGTCTGATAGCTTAGTATTACTATCTCCATCAGGAAAGACTATTTGAAATTCTTTGTTCTTGACTGTGACTCCTTCGCAAGCTGTTGGTCACGAGCCAGATCTGCGGGTGCCGTGTTGTGTAACACCCGGCCAGTGTGCGTCACAATGTTTAAACATAGCATCAGGTAGTCGCCTAATAATAGCTTGACCATCACTCTCTTGGCGTAAAATTTAACCTGAAGCTAAGACTCGCAAGCTTATCTTTGAGCGTCGTCGCTGGTCCTCTCGGTGGTTTAGTCTCCCGAAGACTGCTTGGGTCTCGATCAAGTAACAGATATCTGCATACAAAGCAGGCCATCCTAGCCCCTAGAGCTGAAGTGCCAAAGCTGAGCAGGGCTTAGGGTAGGTATATATCTCCTAATAAGCAAGTAATTATCACATACGACCATAGACTCAAGAGAACTGGGCATCCCCTCCGCTCTGCCATACATAAACTTGAGATCGGTGGATTCCAGACTGCCTCGTTTCGAGGCCACCAAGAGATTTTTAAACTACTCCAAAAAAGGCCTGCTATTAAATCTCCTTTAAAGCGGACCTGCTCTAGGACTCCGCGCAACCCGGCGAAGAAACTTTGTCTCATGAACACTGAGCCTTCTGGTCATACTCAAAAACTCGTCCAGTAGCCTCCACCATGCTGTCCAGCTATTGCCCAGCTTCAGGTCTCATCACTCTTATCATTACTTCGCAGATTCTAGGTCTGGCTAGTTGAATGCATGACAATCTGATCATACCTGGTGGTGGATACTGTTGGGAGATTGTTCATCCTATGTACGTCCACCTGTTCGTTCAACCATAGGATCAAAACTCAGCTGGTCGGACTGATATTAATGCAAGGAAGGTGAACATTCATACTATATCCTCGGGGTCGGGTGAAAAGCAGATTACTAATGGCGTCTATTCGCGGTCTGGGTAACCAGGGGTGGGTGCATACGAGGGAGCCCGTTCCTGTAATAAAGGCTTATTGCGAGAAACAAGTGCATTGAATACGCGATACTAAGTGTGAAGAAGAGATGAAAACAGTAGGTGAGGCCTCGTAGATAGGCTGCAAGGATCGCACTAGGCCCAAAAAGGAAGCAGGCCTGATCCAGAGTGTTACAGGTTATAGAATCTTGAATTGAATTGAATTGGATTGATCAGAAACAAAAGATATTCTCATTCAACGGGGGATATTAAGAACATTGATATGACGATGCATGATCGCCCTCCACGCGCTACGTGGCGTTTTCAGATAGCTATCCAAGATATCGTGGAGCGTCACCTAGGTAAAAAGTCGCTCAGCAAGGGTTTCATCATGACAATCTCGACTAGACCTCCGGAGACTGCAAATCCTAATCTCTGTGCATCATAGCGGAACCTAATGTATGGCCGGGGCAAATCAAGCTACGGAAAATGAATTCCCGTTGTAAATCGTCCGATGAAATGGAGATTTTTAAGTTTGAATCACGAGTCAGTTCGGAAAATGGATTGCTTTGAATCGCTGGACAATTGCCCGCAATTGACTGATCAAAATAATTTCATCTCCTCTTCGCAAGGGATTAACCTGCGTCCACTGACTTCTCATACTAATCCACAATATGGCCGAGCTACCGTTTAATTTCGCACTGAACACTGGTGCTCAAATTCCTGCCCTTGGGCTAGGTTCGTTTCTCATGCAAGAACCCCTGCTATACGCTGTTCTTCATCTAATCACAGGTATAATGTGTGCAGGCACATGGCAGTCAAGGCCAGGGGAAGTTAGAGCTGCCGTTAAACATGCACTTGAAGCTGGATACCGGCACATAGATGCTGCATACTGTTACGGGAACGAAGAAAAAGTGGGTTTAGGGCTTCAAGATGCAATTGCGACCATGGGTATTAAACGCGAAGATGTTTTTATCACTACCAAGCTGTGGTGCACCTACCACACACGCGTGGCAGAAAACCTCGACAAAACTTGAAAGCCTTGGGCCTACAGTATATAGATATTTATCTGATGCACTGGCCTGTAGCAATGAATCCGGAAGGTGAGTACGCTGGCTTTATTCAGCAGTGATTATGAAGCTTGCACCCCCCAGAATAGGCCAGGTGTAGGTTTTGAAGCAGATACTGACTTTGAAAAGGGAATCACGATATGTTTCCGACATGCCCTGATGGAACCCGTGATCTGGTTCCAAGCCGATCTCACGTTGAAACTTACAAAGACATGGAAAGGCTTTTGGATACGGGCAAGGTCAAAGCCATAGGCGTCGTCAACTACAGCCTCAGATATATGAAGGAGCTTTTATCCAAATGTTTGATCCCACCAGCGGTTAATCAGATTGAAAATCACATTTTGCTGCCCCAGCAGGAAATTGTTGATTTTTGCAGAGAGAACTCGATACATGTTACTGCTTATAGCCCCTTGGGCAGCAGTGGAAGTCCACTGATGCAACTGCCGGTGATCAAAAGCCTGGCGAAATGCAAGAATGTGTCACCGGCTGTGATCTTACTGAGCTGGCATGGTACGTCTCAATTTTCTCCGTCTCTTCATGTTTCTGTGGAGAGGATCATATCTCACCGATGTCTCGTTATTTAGTGTCCTGTGCAATGTGAGGATGCTCAGATGCTCACAGAGATCAACGTACGGCGTAGCATACGAAGCAAAGGAAACAGTAGCTGTTCGACGAAAGTAATAGCTTGAGGAGAATAAGAAGGAAGCTAAGATAGAAGGCTAGATACACAGGTGTAGGCGTGGATGCCTAGAGTGGTGCCGTAGGCATGAGGCATCCACGAATGGTAACAACACCAGTTCGTTACACCTGTGGACGTTCTGTACTGGCAAAATCCGTCACTCCGCACCGAATAGAGCAGAACATGTGTTTGTTGAAGCTGGAGGAAACGAAACTGGATGCCATTAATACCTTTATCCAAAGTGTGGCCGGTAAAAGAGGCTTTACTCGCTACGTCTATCCCGCATTTGGTATTGACTTTGGCTTTCCTGATAAACAGTGATGACTAGTGCTCCTTGCCGGTTAATTTTGCGGCACCATCACGAAGGCTTTAGTCGAATACTTGCTCTGGTCCCAGAACTCCATTTCATCGCTATATTAGTATTACGTACCACCATTCTGTTGAAGATTATTGTATAGAAATGTCTTTTACGGGCATGAGTTTGGAATGCAGACGAAATGGATACTTGTGATCACGCATCTTGAGGTATTTGCGCTCAGAAATATGCAATTCCTATATAGATCTTGAATGCTCATGCCACAATGTTCCGTCATGGAAAGTCACTGGAAGCCATGGGCGAATGCCGACGTGGGCTGCCACATTGGATGGATTAGTTGAAGACAACTTTGGCAGGTAATTTGCTTGTTTGTGGCCACAGCTATTGCTACCAACTGCCCTGTCTCATTGAACACGAAGTCGTCGAGCAAGAAAAGAGAACCTGGTAATTTCTTCGTAGGCGTAACAAAAAGGATCTCTGAGTTCCGCCACAAGCTTCGTACTTAGATCCGACAATTGTTAGTTGCCGGGTTGACTGGCTAGGGGATAGTTGATGGAGTATCTGCAGACGTAATTCTGGGTGACCGTGAAACAGCTGTCTCAAATCGTTCCCGGCTGAAAATAATCCCCAAGTTTAAAGCTGAATCCTAGATTTGACCTTGTAAGCTCATCTCCCTAGAAGGCGGTCGTGTGCTGTTTGTGGCTCAGAGAATTTTCACAGGTGTTTTACAGAAACTCCCAGCATCATAACAACAGAGACAGTTTTTGAGGGCGATAAATACGGCTGCCAGGGCATTGAGCGCATGAAATATAACATGACGGGCTGTCAGACCATCGCCGTAGGTTCTAATAGACGAGGCTGAATGTGTATCTGTAGATTTCAATCGCTCGGTGCCATCACAATCATAAAAAGCGAGTATTTTTCATTGCGCGCCGTGAGAACTTGAGCGAAGGATTTGAAACGTGGTGAATATACTTTCATATGTGCGTACGACACAGATTTTGTCGCTTTATGCGTACTCAATTGAGTGGCGCTTCCGTGTTCTCTCTCAGTCATTATTTTGAGAAAGTTGAGGCCATCAGCAACATATTCGATCCTTTTAACACCATGATCAAGTCTTTCAACACGATGGCGACATAAATATATGGGTGATAGGATTAAATGCTTTGTGAAAAATAGATAATTCGGATGTGGGTGGAAAATTAGGTGGCAAATGATCATCTGAATCCTGCCCGAAGGACTGATATCCTTATGTTTTTATAAGAATGCGTCGATAGCTAGCCCCTATCCCGAATGTCCCTTTATTGTAAAGATCAGTCACAAGTGGGAGCAAGGTATTATAGTGCGCAGTTTCAATGGCATAAGTTGCTGGGGATAGAGTGTTCTCTCCCTTGAAGAATAAACGTATCTAGTAGGTGAAACGCAGAAAATGGTCCAAAGCCGAAAAGAGTTTCGAGACTGGCATCTAATGAAACTCAGCGGCACTTTGAAACGCTCAAGTAGAGCCGACCGGCGGCTTTATTGGAAGTTATTGAGTAGCTGCCAGAGCTACTCCACAAACGCACTGCGAATGGTTTGAAGAAAACCGACTTGATAATTAGCTACAGTCGATATCCATTCGGGAGATAGAGGTGAGCTACTAACACCACAACTAGCTGGTGATCCTCTCAACTGCAACAGAACATAATTATCATACTGGCACCGAAATTTAATATTCTTAAGTTGGTAAGTGGATGGAGGTATGGGAATAAGCCCAGAAGCAGATCGCTATTGCACAAGGAAGCCAGCGAAAATATGCGAATCAACACTGTCGTGAGATCGATTTTGATGTTGGTGATCGACTGTACATCATGACAAAGCATATGAAGCTTGACTGGCCGAGCAGAAAGTTGTCTGAACAGACAGTCGGACCCTTCCCAATCCTAAGGAAGGTTGGCAACGCATTCGAGGTTAGATTACCTGCAAGCATGAAGATAAACCCAGTCTTTTCACCAGACAAGCTTCGGAAAGCTTCAAATTCAGAGCTATTGCCGGGACAAATACCAGATGCACCACTACCAACGGAGATACTGGGAGAACTAGAAGAGGATGTCGACGAAATACTGGATTCGCGGATATACTACAGGAAGCTACAGTACAAGGCACGATGGACAGGAGCAGTGGATAACGATTGGTATGCAGCGACGTTGTTCAAACAAGCGCCGTTGAAGCTGATGGACTATCATGCACGGTATCCCGACGAACCAGGACCCTCGGTGCGACTAGCGGACTGGGTCACAGCCGCAGCCAACGATTTGTATCTCGAAGACCATGTTGACGACAACAAACCGATTCAACGAGGCTCAATCGTGTTTTAAAGAGGGGGTAGTGTAACACTCTGGACCAGAGGCTACTTCCTTTTCGGGCTTAGCGCGGTTCCTGAGCCTCTGCAGCCTATCTGCGAGGCCTCACTCACTCTTTTCATCTTTTCTCTACACTTAGTATCGCGTTCAATGCACTTGTATCTCGCAATAGGCTTATATTACACTTGCAGGCTCAATGATTCTGTCTTTCTAGGAGCTTTTGAGATTGGAGTACAGTATTGACTTAAAAAACTTGCCTTGGCAGAGCAGAAATTATGCATAGCAAACAAGCCTACAAATCTTATTACGTGGCAAAGTAGCTTACGCGATAACCCTTTGGTAGGTGACTCACCGTGGCTAGATTTAATTATGTAGTCATGGCGTTACATCGCTTGCTATAGCCTTGTCACATGATATAATCCTGATGACCACAATTAAAGTTGTCATGCAATGAAATTGTTTTCTTCTCTCGGGATCACTTTGAAATTTTAATATCCTCCAGCTGGTCAAAATGTCTAAAAAGTCACAATCTGGGTTTCCTGTGGAGAATCCAATGACTTCGTATTGGCTCAGGAACCCCGATCCATTGGCAGCTTATTCTTCGTCAGAGAGCGTCCCAGAGCATTGTGATATAGCTATAATCGGAACTGGGCTTGCAGGTGTAGCGACTGCGTATCATATCCTCTCAGATCCCAGTACTGCAGCAAAAAGCCCAACCGTCGTACTCCTTGAGGCGCGTGAGGTCTGTTCGGGTGCGACAGGACGAAATGGTGAGTGATTGCTTTTCACTGAATTTATTGGAGTCTTGTTTTAATATACCAAAAGGCGGGCACACAAAATTGGCTGCGACTTATGCACAGCAGTTGATTTCTACTCATGGAGCGGTTGCTGCTGAAGAGATGAGCGAGCACCAGCTTGATCAGCTAACTGCCCTGGCAGAAGTTGTGAAAAGAGAAAATATCGATTGCGAACTAAGTGAAACCCATTCTTTTGACGTTTACTTTGACGAAAGCCACGCGCGAGAGGCCCGAAACTTCCTTCAAGAACAACGTCAGAACGAAATAAGCTGGTCTCAGAAAGCCGAATGGATTGGAGAATCCGAATCTGATAAGGTGTGCTCTTAGTACTTAGCAGAAAGCCCGAAATTTTTGCTGAGACTGCATAGGTCACAGGTACAAAAAACAGCAAAGGAGCGATTCGAGTCCCGGCTGTCTCTCTATGGCCCTACAAGCTCGTCACTGGTCTTCTTGGCAAAGTATTAGAACGCGGAGGCAAGTTATACACAAATACTCGAGTGACAAACGTGGAGGGAAACTTGGATCATACAGTACTCAATACAACGCACGGCATCTTGAAAGCTGACAAGACAATTTTTGCGACCAATGCATACACTGCCGCACTCTTGACACGATATGAAGATATTATCAAGCCAGTGAAAGGCCAGAACTCACATATCTCCATAGGATCAAATTCCTCTCGGCCACCTTCTTTACAGAGTACATACAATCTGCGCTTCGCACAAGGTCCGGACTATCTCGTTCCTAGGCCAGATGGAACGATGATTCTCGGCGGAGCAAAGTGGGAATTCGTCCACGACAGAGAAAAGTGGTGGAACAATGTTGATGACACAACATTAATCTGTCAAGGAGCTACGGACCACTTTGACTCTGTGATGGCTGATACTTTTCATGGATGGGAGAACGCCGAAGCGCATCATGATATGGTCTGGACCGGAAGTATGAACAATGCCATTGAACTTTGGAAGTATCAACAGCTTACAAAAAGACAATAGTAATGGGTGTAACGCCTGATATGCTTCCCCATGTGGGTAGAGTGCCGGATTCGCAGAACCAGTGGTTACTGGCGGGATTCAACGGGGCTGGAATGCTCCTTATTTTCACCATGACGCAGGCCATTGCTAAGATGGTGACCAGAGGCGTCGAATATGAGGACACGGGACTATCGAGTATCTTTCAATCTACTCCCGAGAGATTAAATGCTAAGTGGAAGAGCTGATGGTCTTTTGTTTATGGTATGATCATGCGTGAGCAGAGATGGTGGAATTCGAGAGGAGCTAGTTACAGTAAGAATTCGAGTTGCAGAACGGACTGCATATGTAATACTCCGCAACCTGACCTTACTTCCCTTTCGGGCCTAGCTCCCTTTCAGGCCCCACAGCTTACCTGCAAAGCCTCACCTTCCATAGTTTCTTCCTCTTCACACTTAGTATCGCATATTCAATGCACTTGTTTCTCGCAATCAGGACTCTATTACACGAGGCCTCACTCACTCTTTTCATCTCTTCTCTACACTTAGTATCGCGTATTCAATGCACTTGTTTCTTGCAATCAGGCCTCTATTACAGCGATGGAGGACGCCCCGACTGGCGAATGGCTATTGGCAACCAGCATGTAAGCGTGCTCCACCAAAGCTGCCGTGAATGCGATAGTTAAATCTGCGTAGGTACCGCGTTAGGCTTCGATTGACGTAATGATGCAATCGTACCACCAAAGTCTGCCATTGATAAAAATAAGATTTTCAGGACCCTGAGCCCGAGAGACTGAGTTTTTCACGATGAACCATAAATGCACACTTCAACGTATCTGTCATTTTTGACGATTTAAAAGGATTGCACTGTTAGAGCTCTTAATTCATGGTTATGTATACTATTCTATCCATCGTACTTTGTGGTCACTGTAATGTTTCGCGTCCAAGCATTTTGGATAAGATTCCTCAATGATTATATAATCAACATTACATCATTAAAGGCCACTCAGTCCGTTCGACTTCGATAGTCTCCTGTCAACGCTTCCTGGATGTCTTTTCATATAAAGACCACGGGGCATGGAAGGAAGCGATGCAATTATTATCACTGCTGCCGTATTTTTGAGCATCTCGCTCGCCGCTGTCAGTCTTCGGTGTTACGTTCGGTTGGGGATAGTCAAAGCATTTGGGCATGATGATGCCTTGATGGTTGCAGCGACTGTAGGTCAACAAAGAACCGCCATTCGCCTACCACTGCAGTAAGTGTACTTATACCAGTCCAGATATTTAATATCGGCTTTGCCACGTGCGGCATTGTGGGCGCCGTATATGGCATGGGGAAGACTCCAGTCTATCTAGCCCACCACCAAGAGGATCTGCGACGTGGTTTATTGGTAAGTATTCTAAACTTTGAAGATTCTGGTTCACTACTTACCAGATACCACGCGGAAAGTGTTGGTGGCTAGGTCAGGTTCTTTACGTATTCACTTGCACAATTGCCAGGCTATCCATTGCCACAACTCTGCTTCGGCTTACGATTCATCGTACTCACTCGTACATTTTGTACGGAGTAGTTACCTTTTCAACTGCTGTCGGGATCGTTTTTCTATTCTTCACTATTTTTCAATGCCATCCAGTAACTTACTATTGGAACCACTATCCAGAAACTGGCCATTGCCTCGGCATCAACATCCTCCTTGGCATCGTCTATATGTATAGCGGAATGGCCGCCACGTGCGATATAATTCTTGGATCTCTACCCATTTTGATTATATGGAGACTCCAAATGGATCGTCGGACCAAGTGTGCTGTGTCGGGAATTTTAGGGATTGCTGGAATGTTCGTATGCTCTGCCTCCTCACAAAATAAGTCCTGACTCAATACACATTTTTCAGAGCGAGTGCTGCCGTCATCGTGCGCATCCCATTCCTCCATCATGCTAAGGATCCGGACTTCCTTTGTAAGTGGAAATGTCCTTTGCTATTTCGTTTGCTGACTCTTGTTCTTAGATGCAACAACACAGATTTCAATATGGTCCAATGTCGAGGCCAATCTTGGAATTACTGCTGGCAGTCTTGTAACAGTGCGACCATTTCTTCGTGTATTTGCAACTCATAACTCGTGTGTCCAATAAATTTGCTCTCAGTTATCTCTTTTACGGTATTGAGTAGTAGAGAAGTTAGACAAACGTGTCCTTCCCTCCAGACCATCGGAAACATTAAACTTGCTTTCTTGCGCGGAACGTGTCAATCACTCTTACACTCGAACTTTTTAATTTTGGTGATGATGTGTTGATTACTGAAACACTATTTTCCTTTCTGAAATTGCTGCACTTTCTCTCATCGGACTAAAATCCGATTATAAATGTTGAATCGATCGGTTAAATTTACACCCTTTTAATAGGCCTGAATTTTCCGTCAAAAATCCTCTAGCTTCACACCTTGATTTCTTGGCCCTCTCAACGATCTTACTTGGGCCTCTCCGGCCACCTCCGGGGGGGTTTAAAGTCTGTACCTACATATTGGCTCTATGCAAGAGACGCTACAAACGATCCGATGCTTCCGATTGCTTTTTAAGGTTGGAATGTAATATCTATTAACTAGGACGAAAGCTAAAATAATAGTCCGACTTAGAAGAACAATATCACCGGGCTCGCCTTCTTTTACTCTAAGTATACATTCCGTACTTTTTATACGTCACTAATAGATGGTGTGAAGTCTTAGATATGTAAGTCATAGCGAGATTCCGATTCTAGATAAAAACGGCGTCAACCCTTTTACATTACTCTTGATTCACCTCATGGCGGTGACTCTCCGTAGATTTCCTAGCCCTGAACACCCTGTTCCTCCCGCAGACAGTTCCATGAATAGCCATAAAAGTCTTTTTGGGCTAATCTTCGAATCCATAGTGGCTAGGAGAGCAAAGCCCGAGCTTTTCTTTTTCGCTTTGATATACAAAATAACTTATCACATTTAGACAGAATGCTCAAAGCTTATCACAGCGACGGACGGCATCGTCCTTTTCAGTAATGTAACGGTTTAGTTGTATAAATGGTCCTCATCGGTGTCAGCATATTTTCGGCTGGTGAATCTCGCTTGTTTAAAGCCTCCCAGCTCCACATGAGCAAGCAAAGCTTCATTCGCAATCATAAATTCTTGGTATCTGTGCTGCAGCAAATGAGCCATAAGTTACAATGCTGTCTTTATCTCTGAGGAGTTCTCTGAAGATGGAGGATCGAGATAGCTAGAAATAATTTCAAGATATTTCACCGTACTTTTGATTAGTTAATGGGTTGGTACTCTTGCAGGGGGCCTGAGATCACTTTGAGACTCGCTACTCGGTGTCTATCACATTGTCACTCCAGAAATCGACCCAATCTTTTTTTTCTTTGCCTCCAGCTCTGAATTAGCCGTGTAGGGAATCATTTATACCGACGCTATTATATCGGCTCCTAACGACTGAAGCTCCCGCGTAGTATCAGCCCGATCGCGAGAGAGATATCCACAGTCCAACCTTGCTCCGCTATTTCAAAGTCAACCTCTGGAATCTCTTTTTCCTGAGGATTTTCATTAATTGGCAGCATTCCCGCCCCCTCCCCGACGCTTATCGCGTACGTAGATGTCTTTGGGTTTACCCTCTCGAGGAGAGTGTCGAATAACATCAAACAGGGGTAAAGCAGAGATCAGGTCGCCAAGTTTAGAATAGCCGTAGTTACGAGAGTCGAAATCAGGGTGTTTTCTTGTGAGGAGATCCCCGATATGGGAGAGCGCAGCCCATCCTTCGTCATCGGAGGCCGTCTCTATTGTTGTATGGAGCAGACTTGCTAAGTGGTCAGCTGCCGGAGTATGTTGTACTGGGTCATGATTTCTAGGCACAATAATCCTCTCGGGATGCGGGATAAAACGAGATTTTCGGTATAGATAAATTTATCGCAGGCAGCGACGAAGGGCTTAGGGGATTTGTGCTCTCCGAATCCGTAAACAACTAGTCCAGACTCGCGAATACGACCAGCCAACCGAGTAAAGTCACTATCGCTCGAGACGAGACAAAAACCATCGAAGTGCCTCAAGTATAGAAGGTCCATTGCGTCAATGATCATAGCCGAATCGGTCGCATTCTTGCCGTGGGTGTACGCGAACTGCTGCATTGGCTGAATTGCCTGCCGCAGAAGCTCTTCCTTCCAGCCCTTCAAGTTGGTGCTAGTCCAATCCCCGTACGCCCGCTTCACGTGAGCAGTGCCATATTTTGCGACTTCCGCAAGTAGGAGCCGAGCTGTAGCTGGCATGGCGTTGTCCGCGTCAATGAGGACTGCGAGATTGAGAGTGGTGTCACCGACCATGGCTGTGTACGTGTAGCAAGTGAGAGCTGTTTGAACAAGTAATGCTTGGGCTATTCCGACTCTGTGACAGTCGTTGCCCTCGTCATATTTAAATATTCCGAGAATAGTGACGTAGCTGTGAGTAATGATCTAAAGAATAACCTCGAGCATAAAATGAATGACGCGATGAATATTAAAAGCCAAGATCATACGCAATGGTACAGTATTTCCGGAAATCGGGGTCCCTACACTCTTTCTCTGTTTCTGAAACCCTGATGCCATAACACGCTAAGCCGAATTAGAGCAAACATAGATCGGAGTGTTGATGTCCGGTCTTTTACGAATACTGGAAGACGCGTGCGTCGCACGAGTCGGCCCCGAAACGAAAGAGAAAGGATATAGGAATGCAATCTGAAAGGAAGCTTTCCAGGGTTTCTTGTTGCGGAAATACATTTGAGTCCACTTGGGCCAATGAGTGAAAGCGTTACAGATGACTAAGCCGCAACGCAAAAACGTGAAGCAAGTTTTCAATATATTGGCCTCAGTTTTAGTTGGATTTGCAAGTATATCGGCATACTAAGGTTTTCTTGGTCTTTTTAAACTCCTGGTTGGGGTAGTCATGAAAACTCGCGGCGAGCCCTTGGTGTCGTCTACCTCATTAATTCTTAATAATCTGAGTGTCTTCCCTGTCTTCATCAACAATGGTATTTACTCCAATGATAGAACTTGCAAGCTTGGGTTAATAGATGGTAGCGTTGAAAAGATCCTACTTGAGGTGGCTATAAAATACCGAAAGACGAATAATATGGTCGCCGCCGCATACGCCAAAGACCTTCCATGTCGGATCGTTCCTGGGCAAGTCGAAGCAGAAGAAAGGATTCTGGAAGCTCTCAAGCCATCTATCGAGTATGTGGCTCGAACTACCAATCGCATGGACCATAATTCCATACTGGATAAGCTGTCGGTTGCTACTGAAGCTAGGTTTGACTCATTCTCCGATCGAGATGAGGTCCAATGTTTCCAAGGTACTAGGATCGAGCTCCTCCAGCAGATAATGGAATGGGCTATGTCGCCATCCCAGAAGAGCATATTCTGGTTAAATGGAATGGCTTGGACAGGAAAATCCACGATATCTCGGACTGTAGTAAGATCGCCCGAGGACACTAATCATCTGGGTGCCAGCTTTTATTTTAAGAGGGGCGAAGGGGACCGAGCAAAAGCGAAGAAGTTTTTCCCGACATTAACGAGGCAGCTGATCCTTAGGATCTCTGAATTGAGGTCTGGCGTGCAAAAAGCATTCGATCAAGACCCTGGCACTGCGTCAAAATCACTCAAGGAGCAGTTTGAGAAACTACTTCTTCAACCGCTACTCAACCTTGACCAATTCGTCCAACAAACTCGAACCACTGTGATAGTGGTCAACGCTTTGGACGAATGTGAGCATAATCCAGACGTCCGAAACATAATTAGATTACTGCCTCTCTTACAGAAGGCAAAAGCACTTCGTCTCCACATCTTCTTGACTAGCAGGCCTGAACCCTCAATCCACCTCAGTTTTTCAAAGATTATGGACAATGACTATCAAGACTTAACTCTTGATAAGATACCTGAAGAATTGACTGCACGGGATATACAATTCTTCCTGAAGAACCAATTCACGAAGATCAACCGAGATAGGAATATTACTACCAACTGGCCTGGCGATGATGTCATCCAACAATTGGTCACGATGTCCGTTCCACTGTTCATTTCAATTGCCCCTGTATGCCGCTATATCGCAAATTCTAGGTGGGAACCTAGATCGCGCCTTGAAGAACTTCTAACGGACCAAGCCAAATATGTATCGAGAATGGATAAGACATACGTGCTACCTAGGTAGTTCTGACGCAATTATTGGATGATCAGGATAACGATGAGCCAGAGCAGCAACAGCTCCTGCAAGAGTTCCAGAAAATAATCGGTGTCATCATTCTTCTTGCTACTCCGCTTTCAGTGAATGCGCTGTCAGCTTTGCTTGGTATGGGAGCTGAAAAGATCAGCAATCGGCTGAATTTCTTCCGATCGGTTCTGAATATTTCCGATAACCAGGATCAGCCTACCGGATTCTACATTTGTCGTTTCGAGACTTTTTGGTCCAATATAATGGCAAATTCGGAGTGGAGGGGCCCAAAAAGCATGAGGAAATTGTGCTTCATTGTGTAATACTCTGGATCAGGCCTGCTTCCCTTTTGGGCCCAGTGCGATCCTTGCAGCCTATCTGCGAGGCCTCGCCTACTGATTTCATCTCTTCTTCAAACTTAGTATCGCGTATTCAATGCACTTGTTTCTTGCAAATAGGCCTCTATTACACAGGTCAGGGAGCAACATACCTATCCCAATATCTGACCGTTTCATTTAGCTTCTCTTGGGTCAAGTCACTGTATCGCTTTTGTCCCCAATATTAATATGACAATATCAAGCCGGGGTTGGAGTTTAGTCTGGCGATGTAATAAGGAACGCCGTTTTCGAGACCACAGATCGAAAAGTCGGGGACTCGGACTTTTCGAAGGAAATATTATCGGCGACAGGTCTCGGTTTTCGGCGATGGCTAAACGGCTTTTATGATCGCGTCGAGTTAAACCTCAGTTATCTAGTTAGGTAATGCGTAGATTGGTAATTTGGATCTGATTTATTCAATCTAGGAAGATGATCCTGGGGAAGTAAGCCTGACATATGATTGGCCATAGCAAACTGTTCATAATGTGCATCTGCTGCTTCTCTTTCGGGAAGTTCCTCAAGTTCTTCTTTCTTGTCGAAGAAGGAGGGGCAGCCGGTGAGTGGATTCATGCAGTGAGATCACTCTCTGCATACGAGAACGAGAGTACTGACCCATCGCGGAACTAGTTCCCGCGTCGGTAATTCCACGTCCGTCTCTCGCATTGGCCGAGCGCCAACAGCGAGCACAGACTTCCCTGGTCATCCACAAAAGCATGAGTCAGCTCACCATAGCTGAATGATGGAAATAATTATGTTCGGCAGACGATTTACATCAGTTGGGCGTCCGGGCACGTTGCGGTTGCACGGGAATGCATCAGATACAAAAAACAACATGATTCAAGTAAGCGTTGAAGTCACCTTATTGGTAGATTCAATGTAACATTCAAAAAAGGGACCAAGCACAAAGTGAAACTTAGCTTCAGCGGAATTTCGGAGAAGCAAAAAGGAAAACACTTAGTTCTTCCCATTCTACTCTACTACTCTGGCCATAGTGCGCCCTTTATAGTTCTGCCCTTATCTCAACCCAGTTAGTACCTCAGGGGTCTTTCGGGCACGACTTGCCTAATTGACAGTCTCACGGCACAAACACTATTTCAGAAAGTGCTCGGTACTGCTACCAGGGTAGTGAATAGGGCGTCTTACTGCTTCTTGACTGGGGAAAGCTAGATCGAGCGGAAGTCCGGGGAACATTGTGTGGGGTAACTATCGCTGTGAAGATACCTTAATTTGAAATGATACTGGGCAAAAACACATAAATAGATACGCGGCCCAGGTTATGATATTATAAAAAAACCACCGAGCGAAAAAGAAACTTTCGAGGCGTCAATTACAACTGCGATGAAATCCCTCGCTGGCGTGGTACTTCTTGCCAGCAGCGCCCTGGCTTGGCTTCCTCAGGATCAAGACCTCGCTGCATTTAACGTCTCTCGCTATGAGACACTTGAAAAGCGCTTTAAACCGGCCTTGCCCAATGGCGTGAACAAGATTCGTGGTGTCAATTTTGGAGGTAAGTCATGAATACCCTGAATACCTAAAGAGGCACCAAGTAACCACAAGACTTTAGGATGGCTCATCTGCGAGCCTTGGATGATGAGCAACGAGTGGAATAATGTCATGGGCTGCAACGGCGCTGCGAGTGAGTTTGATTGCATGAGAAACCAGTACTCTGGAAGCAATCGTGAGAATGGCAACACCAAATTTGCAAACCATTGGAGAGATTGGATCAATCCGGCCACAGTCCAGTCCGTTCACGACGTCGGTCTCAATACCATCCGTATCCCGATCGGCTACTGGTCCTATGTCGACATCGTGGATAAAGCTAGCGAGCCTTTTGCCGACGGCAGTCGCATGTTACCATACCTCGACGCAGTCGTCGGAAAGGCCGCCGACCTGGGCCTTTATGTCATTATTGACTTTCACGGCGCCCCTGGCGGCCAGCAGCAGGATGCCTTCACCGGCCAACTGAACGTCCCCGCCGGTTTCTATAATTCCTACAATTTCGGTCGCGCTGAGAAGTGGCTCTCCTGGATGACGAATCGCATTCACACCAACAACGCCTATCGGTCCGTCGGCATGATCGAGGTCCTCAACGAGCCTGTCTCCCGCCACGACGCTGGCGGTCGGTACCCGGCTCCAGGCGAGGACCCTGGCCTGGTGCAAGACTACTATCCCAACGCCCTCAAGGCCGTGCGAGATGCCGAGGCGTCTCTGGGCGTGGCTAGTGACAAGAAGTTGCACGTCCAGTTCATGTCAAGCAAGTGGGATTCTGGCGATGCGCGTAGCAACGCACAAGTGAAGAATGACCCTATGACTGCATACGATGACCACAACTATATTGGTTTTGCTTTGAGCGGGACGAGTGACCAGGGGGCCCTTATGAATAGTGCGTGCTCCGATAGCCGTGTTGTAAGTGGTCAAGACTTTACAATTACCGGCGAATGGAGCATGACTTCTGGCGCCGACTGGCATGATGCTAGCTTCTTCAAGAAGTGGTTTACTGCTCAACAACAGCTGTATGAAAAGCCTGGAATGGCCGGGTGGGTGTACTGGACTTGGAAGACGGAGTTGAATGATCCTCGCTGGACGTATTCTTATGCTACTTCTCTCGGATATGTCCCGACTACTGCAGCTGGACTGGAAAGTAATGTATACCAACAGGTCTGTTAGTATTGACTCTGCCTGTCTGCCTTACTTGCCAGGCCTCCTTTAAAGTTGGCATAAGCAATTATCTCAGAAAATGTTATCTATGTGGTTAGGTTATAGGGATACCAAGGTTCAAAGAAAATAGAGTGATCATATGAAGTTTGTTTATTCAAGAGTAAAAGAGGATCGTAAAAGGTGCTTGAAAAATTGATTTACTTTGTGCCTTTTAATTAGTGATCGTGTTATGTTCTTGATACTCAAGTTTCCATTGTCGCTTGTATATAACGAAAATAAATTGCCTTTGCTAATCAACTTAAGCATCACCATGGCGTTTTTTGCGTGAAATTGAACATCCAAGGCTTGATCAGCCATCAAATTTTAAAAAGACGTGCCGTCTTGTAGCGATCCGTCGAAGGATAGGTTTCCCGATTTCACAATTCTCATAATGTCGGTGCCAGCAACACAGTAGCACATGCTGCTTGACATGTTCCAACGCCGAGTTGCACGCAATTATAGAAGCAGGTGCGGATGCACCCATCGTAGCACCCCACGTGAACCCTGCAGCAGAATAACAGGCCATAACTATGCTTGCACAACCAGCCTGGCATATTCCATAAGCGGCAGGACCGGCGGACACGTCAGTGGCGAGGAGAAAAAGGAACCAGAATTGTGCCCAATAAAATCTCATCGTGATATCTGGTGGGTTTGGAGATTTATCAAGTCCGGTGACCCTGAGAAATATGAATAGTTGATGTTGAGTATACGTGACGCGTAGACGATGTGTGAACTTTTGATCTCAAGTTGTCCATGGAGAAATGAGGGATGTTATTGTTGTTCGGGTAGCTGGTTCATGACGTCAACGGATATGCACCAAGGGCCAGCCTCTCTAACATCCGTGATCTAGATTTGCTTCAAAAGATGTCAGGCCTGGGGTTAAGGCTACAGTATCCAACTACATACACTTTTTTCTAGCAGCGTGTTTCGAATATGGCAATACTTGTCCATCAGACATGCCTTCCAATTTCAAACTGTTTCCCAAAATAACGGCACCTTTCAAGGTCGTCCGTTCCTGCTTCCCCATCATCCGACCATGAAATGCCGTCTCTCAACTGAAGCATGCGCTTTGTCAATGCATCGAGCCGCCCCTCGTCCGCAAATTCCACCCTTTCCACCGCCATATCTAGCCCCAGGAGTGTTCGTATTAGGCTTTTGCTACATTAGTATTCGACATCAGATTTACCTCTTCACTCTTAGAATTTCATTCCCAACCACTATTTTGAAACATACTAGTCTAATTTTAGATATTCCCCACTGATCCCTGTCAGACTGTATTCTATACCCTGGTAACGATGGAAGGGTCGTTGTTATAATACCGTAATTTCCTTGGAATTTAATAGAATCTTTCATGCAAAGAAACCAAGCAAGGTGTAACACTCTGGATCAGGCCTACTTCCCTTTTGGGCCTAGTACGATCCTCGCAGCCTATCTGCGAGGCCTCACCTACTGTTTTCATCTCTTCTCCACACTTAGTATTGCGTATTCAATGCACTTGTTTCTCGCAATAGGCCTCTATTACATACTTGCTCAGACGAGAGGTGAGAGACGAGTCCTGCTGTCAGTTACGACACATTGTAAGGACTCGGGATGAAATAATATTCACGTAGTATTGACGAAAAGTAATAAAGCTGAAGAAAGGAAAGAGAGGTAAGCTCTCGCGCGATTGTTATGGTACAGATGGAACAGACGGTTACGGGCACGTGATCGGGCACGTGACTCCGACAACACCGGTTCGTCACACACATCAGAACGCGTCGAAATAGCCCAGTCAGGACGAAAGAGGGTTTGAAAAGGTGAAATGACACTTAGTATCATGTTATAGAGGCCAGATTGTAAGGAATAAGTATATTGAATACGCGATACTAAGTGCACTGGGCCAAACTTGATTCAAGCCCGCACGGATACTATTGACCTTCTAACGATGTTCTATTATCAGTACTTGCCAGTGGCAAATTGGCCCAATCCCTGTTTGATATTAACCTCCTGATCCAGTTTCAACACATTGATGATGAAGCAATTGGGTGTGAACCGGCCGATTCCTCGGGTAAGCAATAATCTTCCTCAAGTTTCAACCAATGTCCAGCAATAGGGCAATGAGACTTGTGCCCATATTCAGACACCATTATGCGATGCGCAGAGTGGAGGTTGGTACAATAACTACAAGGTTTATTAACTAACATAACGGGATAATGATATCATTATAGTAGACTTCTTGTGTGAATTATAGACATGTGATGTATAGACAGAAGTTAAGACTCAGGCGGTGCCGACACCATCTAGCATAGGCTTTAACCATGAAGTAAGCTGGGTCTTTCGACGAAGACCTTACCACAATGATATCATTATACCATTATGTTTCATTCAATGAACCGTTTGTAGTATCATCCTTTGCCCATCAACACATTAATCCAAAGCATGCCTGTTCTCGCTCTCGCCGCTGCTAGTTGCCATCTCGACCTTCTCAGACTCAGTGGCGTGGTGGTCGGTGGTAGTCAAGCCAAGCTCGACTTGCATCTCGCTGATTTGCTCGACGGTGAGCTTAGGCAGCTCATTAGCGATTTGGAAGGGCCACTTCTTCTCGACGTGGGCTTTGGCAAAGATAACGTCAACCTCTTCCAAATCACGGCCGGCAGTCTCGACATAAAAGAAGTAGGCGAAGGGGATCGCGGTAAAGTTGACAAGGGCGAAGAACAGGTAAAGGCCCCATGCGCTCCTGCTTGCGAAAACGGGGGTGAACATGACAACGGCGAAGTTGTTAATCCAGTTGGTGCAAGTGGAAGCCGCTGCTGCCATGGTACGGGTGCGAAGAGGATTGATCTCGGGAGGATAGATCCAAGGCAACGGTAGCGTAGTAAAGGCGAAGAAGATGATAAATAGGAAGATACCCACAGCAGCACCCTTAGCATTCTGGGTGTTGTCACGGACTAGGCAACCCATAGTAATGATAAAAGAAAGACCTTGCCCAAGGAAACCAATCAGGAACAAGTTGCGACGACCAACCTTTTCAACCATGACAAATGAAGGAATAGTGGCGATAGCATAGACAGTAGCAAAAACACCGCCAATAATCATCGCCATCTTATGATCCATATGCAGGTTATTCTCGAAAAGAAGAGTAGAGTAATAGATAGCGGCGTTACAACCAGTAAATTGTTGGAAGAACTGGCCCGAGCAACCTATCATCATACGCTGGAACTCCTGGGTCTTGCCGAAGGTAAAGAGAGTCTTCCAACTGCTGTTGGACTCCTGTGCCTCAGCAGCCTTCATATCAGCCTTCATCAGGTTAAAGTCACGTAGGACATCCTCAGCATCCTCAGAACTATCGTTAAGCTGGGCCATAACATAGAGAGCCTCCTGGTCTTTACCCTGCATAATAAACCAACGAGGTGACTCCGGTAGCATAAGGGCACCAATTATGACAAAGATAGCGAACAAGATCTGGAAGGCAACAGGGAACCTCCACTGAACAGAGCTCTCCGTATATGATAAACCAAAATCGATCCAATATGAAATAAGGGTGCCAACAGCAATTATGGCGCCCTCGAAACAAACAAGAAAGCCCCGGTTATGGGCCTTAGAACACTCAGATTGCCAGACAGGGATGGTGGCAGTGTCCATACCGTTTCCAAGACCGGAAACTACACGGCCAATCACGAATTGACCTAGACCCCAGGACTCGCCATAGGCAGCAGTAGAAAGAATTGTACCGACCACCATGAGAGAACCACCAGTAACCAGCAAAGGAGTACGACCAGTACGCTGACCAAAGCAGAGAGTGAAGATAGCACCAAAGAAGCATCCCAGTTCGTAGCAAGAATTGACAGCACCCTGCAGGACCGAGACATGGTCCTCGTCGTTACCAGGAAGGTCTTTATTGAGGATCGGGAATTGCTTGACAAAGGATTTGCCTTGTAGAATACCGGACATCAAACCCTGGTCGTACCCAAAGAGGGAGAAACCGACGACGGAGGTGAAAGTGATGGCCCAGTGAAGCCTCCTGCCCCGGAGGCCAGAGTTGGTTGTCCACATGTTGGTATGATGCGTGCCTCTGATAAATGAGGGAGGATAAGCAGAAACTGAAATGATAAAGAAAGAATGCAGACGGAATTTGGGGGGTAGGCAACGCCTTTGTACGCTTTTCAAACTTGAAGATAGATATAGGTCTACTATCTGTGCCTGTCGGCATCAGGAGCCCCACCCCCACTGGTCTATATCGGTTGATCCCGCCAAGTACTACCATGACTCCACTTCGTATGAATATGTGGGAATATGTATGGAGTAGGGCGTCCAAACATCTTCGGCCCACTCGGCAGCCCGCAAGACTTGCCCCTTCCTTACGCTGCTGGTCCACTCACAAGCCCTCGGCCCCCACGGCAGATCGCCATACTTGCCTGCATCCGGTGCTCGAGGGGCCGCCTTGTTTAAACTTTCCCCGACTAGGGCTTTTTCGGCTTTGGCTGCCGAGGATTGGCCCATTGCCAAGGTGAAAGAAGCTCGTGCCCAGGAGAAGAAGCTCTTGCCCAGAAGAACCAGGAAAACTAGGAAGCAGGAGAACCAGTTGTACGGCGGATCGTAAGAGTAGGGTTCGAAATCCGAGGGAGATTTGGAGTAGCCGATGCCCAAGTTAGGCTCGTTCTTTCTACGTCTCGGGCACAAAGAGACCATACTAAAGGAAGAGATCGAATCGGCTAATGATTAGCCATATAGATCAATTTAATCAATTGAATACGACATAGCACGCAAAACGAAAATGGATGATGGCCTACTGCCTAGGATCATTGTCAAATCCTTGACGGTGGATCACTTCGGCTCCCGAGAGAGGAATCTCGCCCGACCCTCCACATCCTCCACGGGGAAAAATAGGGAGGAGCCAGACGGCTAAAGGAGCTGAAAAGACTTTCCTTTGCCCTAGGTGAGCCACTGAGTGTGACTGATTCCCCATGGTAAATCGTTCATGCATCAAGCGATACCTGAAGCCGCGGTCACTCATGCAGTTGAATATTGAATACATATCGCTCATGAAACTCACCTCAGTTGCCCCCTTCATTTCCTTTCACAGCCTCCGTTTTGGCCTCCGCCCTGTTGATGTTGCTATGTTGTCTCTGATGCCGACAGCCGTATACTGTAGGTTACACTCCGACACATCATGGTCCACCACAGATGTCCAAGGGCCAATCGCACTCCCTCGCACTCACTCCACTCTCTCGCACTCCACACGGAGTTCTGTGGGGCGTGTGCCTCTTGGCGTACTTCTCATCACTCGCCGGTACAATTGACGTAGATCCTGCTTCTTTTCTGACCACCCCAATCCTCCAGATAATATCTGATCTAGGGGTGCACACGGTACGATATCGTCGGATTTTAGGCATATCGTTATCGTTATCGTACCGTCGAAAATTTGACGATATTTATCGTATATCGTACCGTCCATCCAAGCACCCTACGGTACGCTAACGATAATTATCGTCCAAAAAATTGAGGCCAACGGTACGATATTGACGATATTGGACGGTAAAACGATATCGTCGAGTATTACCTAATATAGAGTATTACTAATCAAGGGCACGGCGGAGTCGCTAAGGCTTGCACGCCGGCCGCGAGCACCAATATAATCATCAAATTCGGCACCACCACGACGCGCTGTATCGCTCATAAATGCAATAAAAAATAGATTAGCCTCTATTTCCTATCTAGGCCTAGTTCCGGTGGTCTCTAGCGTCGTGTGTTAAGTGTGGCCATGTTGCGGAGGTTTCAAGATTAGCCATCTCAACCCCCAACACTACCACGGTCCACAATACACTGAATCGCTCAAAAATATAATAAAAACCAAACAGCCTCTATTTCCTATCTAGGACTAGCTTCTGTACCATTTTAGTCCCTATACCCTATGCCCTATACCCGAGAGACCCCACATTTTCAACATAACTCTGCAACATGAAGCCTTTACCACACTTTTGAATTTTTACCACCTATTCCGTTATTCTATTCAATATGGCTTCATCACGACCTCAGCGTACAAATACGCAGCTTGATTATCTAGCTTTGAATTATGGATACGAAGACAACGTCCCAATTGAAGACCAATACCCTGATTATCCTACTCAGACTACTCTCTTTTCTGATACACTTGATACTATTCAGACAACTCCTGATTCAATCCTCCCATCAGAATCAGCCTCACAGACTATTCTACCAGACCCTGATACATCGTCATGCCTGAGTATAGTCTCCCAACCCTCAACTCGGAAACGCCCTCGCAAAACTGCTCTCTCAACTCAATGGTTATGGGGCCATTTTGATATTATATCAATTAAGCGTCCCTGGACCACTCGTGCTAAGAAGCCAATGGATACAGACCGTCTTATTCAATGCAAGAAGTGCAATTGGGAAACATCCGACTCTGTTAGATCAGGATCGTCGAAGAACATGGAGCTTCATCTATACACCCAACATACTCTCTCTGCGCCATCTTCCTTATCTTCCGATTTAATTAATCAACCTTCAATCGTTGATTCCTTTAATATAAAGCCAAAGCTATCAGTGGTAGCTCAGTTCCAGGAGAATATTCTACGATGGGTTGTTAAGGAAAAGATGGCCTTTACCACTATTGAATCGCCCTCATTCCGCCAAATATTTATGGATCTACCATATCCGGAGCTTGATGCAGCTTTATTTTCACGAACTACAGTAAAACGAAGGCTTGAGGCGGAGTTTCAGCATCAACGTACGCAATTGAAGATAGAACTTGCCTCAACATGCAAGTCTATTGCGCTTTCTCTAGATATATGGACAAGCTCAAACAACATCTCTATTATCGGCATTATCGGGCACTGGTTTACACCGGACTTTCTTTATAAGGAAAGGGTACTTGAATTTATTGAGTTGCGAGAGACTCATAGTGCTGAAAACATTGCATATGCAGTATTTGACATGCTACAAGAGCTTAATCTCGAGGAAAAGCTACTCACAATTACTGGTGATAATGCAAGTAATAATGAGTCGATGGTTTTAATCCTTCATGATCTTCTCAAGGCCCAGTGCCCAGAGCCTCAGTTCCTTGGTCTTGATAGTTATATCCGCTGTCTTGCTCATATTCTGAATCTTATTGTGAAAGATATCCTTCGTGCATTGAGATCTGGTACTGTCCATGAAGCTTCGGAGATCTGCAATCACTTAAATGATCAAGATCTTTCATCTGAGACTGCTCTATCACGTCTTCGAATCCTTGCAATATGGATCAGCCGAAGTAACCAACGACGAGCTTCATGGAAAAGTGTGTGTGCTCTTATGAAGCTTTCTGACCGATATATTCCATGTGATGTTGATACACGCTGGAATTCAACTTTTTTGATGCTGGATACTGCCCTAGGAGCGAAACCGCAAATTAATCGGTATCTTGAATTGCAGACTGAGCTTCCTCAGTTCACTAGGCAGGATTGGTATCGTCTCTCGCAGGTTCATCAAGTCCTTAAGCGATTCCATAATTTGACGCTATTTGTGTCTCAAAAGCATCCTCAGATGAGCATGGCCATCCCTATTTACTACGAGCTTCATGACTTGCTTAACCAGGGGGCTGAGAAGCAAGGATTATTTGCAGATATAGATGATGATATTGCAGTTGCAATGTATCGTGGTCTTGTTAAGTATCAGAAGTATTATGCCTTTATGGATGAGACTGATGCTTATTATACTGCATTAATTCTGGATCCGAGGATAAAGGGAGATCTTCTGCTTCGTGAGCTATCTGGTGATGGGGCTGGACAAATGATTGTTGATTCAATTCGTGAGAATATGCATCAGAAGTATCATTATGAGTCAGTTAATGAAGACTTTATAGTCTCAGTTGATCCTATATTGGATATCCATGATGATCCTGAGGTCAGAATGCTACGGCGATTAGCACCAATTGCCAGAAAGGTAGCTGGATCTGATATCGATGAGTACTTTACAACACCGCGAGTTGATATTAAACCATCTGGGGATCGAGAGTGGCTAGCTAAATGGTGGCGGGATCGTCGTGATAGTATGCCTCAGATGGCTGCAGCTGCACGGGATTATCTTGCAATTCCTGCATCTGAGGTATCTGTTGAACGTCTATTTAGTGCTGGTCGTGATCTTATAAAGGTTCGACGAACGTCGTTGCGTGCGGATACGATGCGAATATTAATGTTGATGGATGATGTTATGTAGTATATAGAAGCTAGTCCTAGATAGGAAATAGAGGCTGTTTGGTTTTTATTATATTTTTGAGCGATTCAGTGTATTGTGGACCGTGGTGGTGTTGGGGGTTGAGATGGCTAATCTTGAAACCTCCGCAACATGGCCGCACTTAACATACGACGCTAGAGACCACCGGAACTAGGCCTAGATAGGAAATAGAGGCTACTCTATCTTTTATTGCATTTTTGAGCGATACAGCACGTCGTGGTGGTGCTGAATTTGATGATTATATTGGTGCTCGCGGCCGGCGTGCAAGTCCGAGCGACTCGGCCGTCTCGGCGGGCATAGCGGACGTACGATATCTGTCGGTATGAGTGGGGAATTGGTATTGTAAGGCATGGTCAGAATGTATCATTGTAACTTAGCCAAGAGTCTTAGTCATGGTCGGTCGCATACAAATTAGTATGTGAGCGAACATAACAAAAATTAGACAACTACCCATGGACCTGATTGGACGTACATTTCTGTTCCGACAGTTATGAGCCCGGCTTGCTAAGTGAATATATTGCCTATTCTGTCGAATCTGAGGCTATTCATACCGTTTATCTGTCGAATTGACCCCGTCGGTCAATTACCCCTGAGAGCGAACCGATCTGTACACAGTATCTGCATCGAAAGCAGCACTGTTGAATACAACCCGATACCGCTATGGAAAACGCTGTTATCTCCGCTTCGCAGAGCGTCAAGCTGCGAACGTCGGCCGATTGGATCGATTGGATACGTGCTATCCGCGATGTCGCCGAAACCGACCGTGTATGGAAGTTCATCGATCCCGATACCCCTGAGAGTATTCTTCCTGAACCGAGAGAGTGCCCTGAACCACCGTCTCCCGAAGCGAATGCAACGGCGATCGATCTATATAAGATAAATTATCAGCGATGGGATCGAGAGGAGAGAGGACTAGCCAATATCAAGAGAGTGATTATGGCAACCGTTGAACCTGCAGTTAGGGATCAGCTGTATGATAAACCTACTGTGCATGGACGTCTAGTGATGTTGAGAGACCGATACTCTGACTCTGGAAACCTGAATGAGGAATATCGCCAGGACTATATGTACAATGCAGTGTATCCACCGCGGAAAGGTGAGGATGTAAAAGCATTTGTACGTCGTTGGGAGAAGATGAGAGATCGGATGATTGCTATTGGTGAGACCCAAATGAAGTTTAACAAGGACTTCCTGTTAGCAGTGAAGCATTTGGCACCAATGTGGCACACACAACAACTTCGACCTATCACGATCGAGAGCACCAAGATGGATAATAGTACATTGGTGAATGACTTCCTGGCTCACTACCGCGAGCACTTTGGTAGCGCACCAGCACCAGCGCCACCGACCAATCTCCGAGGTCATTCAGCACCAAGAGCTGCATTCTCAACTCTTCAAGGTAGCACTGAGGCTGTACCAGATTCGCCAAGTGCAACAAAACCGGCTAAGAAGCGGTCGTTGAAGGATGTGCCAATGGCTGAGCGATGGTGCCCGTGTGGTAAAAGAAACCACAAACCATGGGAATGTCCATATATCAATGAAAAGGAGAGATCGGCCAATTGGAGTGCCGATTCGAGAACTCAAGGAAGGATCAACCAGATGCTCAAGGATCATCCTGATTGGAAGGAGTTTATTGACAAGGAGATCAAGTCAGCCAATCAGTATTATTCAGCTGAAAAACAGGGTGCTGCCCTAGGTACTTGGTCAATGACTACGCTGGCACTGAATTGTCTTAATCAAAGGCCTCACCTTAGGGATGAATGGGTATTTGATACAGCAACTCATCGCCATATCTGTGTGGACCGAGATCTGTTCATTGAGTATACCCCTGATGAATCAGTCGTCAAAACTGGTGACAGTGTCACTCGCACCTTAGGGTATGGAACTGCAGTAATGTCCTGTATTGACCCTAGAACGGGTGCGCGAAGCAGCGTCAAATTGCATAATGCCTGTCATTCACCTACCTTCCAAGCCAACCTAGTCTCGTATGGTTGTGCAAAGGAACGTGGCTGCCAATGGGATGAGATGAACAACTGTATAAGAGATCCGAGAGGCATCCCATTTGCACGTGTAGCCTGGAATGATAATGCGAAACTGTGGCTGTTTGATAAGCCACAGGGTGATGCAACTAATTGACTAGCCGATGGAACTGCCACCTTAGAGAGTGAGTGTGATATCGAGTACGCAATGGCAGTGCGGAAATCGATTGCACCAAGGATCTCTGAGGCATCGTCGGATGTGTGGCATCGCAGATTGGGCCATATACATCCAAATGCAGTGAAGAAAACAGCTGAGATGGTAGAAGGAATCAAAATCAAGGACCCTGAGGCTACTGGCATAACTGAGTCCCCGTGCCAGGTGTGTAGTATGTCACACGCACCACGTCAGATATCACGGAGACCGGTAGGTCGTACGTTTGGCAGGTTTGGCCAGCTGTATTACGACCTAATCGAAATGCCAAAGGAGTCACATAATGGCCACCGATATATCACACATTTCTATGTATCAGGCATTCGGTTCCACTGGGTGTATACGCACGCGCGTAAATCAGAGTGTCAAAACGGAATAAGGGCGTTTTTGTATCTGGCCACCCGTTTACTGAAGATACCCCTGATTGGAATTCACTCAGATAACGAGAGATCAGTGACAGCTGATACTGAACGAGAGCTCGAGGGAATGGGCTTTGTGGTGACACATACTGTGGTACATAGCGCTGAGATGAACGGCCCCGGCGAACGCTCAGGGGGTGTCGTCATTCATAAGGCCAGAAAGCTGCGTATTGAGGGCCAATTGCCTGAGGGCCTGTGGCCAGAGATGGTATACGCTGCGGTGTATATACTGAACAGGACTCCAACCCATCTAGAGGATGGAAGTTGGATAGTGCCCTGGGATGAAGCACGATCACACCTGGACCAGAACTTTGTGAGAAAGTCAGACCTGTCATGTCTGAGATTGTATGGCAGTCTCACCTATTGCCGGATACCGAATATTCCCCGTTCTCACAAACTTTGCCCTCGTGCGGAAGTTGGTTTCTTGGTTGGTTATCAGGCTTCGAATGTGTGGCGAGTTTGGATGCCCTCGTCGGGTAGGATTCAAACCGTACGCGACGCAGTATTCGATGAATCGTGTCGCTGGCACCCTGGCATACAGTTTTGGAGGGAGCACCCACTACCGATCCCAGAAACCCGTGATATCCTCAACGACCGTGAGGAATGGCGCGTTATTCACCACGAAATAGGTCTCCCTGACGACTGGATTGAGAGACGAATCGGACATGAATCTGAGGCCGAACAATCGAATCCAGCACCTACTGATGCTGAGAGCGTTAGTAGAGAGCCTGAAATTGAGGATAGCAGTGAAGATGACCCTGAGGAAGTAGCTGATCGTGAAGCGACACCTGCACCTACTCATCTTGAGGCTGTACAACAGTATACTCCGCCACCTACTATTGAAAGACCATCTCAACAGTCTCCGCTGGGACATCGTTTTCCGGCCGGAAAACCTGCTACAGAGACTGAGAGGGGTGAACAAAGAAACGACTTCGAATTCTACAGGAAACGAAGATCAGCAGGATGACCAGCCTCAGCAGCAGCAGAATGAGTTGTTTGAACCGGAGCCTCTATCTGAGAGTGAAGCTCAATTACACGAAGAACTGGCTACGCCGTTGCCGGCTGTAGCACCTCGAGACATTGATCTGTCGTTGAGCCCTTCCAATATTATTGAGGGTAAGCGCGAGCGTAGGTCAACACGGCGAGATGACTATACATATCTGGTTACCGAGGACGAACTGTCGGTCGAACCACCTGAGTTGTTATATGCATTCGCTACTGCGTTGAACGCTGAGAAACCGAGTCGTCACCGAGACGACCTGCCATCAGCACCTGAGCACTGGAATGATATGGTCCGACACTCTAACCGTGACGCATTCATGGCAGCAGCCGCCCTGGAGGTTCGGAACTTGAAAAGCAAAGGCACGTTTGAAGTGGTTGATCGTCCGAATGATCGATCTGTTCAGGTCTTGCCACTACGTTGGGTCTTTGACTATAAGTTTGACCAGGATGGCAACCTATTGAAACACAAAGCTCGTCTATGTGTGAGAGGTGACCTTGAGAGAGTAACTTCAGAGGAGAAGCGTGCTGCTACCCTCTCTGCCCGTACGGCACGGATTATCTTCGGTTTAGTTGCTGCGTTTGACTGGGATCTAAGGCAATTTGATGCAGTAAATGCCTTCCTGAACAGTACACTACCGAAGCCGGTGTATGTGAAGCCACCGGATGGATCAAACCTGCCGAAAGCAGTATGCTGGAAGCTTGTGAAGGCACTGTATGGCCTAAGGACCTCGCCAAAGCTTTGGCAGCAGGAGGCCTGTGGCGTGTTAGGTAAGCTTGGTTTGACACCACTACCTGAGGATCCTTGTGTGTTCGTTGGTAAGGGAATTATTGTATTCTTCTACGTGGATGATATTATTCTGGCTAGCGCACCTGATCAACGAGATCGCGCCTATGAGATCGAGCGACAGCTCCACACACACTGGGAGCTTACAGATCATGGAGATGCCCGCTGGTTTCTGGGTATTCGGATCATACGCGATCGATCAATGAAGAAGCTGTGGTTGTGTCAGGATGCCTATATTGCGAATATGGCGGTCAAATTCAACCTTGCGAATAAGCCCCGGGTGACGACGCCAATGACAGCACCTGATAGCCTAAAGCCTTACGACGGTACACCGCGCAGAGAGTATATTGAAGAGTTCTCGACCAAATTGGGATCAGCTCAGTATGCTACTACAATCACCCGCGTTGATGCCGCGAAAGCCACTGCTCGATTGGCACAGTTCTTGACCAATCCGGGACCTCAGCATATTGATGCTATTGATCGAGTGATCACCTACCTATATCATACACGATTTTGGGCAATTGCATATGGAATTGGTAGTGGGTTGGAATCTATTGCATTCGCAAGCGATGCCTCATTCGCAGATAACCTCGACAAGACGAGCTCTGCTGGATATCTATGTCAGATATATGGAGGACCAGTTGACTGGAAGGCGTCAAAGCTACGCACTGTCACTACCTCAACCACTGAAGCAGAGCTGCTTGCTCTATCGGAGGCCGCTCGGGCGATGCAATATACGATTCGCCTTCTACGCCACCTTGGTTTCCGACCAAACCATGAGATTACACTACGGTGTGACAATAGACAAACTGTCGATCTGATCACCAGCACCAACACCAAACTGCATACGAAGCTCAAGCACATCGATATACACAACCACTGGCTTCGACAAGAAGTGGCAGACGGTAGGTTGACGATCAGATGGGTGCCCACCGCAGAGATGGCTGCGGATGGCCTCACTAAGCCGCTCACACGGCAAAACCACGAACGATTTGTCCAAATGCTTCGATTACATGATGTTCGAAGATATATTGAGGACTGAGGCAGCCGTTCCTGCCTATTTGGGACCTTCAACGGTCTACATCGATTGGATACAGCATTCAACACGCTGATATTGGAAACCTCAGGTGCTTTGAATACTGAGGGGGTGTGTCGGTATGAGTGGGGAATTGGTATTGTAAGGCATGGTCAGAATGTATCATTGTAACTTAGCCAAGAGTCTTAGTCATGGTCGGTCGCATACAAATTAGTATGTGAGCGAACATAACAAAAATTAGACAACTACCCATGGACCTGATTGGACGTACATTTCTGTTCCGACAATATCTCACCCAATTAGGCTTAGCATGGCCGGAATATCAGTTATTCCGGCCGAGATCCTATCATTTTGTGACTGGCCTCATATCGGGCCGCTTCATGTAGCAATAAATTGCTACAATCCACCAGTATATAGATATAATAGCCTGTAGCATGAAGAATAATACTCTTCTGATTAGAATTTCCTCAATTACCATACTAATTAGTATAGCAAGCAGAGGAAAGTTGTTTTGCAATAGTACGCTACTGTATCTATTGCTAGCATAAATATAGATCAGATGAACAGTATTAACATGGTGCATATATATATATTGAGCGCGGAGGTGTGTCATGCCGCAAATAGAGACCTCCTATTGGTCAACACCGATGACTAAGGTCAGATGGCTACGTTTGGCATTATCGCAACGATAATATCGTACTGTCGGGTCTTTATCGTATCGTACCGTCGAAAAATTTTCTCTGCGGAACGATATCGTACCGCCGGCGACGGTACGATATCGTTATATCGTTTTATCGTGTGCACCCCTAATCTGATCTCCAATGTTGGGGCTGGGCTGGGTGCTAAAACTACGTCACAGATCACAATGGCCTCTATGACTCCACCAAGAAGGCGTTGGCCCACTGGAATATGTAGACCCTGACTGGCACTGGCGGCCAAGGGATTCATCTCCAGCCTCAAATGCAACGTGTTGTCAGTCGGGTGAAGCGAATTACGCGAAATACCGTATACTACAAGGCTTCAATCTCCATTTCATCTGGCCCACGGAACCAGTTGGGGCCGAGCACCACAGCCCAGATCCTGAAATGTATAGCCTGGGCAGTACTAATTTTTGCTTCGAGGCACGAAAACGAAATCCGACCGAAACACAGTGTAGAACGAAATATTAACTAATCAAGCAGGAATGGGGGAATCAAACGTAAGAAATTGGAGCAGATTGGTCGGGAAATTAGCCGAAATGAAACGTCCGAAATGTTTCTGGCTGCAGGTGGGAGCAATTGAAGACTGGTTCCATCAAACACGGCTTCGCACCAGGTTGTTGGGCAAGAGCACATAATTTGGTTGGGCCAGGGCGATCATTCATTCAATCAATCACTTACCCAGTGCCCAAGCTCAGATATTGACCTGCTGCATACAGAAAGGACAGAAAGGACAGGAAGTGTAACACTCTGGACCAGAGGCCGGCTGCTCCCTTTTCTGGCCAGCGCGGTTTCCGCAGCCTCGCAGCCTATCTGCGAGGCCTCGCCTACTCTTTTCATCTCTTCTCTACACTGAGTATCGCGGATTCAATGCACTTGTTCCTTTCAACTTGGCCTCTATTACAGTTGGATCTCATATATTTCTCCCACTCGTCAGCTAGTGATATCTCAGACTGTAGTCACATCTGCTAATAAAACTTTGTTCTGTCACCACCGAACATAAATATCATGAAGCAAATATAGTAAGTTTTCACCCGAAATCTTCGTTGGCCAGGCTCTTTGTGGTTGTGCCTTGTAGGGACAGGCTAGGCGGCGTAGTGTTCCCGTGAGGCTGAACTCCCGCAGGCTCTCACAAGGCTAATCTAACCGTCAACCCCACTTTTCAGCGACAAATTTTATCGAGGAAAATGATCTTTATGATTAGTTTCTTAGCATTCAGCATCATCCTAGGCTTTAGCGTATTCTAATCTGGCAGTTTCAGAAATGCCAACTCAAGCACAAACCTCTTCACCGCCATGCCCCCCCTTCCACAAAAACGATCAGCTCAACGGTGATCTCAATGCATCGCTCGATTATCTGCCAGTTCATCCCCGAATCAAAATGAGCGATGGTAAGAAATTATTTGATTTCATTCGCCAGCAAGTCTGGTCAGAGGACCTCGAGTCGATATCGGGCAGACTCTGGTGGATGTCGAAGCAGGATGGCAGCAACATCTCTCCGTTGCACCGACAGCGAGTGAAAGGCCAACAAATCATCGTCACCGAAGATCCTCGGCTACTTCTCATCTGGATCGACGACCGAATCTTCCTTTAACCCCTACCCCAGTACATAATGTCCTACGTAGTGACTATGCCTACGTAATTTATTAGAGTATTTTAGACGGTGTTTCCCCACCCCTGCGTCGGTTCGGCCACCAAATCGAGCTGCCGCCCGACATATACGTGAATAGATAGATTGACCAACCCATCGATCGATCAGCGCTTGCATTACTTTGATCGGTTCAAATCCTTCTGGCGGCCACGACGCTTGTTGGATCCTGTAGGGCCCTCAGTTCCGAGTGAAGCTTGAAGCAGTTATCTGTAGTGCGCCACGGGGCGCTGCAATTCGTGCAAAAGGGAATCTCGACCGTGGCAGACTTTGTTCCGATGGAATGAATCTTAATGTTTTTGCTGGTTTCTTCAATTCCGCTCACCTCTGCGCAGAGGGCGAGGGACGCGACAAGTGCGGTTGATTGGATGGTCGCTTGCGACACGAATGATGTACCACGGGTCTGGTCAAGCTGTTGTTCTGTCTCCCAGGCTGCCATGGACAGTTCCGAGAATTCCATTTGACTCCAAGTGTCCCCAGGCACACGCTTCACGGTCTTTCCAGGGAGATAAGCACTCTTAAAATTGCTGAAATCTGGGCCGAGGCAGTGAAGGAAAATTGATGACTGCCATTCCTCGGGAAGGCTCATGCCGACGCGATTGACCTCGGCATTCATATTCTTGATCTCGTCTGAGAGGTCCTGGACTCGGATACTCCCACTGCTAGTGAGAAGCTTGGCAAGACGCCCGATTATAAATTGGATATGGTGATTCATATTCGGCTTGAGATGCTGTTTGCTGGCTTCGAGCAATGGTGCCAGCTGGTTTTCATGCTGCACCTCTTCAAAGATTGCGAGGAAACACATCCAAGGACAGCTATAACCCCACAGTCTTGTTTGTCTGATCATGCCTCTCGCTTCCAGTTGGTTTCAGGCTCCCCAGGGGGATCGATGTTCCGAGTGAGTAGACCGCCGAAACCTACACGGCAGATCGCATGGCGAACCCTGGCATCCCAATCGAGCCATCCGATCTTGTGCGCGAGCACAGGGAAGTCGAAATTTGCCGGAACACTCATCGTGGAGGCGTGAGCTGTATACTATCCAATGAACAGATCGGGATCTGTGGCGGGATTCGGCGCGTCAACGGGAAGGGTATCGATTTGTTCTTTACTAAGGAACCGATCAAACGGGGTGTAGGGTGGGAATGTCTCCGTCGGAGAGGCTGAATTGCTGACTATCAAGCGGTTGACCCAGTCATTGGTAGTACACACACACACAATTCATTAACGCCCGGCGGCTGAGCCGAAAGGGCAACTATCACTAATCTACCAGTACATGCATGTTTGGGTATACGCCGTGTCTCCTTGAAGCCCATACAGTATTTCCTTCCGTATTTGTCATTTCCGCTTCATTGGTAGTACACACACACACACACACAATTCATTAACGCCCGGCGGCGGAGCCGAGAGGGCAACTATCACTGATCTACCAATACATGCATGTTTGGGTATACGCCGTGTCTCCTTGGAGCCCATACAGTATTTCCTTCCGTATTTGCCATTTCAGCTTTCAATCTCATGGTTGGTCCCTGTGGTTAGTATTGGTTAGTAGACTGGCTTGAAGGCGCTTCTTCAAGTGTTCAACATCCTATCTTCGGTAGTTGAAGCGCGTCTACCGTCGATCACAAGGTGTCGGGGTTAGTAAGGTGAGTTTTTCTATCAGCTCGTCGGCAGGTCTAGGTGGCCTCAAGTCGGCCCGTGGCGATGGCGAATCGTATTGACGCTCGCACTGCTTCCACGTTCGGCTTCCACTTTTGATCATCGGAGGGTGACTTCCCTCCCAGGAAGAAGGACAAGTTCCCTCGGTGTGTATCGGTACATTGTAACATAATCGTCCGGTGTGTGGTCCACTTCCGACATCGAAAGAGAAAGTGGTCCACCGTTTCTCTTGCTTGTCCGCATGCACATTGATCTGTCTCGGCGGCATTGATTCGAAAGAGATATCCATTGAGTCTCGCCATGCCGGTGCGGAGCTGAGCCAGCACGCTCGCCTCTTTCCACGATAATCGGTCATACAGCTGTCGCGTGTGTTTTCCTGGGAGTGCGGTATCCACTCGACGGGAGTGTCTCCCTACGTTTTCGGGCAGCTTGCGGCTGGGGATTGCTTGGGTGCTCGCAATCTTGAGAGTCGTTGATTTCATTTTGGGAACCTGTACTTGCGGGATGGCATCTTCTTGTGTCGCGGCTCTCGCCTGCTCTTTCGCCAGACCAAGTAGTTTGTTGTCTTCGCTAGTGGGGATCCACTGGACGTTGATGTGGTTTCCATGTTTCTGCAGTCTTCTCATCAACTTGTAGATTTGACAGACAAATCCCTGGCCCGACTGTTGTCGCGGGTTCGTCAACGTCAGAGCCGCCGCTTTGTTGCTCGTGATCAGTGTGATCCGAAAGTCTTTCAATGATGCCGCAAGTGTCTTCAGTGTATGCACTATGGCGGCCAGCTCCGCGGAAAACGGATTGTGATCTGTCTTCGCACTCAACGTGACAGACAAGGTCTTCAGTCTCACTTTCCGCTGGCGTGGTGGTTGCTTTTCGATCGCCACTCCAAACCCGACCAGTTCATTCCGCGCCGAGCTGCTGAACGCGATCTGCATTGATCCTCTGGGTACAGTTGACCCCTCCGAGATAGGCTCATCATCCATTTGCACGCGTGCGTCCCATGGTGCCAGTGTAAACGGGTTGATGGTTTCCAGTGACTCCATGTCGATATTTTTCAGCGCGTCCGCTACTTGATATAGTGGCGAGCGGTGGTATCTCCTGAATTTCCTGATCCGATCTGTGCTCCTGCGGAGAGGATTGGTTTCTGGTAGTGTGTGGAGGTCCGTCCACATCTTCACGGCTCGTCTCCAGAATCGGTGTCGTGCCGTGGCGATATGGGCCTCCGCCTCCGCTACGCTGGTCGCAACGGTGAGGAATGTGCCCACAATTGCTTGCGCTCCTAGCCTTTGTACCCTGTTGATCGGTCCCATGTTTTGATTCTTGAAGGCGTGCATCCAGACGTTCGAGGCATAGTCCACCGCTGGGGCTACTGTCGATGAGAACAGCTGCCGCGCTGTCGCTGGCGAGAGACCTCGAAGTCGTCGAAGCTCCATCGCTGCCTCCAGGCCTTTGGACGCTGCCCTGGCAATATGTTCCTTGTACTTCAATCGCGTGTCCATCAGGACCCCGAGGATCTTAACCTTGTTCTTAGGCACGACCGTCTGTCCCTTGATAGTGAATGGCTCTCGATCTACTTTGCGAGCCTTGGGTGCGAAATGTATAATTGCCGTTTTGTCCGCTTCAAAAGTTGCCCCGCTCCTCTTCTCCCAGTCGAGCGCTTCATTGACGATGGCCGTGATGCCGTCCCGATTACTCTGCACAGTTGGTCCTGTCACCCACGCGGTAAAGTCATCCACGAACGCGATTGCTCCTCCTTGGCTGTCGATCTGTCTCTGTACGAGGTCGGCATTGAAGAAAAGAAAAAGGATTGGAGACAGGGGCGAACCCTGAGGCAGTCCAGCCTGTGGCAGGTGCTGGACCTCGGAGATTTGCCCATTAACTTGAATGGACGCTGTCCGTTGGGAGCAGAACGCCTCAACCCAACCAAGAAGGTCTTCTGGTATTCCTCGCGCCTTCATTCTCTGGAGCAGTCGTTCTTTGCAGACCCCATTATAGGCTCCTTTGACATCGAAGCTGATCAAACTCAGCACCCGTCGGCCGCGCCATGCTGTGTAAATCTGCTCCTGCAAAAGCAGGAGTGCCTGTTCCGCGGACCGCTGCTTTCGAGCCCCGAAGTGGCTGGTCGGGAGCAGGCCGTGGGTCTCCACTGCGTGCGAGATCCTTTCTGCCACCACTGACTCCAGGATCTTGCCTAGCGTCGCGAGGAGTGAGATCGGTCTCCACGCCTTAGCAATAGTGTAGTCTTCCTTGCTCGGTTTCTTCAGTGGGATGATCTTTGCGTGTCTCCATTGTTTCGGCAGTGTGCCTTCTTCCAGTGACGCCCGGAAGAGATCGAGGACCCGGTGTTTGACCGTCGGCCAGGTCATCTTCCACACGATGGCCGGCAGACCATCCTCACCTGGCGCCTTCCAAGACTTCGTTGCGAGCAACTGCCTCTCTACCTCTTCCATAGTGATGACCGGCATCTCGACCGGCGCTCTTTGTGGTCTTGTTCCTTCGTCTTCAATGTTCTCCGGCAAGGGCGGGAAGAATTTGGTCAGAAGTTCTTCGGCTTGTTCCTCATGGTCAGTGGTAACCGTTCCGTCTGCTCGTAGAAGCTGCGGAACTTTCCCGAAAGGCTGCATCTTCTCCTGACTTCAGGTATTGAGCAGCTTTCCAAATGTTGTCGTTGTCGGCCAGAAAGTCATTCCAGTGCTTCTTCTTTTGTTTCCGAATTGCGTCATGGTATTGCTTCGCGGCGCTTGCGGCCATGTCCTCCAGCTGCGGCACCTTTCGTCCTGCTCGTCGCTCCGAGCGGGCGTGGTTTCTCCAATATGTGTATATCTGACGGAGTTGCGTCAGGTCCGCCGTCCACCATCGCTTTGCGTATGGTGACGGTTTGGCTCTCGGCGTCAACGCGCGAACCGCTTCCGACACCGCGGACATGAGCCGGTCGGTTTTTTGCTGCACCGAGCCTCCCCCCCGGGGTGGCAGCTAGCGTTCCTGCAATTCTGAGCATTGATCTCCTTCCACGGTGCGTTCTTCAGAAGTAGCCGCTCCGTCTGCTTCGGAGCTGTCCAAGGAGCATCGAAGACCGTCTCAATGGTCCGGTGGTCTGAGCCGTGCTCTATTCCATGTACCGCACATTTGATCATCGAGTCCGTCAAGTTTTCCGAGGCGAGAACGAGGTCGATCGTCGACTCGCAGTCCCCGGAATATCCTCCACCGTGCCATGTCTTGGTGCCTCGTTTGAGCAGGCTGCTGAGTCCAAATTCATTCATAAGGTCGATGATCGGATCCGCTTCGCCTTGCCTGACTGAGGACACCTCGTCTCCTCCCCACAGTTGATCATGGCGGTTAAAGTCCCCCATGATCATGATCTCCACCACCGTTCCCGAGTCTTGTCGTACTTTAGTGATTGCTTTTCTGAGATGATCGCATGCATCGTTCAACGCAGCGGCATCGCCTCCTTCCACATAAACCGATGCTATCAAAATCCGTTGCTCAGGAAGCCGAATCACAGCCGCTGTTAGGTCCGGCGACTCGATCTGTACTTGCTCCGTTTCCACATCCTTATTTACCCACAGCATGCTTCGAATCGCCCATCTCCCTTCTCTCCACGTGGAGGGGACCATCTTAGTCCATTGATGATGTCCCATCGGGGTGGTCAAGAGCCGGCCTTGAATCCTCCTCGCCTGGGGCTCCTGGATCGCTAGTGCCACTGCGTTTGCGGTATCTTGGTCGTTCATAAGGCTTTCATGCACCTCACCCTGTTTCCTCACATTCAGTTGCATCACTCGGAGCGTTTTATTCATTGCGTGGCGGATAGAGCTTCCGACAGTTTCTGCTGAACGATTCATGAGGGCCTCCGCATGGAACGCACCTTGGAACTGTCTGGTCGCAGTTACTGTGGCGATGGCCTTCTACGGCGCACTTTGCGCATCTCTGGGCATTCTTGCACTGAAAAGCCTTGTGCCCAATCTCCTGGCACTTATAGCATTGCATCGGTCGTGGTCGATGCTCGAAGGTGCTGGTCACGCCGGATTCTCCCCCAGCATGGAAGTATCCGTCGGCTAGCAGTCTCCGTGCGTCACTACCTTTAGTGAGGTAGACGACCATTGACCCATATGCTTTTGCGCTCTCCCTCTTGCTAAGCCATGCGATTTTCGCAACGGTGGCTTCGTTCTCCTCGCTGAAGGCGGCTGCGGCTCCGGCACGGATCTCATCTTTTTCATCCAGAACTGCGGCTTTATTTACGCTGTCAACTTTGATAGGGTAAAGCTCATCCCGGAGCACCCGTGCCCCTGCGCCGATCTTGGCTTCCGCCACTTTCTTAACCAGCTGATGCTCGGCCTCGTCGCGGCACGCTATTCTGATCCGGTTCGTGTTCTTTGGGTCCACAGTGACAGCGCGACAACGCCAATGCGTGTGGTCTGCCGTCGCTCGGATCTCTGTCTCGACTGCCGCCCGGATAGAGCCTGCAGACATCCTCTCGTTTTCGTTCTCTGCCATCCTGGAGGTGTCGATTGTGCAATAGAGTGTGTCGGTGAGCGTGGTTGGTGTTGTGTTCGATGTCGAGAGGCTCCGTATATTACTCGGGTGGCTGAGCGGGGGAGTGCGGGCGACATCGGCATAGGACGGGGATCCTGTGAAGGCGGGAGCGCTGATTTCTTCACGTAGGGATTGGATTTCTCGGAGGATTTCATCGTGACCAGTCTGGGCGCACGCTTCGGAGTTGCACTGCGATGTCGGGGTCCTGTCTGTCAGGTTCTGTAGCTCGTCCCGGACCCCAGCGAGGGCAGCACCGAACTCTGCTTTGGCTTTTTGTAGTTCTTCCTTGTGCAACTCGTCTCGTAGCCTGATTTCTGTCCTGAGTTTGGCGATCTCTTTCACCAAATCGTTCACATCGAGGTTGTCGCTCTCAGTCGCGGAGTCATCCGAAGCTGCCTTATCAGGCTGAGATTCGGGTCCAGTCCTCTTCTTTTGCTGAGGTCGCGTCTGCCTCTGTTCATTGTCGGTTTCTTGTTCTTGAGCATAGATTCGGGGTGGTCTGGTGATGCGTTTCGGTCTTGCCAGTCGCGGTGGCGAAGCTTCGCGTTCGTCGCGGTCGGGCGGCTCAGGGGTTCGCATCGCGGCCCGTCCCGCCATCACTCTCAATCAGTACAGGAAATCGGTATTGTCGCCACGTGGCACTCCGTAAAGCTCCAGAGTCCTGCTACTATGTACAGACGCCTGCGGTCGTTACCCATTGGTAGTACAGTGCCCCATTGGTAGTACAGTGCCGCTCGAAATCAGCTTCACCTTTGTTTTCTTTTCTTTTCTTTTCTGAACTTTATTCTGAAACACGCTAGTCCCCCTTTAGTTTAGTCTATTGTGGGGTCTTGAAATGTTTCGTAAGGATAAATTACACGAATGCGGAGTTGTAACTTTCCTGAAACACAAATCCAATCGTTATGCTACGGTTAACCACAAGGTTCGTCACTTTGATTAGAGCGTTGGTCTTCTGCGGCAAATTCGAGGAAGATGGCGCTACATTCACGTATTGGCCTCCTGAATAATGTAAATGGAAAGACACATCATCTCTCAAGGTGATTATAAGGGAATATGATTAAGGCAGGCGATTTCTGTCTCGAATCAGATTACCTGATAGCGGGGTAGACTGGGGATTCGGAGATCCACGCGTGGATTTGAGCCTCCTCGAAACTCTTACGCAACGGCCATGGCAACTACTATTTCCTACGGCGAAAAGAACTCTGGATTACAGGCAGGGGTAGTGCACGGGAATGTCACGATCGGTAAGTGAAAAATAGATGTGACTGTAATCTACGGCTAGTATAGTGACCAGCTTCAGTACAATCCGAAACGCTGAATCAAGAATGCCTTCGTGATTTGTATGCTACCAACCCTGTCGATGATAAAGAACGTATCAAGAATGACAAGGGCGGGCTACTCAAAGACTCATATCGCTGGATTCTAGACAACAAAGAGTTCAAACAATGGCAAGACAGCGAGAGAAATCGCCTTCTCTGGATCAGGGGTGATCCTGGTAAAGGCAAGACGATGCTCCTATGTGGTGTCATCGAAGAGTTGACAGGACTGTATGGAGATAATTCGAGCATCTCGTTCTTTTTCTGTCAGGCTACCGATTCGCGAATTAATAGCGCCACGTCTGTGCTGAGGGGGTTGATATATCTACTTGTCGAAAAGCATCCATCCCTCCTCCACTATGTGCGAGCTCGGTACGACAGTGCAGGAAAGACTCTCTTTGAGGATGTGAATGCATGGAATGTACTGTCGACGATCTTCAGGGACATTCTAAATGACCCGATCTTGCAGATGACTTATCTGGTAATTGATGCTCTAGATGAGTGCACAAATGGGCTTTATTCTCTTCTAGACTTTATTGTCTAGGAGTCATCAGCCAACCTACAGATAAAATGGGTTGTATCTAGCCGTAACTGGCCTGAAATCACTGAGCGATTTGACATTGCCGCCCAACTGGCCCCGGTCTCATTAGAGCTGAACGAGGTGTCTGTGTCTGAAGCAGTGAACCGATTTATTCAGCATAAAAGCCACGGATTGGCAAAATCGAAAAGGTACAGCGATAAGACTCGGGATGCTGTTCAACGCTATCTATCTGCAAACTCGCAAGGTACCTTCCTTTGGGTGGCCTTGGTGTGTCAGAATCTTGAAAAGATACGAACACATGTGCTTAAGAAACTAAAGTTATTTCCTTCTGGGCTGGATGCTCTATACGGACGAATGATTGATCAAGTTCGTGAATTAGAAGATGTCGAGCTCTGTAAAGAGATACTGGTAATTATGTTATCCGTCTTTCGGCCTATTACGCTACACGAACTGACTTCGCTCATTCAACTACCGGATGATGACGACGATGACTATGTTCCCCTTGAGGTGATAATTGCGATCTGTGGATCCTTTTTAACCTTGCGGGAAGGCACTGTTATGTTTGTCTATCAGTCCGCAAAGGAATACTTACTCAAGGAAGCATTCGGTGTTATATTTCATGGAGGCATAGAAACCGAACACAATGTGATATTTTCAAGGTCTCTCGACGTTATTTATAAGATACTTCAACGTGATATAACGAATATCAAGTTTTCTGGACGCCATACAAAGTATTTTCGCGTGCCCAGCCCAAATCTACTGGCACCCGTTGAGTACGCATGTTTATACTGGGTGGACCATCTCTACGCTTGCAAGTACAACGCAACCTGTAGACTGAGTTTGAAGAACAGGGAGGCGCTAGATACATTTCTGCAGCGGAAATACCTCAACTGGCTCGAAGCTCTGAGTATATTAGGAAGTCTTTCAGATGGAATACGCGCTATGAAAAAGCTAGAAGGTTTAATTCAGGTAGGTTTTCATGATAAAACCAACATAGACTAGTGTTCTAACAAAATGCACAATTCTAACAGGAGGAGATCGAGTCTGTCAGCCTACTGGAGCAAGTTCGAGATGCTACTAGGTTTATTCAATATCATAGGACAGGGATTGAAAACAGCCCGCTACAGGTGTATTGCTCACCTCTCGTCTTTAGCCTATCAAAGAGCCTCACCAGAAGGGCTTTCCAAAAAGAGAGACTATATTGGGTTTTGAAATATCCTATAGTCGAGAAAGACTGGAGTGCCTGTCTTCAGACTCTCGAGGGGCATAGTAACGAGGTTACGTCGATTGCCTGGTCGCGAGATGGAAGTCGACTTGCATCAGGGTCTTGGGATAATACAGTCCGGATCTGGGATCCTGCCACCGGCCAGACCATATCCACTCTTAAGGGGCATAGTAGCTGGGTTGCATCGATTGCCTGGTCGCGAGATGGAAGCCGACTTGCATCAGGGTCTTATGATAAGATAGTCCGAATCTGGGATCCTGCCACCGGCCAGACTATGTCCACTCTTGAGGGGCATAGTAGCTGGGTTACGTCGATTGCCTGGTCGCGAGATGGAAGCCGACTTGCATCAGGCTCGGATGATAAAATAGTCCAGATCTGGGATCCTGCCACTGGCCAGATCTCGTCCACTCTCGAGGGGCATAGTAACAGGGTTACGTTGATTGCCTGGTCGCGAGATGGAAGCTAACTTGCTTCATGCTCGGATGATAAGACAGTCCGGATCTGGGATCCTGCCACCGGCCAGACTATGTCTACTCTCGAGGGGCATAGTTATTGGGTCAGGTCGATTGCCTGGTCGCGAGATGGAAGCCGACTTGCATCAGGTTCGAATGATAAGACAGTCCGGATCTGGGATCCTGCCACCAGCCAGACTATATGCACTCTTATAGGACATAGTAAAACAGTCACATCGATTGCCTGGTCGCCAGATGGAAGCCGACTTGCATCAGGGTCTTGGGATAATACAGTCCGGATCTGGGATCCTGCCACCGGCCAGACTATATCCACTCTTAAGGGGCATAGTAGCTGGGTCACGTCGATTACCTGGTCGCAAGATGGAAGCCAACTTGTATCAGGCTCAGATGATAAGACAGTCCGGATCTGGGATCCTGCCACAGGCCAGATCTCGTCTACTCTCGAGGGGCATAGTAACGAGGTCACGTTAATTGCCTGGTCGCGAGATAGAAGCCGACTTGCATCAGGCTCAAATGATAAGACAATCCGGATCTGGGATCCTGCCACCGCCCCGATCTCGTCCACTCTCCAGGGGTATAGTAACAGGGTTACGTCGATTGCCTGGTTGCAAGATGGAAGCCGACTTGCTTCATGCTCGGATGATAAGACAGTCCGGATCTGGGATACTTCCACCGGCCAGACCATATCCACTCTCGAGGGGCATAGTAACGAGGTCACGTCGATTGCCTGGTCGCGAGATGGAAGCCGACTTGCATCAGGGTCTTATGATAAGACAGTCCGAATCTGGGATCCTGCCACCGCCCCGATCTCGTCCACTCTCGAGGGGCATAGTAACAGGCTCACATCGATTGCCTGGTCGCGAGATGGAAGCCGACTTGCATCAGGCTCGGATGATCACACAGTCCGGATCTGGGATCCTGCTACCGGCCAAATCCTATCAACTCTTCATACTGACCTCACCAGCTTCCTCAGATCTGATACAGCTTGTTTCAACCGTGTGTACACCAGTGTTGGTATATTTGACGCAAATTCAGTGCCTCTTGTAACACCTATGTCTGATAATTTCACCCAACTCGAGCGAGGTGGATACGGACTAAGTGATGACCGCTCCTGGATAACTTTCAAAGGTCTCAATCTCTTGTGGCTGCCTTCAGAATACCGTCCGGCTTCTACCGGCTGTTTCGCAATACATGCAACCACCATTGCCATTGCCTGTTCATCAAAACGTGTTTTCTTTCTTGAACTTTCAACATCGTCTTCTATTCCGAGCCTATGATCAGTGCTATATCACCGTATCGCACAGCACTTTGATGCTTTCTACACTACCATTACATGCTCTGGGTACAATTATCTGAACAAGAATTCCTTCGCAGCAGCTTAGCTTTTCGAGAACCCTATAATGATATAACATGCACGAAAGGTACAGAGCGTGTCGTTGTAGTATCTTGGAGTGGGAGCGTATTAAGAATATTGGTCCGAGAGATCGGGAGCGGTTGAGTATTATCACGGTCACGGAAAGAGCTATTGAGCATAGTGAACAGTTCCTGTATATTTCAACATTAGTACATCTTGGCTTTCAGGTTCAACAAGCTGTAGAATCAATCAGGATTGCAAATCAGTGTAGAGCTGATCATAAACGCAATGTTAACAAAGACCCCACCGGTTCCGTTTTTTCTGTGTACTTTCGTTCGTTTAATTGCAAGGTTCCGGCGTGGAGGGGGAGTTGGGTGAATGTTGGAATGCAAGCTAGAGAGGTGGCCAGACAGACAGCCGACGGCATTGTTTGCCTTGTTTGCAATGTAGGGTCTAGAAGACGAATTGCTCGTACAATACGATACAGACGCTATTTTCATTCGTTTATTTACGACTGTATGAGAATACCGCCGAATAGCGGGTCAGGAGTAATCTAACTATAAAGGGTATAGTGTGATGCAAGATAAAGTTTCGAGAAGTTTTAAAAAGAATGAAGAGGTGAAGCTGATTTCGAGCGGCCCTGTACGGAAGGCCAAGGAGAGCTGACTTCAAATTCGTGGTGAAAGCAGGAGATGGAGAGAAGCAGGGGGGTTTGGACTGAAGAACTGAGCGGAACTTGTAAGGCGGTGTCATGACCCAACATTAGCTTCGGCAACAACAATCAAAATTTGCCCCAGCAGAAATTCCGAAAGACAGAGTGGCCGAGTGATCTAAGGCATTTGGCTCGAAGGACGAGGTCGCATTAGCTGTTCTTGTCTATAATCATACTGGACCAACGTTGGACAAGCTTGGTTGATTTCGCCTTTCCAACGATGGTGTCTCTCGGCCATACACCCAGTGGCCCGGTGTAGCTCTTACGGACATAATACGGGCGGCGAGACCCTCAGAGTGGAATTGGTCATTGATCTTAATTGGTTTGACGGGCAATGGTCCGAACTCTCATGATTTCTTAGTTTTACCCGAGATACAATGCGAGTACTCACAAACTTGTTAATTTGCCGGTCCGTCTCGTGTACAAGAGAACTTAATCGTCAGTATGCGATGGAACTGCTGTATACAATTTTCCAGGGTTTCAAGTGTCTGAAATCGGAAGGCAGGTTATCTGCGAGCTGCAAGACAGCTCTGAATCAGTTTCATCTGAGGCACGATTCTATACAGCACGTAAAATGGCCGCCATTGGCACAGAAGCCAACCAGTGAGAAATCTACGACAAAAACCTCCCTCTGCTTCCAAAATAGCGAGCTAGTAACCCAGCTCAAGGAAAAGCAATGCGGCTCGGTCGAAGAGGAAAGGAGCAACGGGCCACATAATCAGAAGACAGACCAACCGTCCCATTCCTTCGATTTGGGCCCTTCTAGGCAGAGATACGGCGATGTGTCAGGATGGGTCGCAGGCCAAAGAAAGTGATCATCTTGGTTGCCGTGTTTTCGCTCTTTAGATGATGCCTGGGGCGGGTGGTGAGCCGGATAATATATTAGTATGCATCTGTCTCTCGTGAGGGAACTGACGAGCCGAAGGGTAATAGAGTTTATTGGAGAGGGGGGGGGGGGTCAAGTAGGTTCAGTAGAGATCGCTCACTTCGATGAGCATTTATTTACTCAACAACTGTTGGAGACTCCGGGTCGAGATATGCTCTCGTTGGATATGTACAGTTGGATTGCCATTGTTTGCTATTTGTTTAATACTCGGACTACACCTCTACGGTTTACGGGCCTGCTGCTAAATTCTTTTATTGAAATCAGCACGAATATCATTATTAATTCTCTCTCCCTCGGTCTCAGTCTCAATCAAACGATCACGATCGTGATGTTGGTCAACAAACATATAAGCATCAACTTGCCTAGTTAGCCCAATCTCGCATCTATGCCGCAGGGACGGTTTCGATACCAAACCGAAATTGAAGTCGGAAATCATAATCCAGAGGATCGGCCAAGCATGTAACGGTTCGTGCAATGCGCCGACTCCCGAGTGCCGCGAGAAAATGCACCCAAGACCAATTATCCGATCACTTTCCCGATACGAGAGCCCAACAGGGCATCATATTCTGGAGATCCATATTCCCAGGTCTTGGGGGCCGGCTGTGGCCATGTCAGTCTATTTCTTCTCTCAGTATATATTGCCATCTTAACGCAGCCGGCTGTCTCTTTACTTACGACGTTTTGAACGAAAACGTGTCGCAAGGTATCCCTCTCGAAATACCGGGTATAGAAAGCCTGCTATAGTCCGGAAATATGATAAGCATTCGAATTTATCTCTCTGCCAATGGCAATTATAGTAATCGTACCTGCGCCGGTATCTCCAAGCAAAATAAAGTCTCAGTTTCGCATCTGAAGGGACCAGTACACTTGCCCCTGTGTTAGTCCAAGATCTCTTGCCTGGCCTGCAGAGCCATCATCAATACTGTGGAGATGAGGTTTTAGGAGATAGCGACATGTCGCCTCTACCTGCTGGATTGTCAAAGTCGATGGGTTAATGTAGCAGCCCGGTGATTCAGAATTCTCATCCACTGACGCGGTCGCTCTCCATGCACTTGCAGTTGCTCGTATTGGAAGGGATACTGTTCAGTCTGTTCCCAAGGATCAAAACCTTCCGGCTCGGTCGGTCGGTGCTGTGAGCTACTAGATGATAATGACGACGACGGAGACCCTGGGTGTTGCTGCCACATAAGAAGGAGTGAGATAGTTGTTTCCGCCTCTTCTTTCTCTACGGGAGAGGAGGACGATCTAGCACTCAATGAATATACCTAGTCAGGTGGAAAATTATCAACGAATTTTCCATTATCGCAAATACTGACTAAGATCAGAATTATGGGGAGACTTTATCTACCGCTACTTGAGGGATGTGGGATATCAGTGGTGAGTCCGGTGTCAAGCATCAACCACGATAGAATAACATACAGTGGGTCTACTTACGGGGAATTTGACTCTACAATGGAAACAGAGTATAAAAAGATTATGTATTATGCGGGAATATGGTAACCGCTGTGCTTTGTCACAGAAGTAGCTAACCCGCAAAAGACAACAGAAGAAAGAAACGACACGGATGGAGCTATATCATATAACACCCGGAACTTCTTATTCAGACCAATAAACCTAAAGCGACGCGCTTAGAGGATGGAGCCGAGAGCAACACAAGACAGTCCGGCGCCAATCAGGTCGGTGGACTGTGAATTGTATTAGTGGTTGAAATGGACAAGATCTGATGGAGGTAACTTACAGAACTGGCGGGGGAGTTTTGACAGCAAGCAATGTTCTGCTTGCAACGCTGGCCGATGAGATCCTGAAGAGGGATAAGAACAACGTCGACTGCGTGATAGTTAGTATGCAGGTAATAGTATTGTGAATATGTGAAGCTTACCCTGAACATCCAGCTTGGAGCACTGGCGGAAGATACCGACACCCTCAGCCCCGGAGCCAGTACCGACCAGGTGGGACAGAAGACCAGAACCAAGACCCTTGTTGACATTCGTGGTGTCATGGGCGTAGGTAGCCCTGTTACAGCAAGAGAGCTGAGCCTGGTTACCGCACTTGGACTGAGCCTGCTTGACGGTCATGTCGTCGGGGACGGGGTAGCGGACGGCGGTATCCCCCTGCTCCTGGATGCCAGACTCAGTGGGCATAGCAGCGGCCAGAGAGGCGAAAGCGACGGCAATAGTGGCAATAAAGAACCGCATTTTGACAGTGGTAAAGATTAAAGATTAGGGTCTTTAATAAAAGAGGTGGGGCTTTTGCCTTTGGGGAAGAGGTAGAGATGTAATGAGCAGAGAAGACAAGACACTTGGATAGAGAACCTTGCGAAACAATGACCAGGCGCCTCTTATCTTAAAAGATTTGTCTGTTTGGGGCTTGTGCTGAGTCTATACTCCTCTAAAAACAACCCTCGAGTATTTCGGCGCAGAATGCCTCACGCAAGGGTGAATCCTTCAAATAGCCTTGATCATGTAGGGCAGAGTGTTCCTCAATTGGTAAGTTCTCTCCGCCCGGAATATACCCGTCAATCAGAATGTTCCTTTGCCAGGAAGAGGCTCCTACGCCCTACATTCCTTCGCCCAGTGGTATCTATGAGAGTTACCTTGCAGGTCTCTTGTACCTTGAACGTGTCGTCTATTAACAGACAGGTATTTCACGGAAAGGGTACAGCTCACCGATTAATAGAAATCATTGTTGATTTATCACTGGAGCTCAATACTCTTTTGATGTAGCAATTGTGGAATCCATCACCCTTCTCTAATATGTGATGGCCATCCAACCCTCGAAGAATGCAACAGAACCAAGTTTAGACTTTAGTACGCCTCCCTATGCAGTGTCTTCTTGAGTTTGAAGTGGGATGAAATGGGAATTGTGGCGTTCGGGAATTTTGCTGCAACTTGCTGTAAACAAACCGCAAATGCGTGTCTCAGGGACCAAGACAATCTTCCGCCCGATATAAGTCTAATCTCAATGCCACAATGCCTCCTCAATTCAAAAATACATCCTCAACCCGAAATTTCTTTTCTGAAGTGGAGACATCGATTCACTAAACAGTGGGCCGAATATGATTCGGATCGGCTGCCGGATCGAATGTACTCGTGGGACCTTGTCGGTAACGGGGCCCTGTCGATCCCCCCACGCGGTTGACGCGTGAAAACCCAAGTGCGCGGGGGTATAAGGGGTGACCGTTATGATCGACAGTGCCATTCCTGAGCGGTGTATCCACCGTGAATGCGAGTAGGAGAGGAATGGGTAGTCAATTAATCAATCCAGTCTTCAATTACCCAGCACCTAAGCTCGCTAAGTCTAACGCTGCTATGCTGAGGCGCCAACTGGCCAGCCACACCAGGGATGATATGCTGCTGACTGTGTAAACACGTAAACACTGCGGTGTAACTGCAGCAACACCACCCGAACCTTCGCAGCCGCACCACTTCCACTTCCACGATGAGGCCTCTCAGCTGCCACTCATCGCTTTCAACTCCCTCTCGACTCGCGCGAGTTCCCTCCCAGCTCATTCATTCTCCAAACCCGCTCCCCTCTTCCTCCACAGCCCCCTCCAATCACCGAGGCCTGCATCACCGGCTCGCTGTGCCTTCGTGCGAGTGGTGACACCACGTTGGACTTCCCCTCCGACTCAGCCGACTACTAATCCTACAGTATCCAGGACTTTGTATCTCTTTCTCCCCTTCCAAACCACCTTCGTTCCTTCGTTCATTCCTTCTTCCTCCGACCGATCGCCATGATCGTCCTCCGCGTTTGTGAATCTCCTCAAGTATGAGTAATTCCATCACGGTGGCGTCGGTAGATCCTCATCCTGCAGCATCGGCTTCCTTGTCGGCAGACTGAGCAAGAATGCCCGTTTGGAGGAGGAAGTTGGCCGCTATGATGCTGGTGGGCAAGACTGACAGCATATCGACGGTCGTGACTATGGAGATTCTAATTGGATTGAGTTCGGAGCGCAATTCGGCCCTCTCCGTTGGATGTGGTAGAGGTACGCCGCTAGGCCGATAATACTTGAGCGTGCTTGAATAAGAACTGACGTTGATCCTTCTCTTAGGCCCTGCTAGTACTCTGGGCTTTTCTTGGACGGTTGCTCCGAGTCGCTTGGCGTGCTTCGCGACCTTCCTCGCTGGCAGCCCCCATCTGCTATTCCTCCTTTGCCACCACACGAATATGACGTTTCACCGCCGATTGGAATAAATAAACCGGACACCCGTGGCCACGCCTAGGCGTAGGCGCTTTGGCTGCATCTTCGCCTGCTTGGTCGGCCATTCATCACCGTGGGTGCCAGAGGAGCCGGGATCCAGTAGAATTCCACCCATGGGAGCCGATGCTGCGCAGTAAGTTTTTAATAGACTCATGGATATACTAATACTTGCCCGCATGGCATGCGTGAGTTTTGGAGTGCCTGTAGGGAAGCTTAACTGTCGCTGAACACCACCACACGGTGGAGAGGACCCCGAGGCTCATCGGATGCCTCCGCCATGTCGAGCACCATGGCGATACCTCGCAATTGGGCCGAATAAATGGTGGGAATTATATGTGTCCATATTGTTGGCAGTTGAAACATTGGCGTACCCGGATCACGCCAATGTTCTGACTGCCAACAATATGGACACATAGGAACCTCCGGTGTCAACAAGAGACGATGTGTGTACTGTGCGGAGGGCCATCAATCTCGAGATTGTCAAACGCGCATGCACGCAGCAACCAAGTGTGCCGACTGCGAGGGCGCACACCCAGCATGGCCGGACGAATGTGAAGCGAGGGTTGCTGCCGTTCAACGCAGCATGACGATTGTATCGAACTCACAGGCCATCCGCTACGTGGCAAAGTTCATGCACCAAACAGGACTTCTCCATCAATTTCGTCATGTGGATTGCGATGGAGTTGAAGCCAACATCGAAGCGCTCGAAGAGACCGCCAGCGGACACGAGGTGAAGACGCTGGGTACACGGATTAGATCACGATTGGAGGCTACGAGAGGCCATCGATCGACGAATTGTGATAGATTGAACAGCAGTAGGAGGGACCAGGGCTTGCGAATGCTATAGCCAAGGTCGCGGAATGGGGAGAAAGCGGAAGTGAGAGTGGCCGCAGGCGCTGCGTGAGCTGGCAGTCGTCGATTCCATTCATGGAGGGCGTTACGTTACCTTATTTGTGAGAGTTAATATTTGTTTTCCATGGCAATACGCCGTATCCCCTTTGTCTTTTGTTACTGTGGGCGTGACTTCGAGTGCAAGACGGGCAGTGGTTTTGAAAGCTCCACTGGTCAAGCACGTAGCACTGTGCTACCCCTGACTAAACTACTTGGCGTCGGCTATCCTTGTATTACCCGTAGTCAAAAGGAATGTAGGGATACCGAATACATATGTGGGCTGATTACTGTTTAGTTCAACCGGTGCATTGCCAACGCGGAGGCCCCCATCCTCTTGGCTCGGTGTTGTTGCTGTTGCTGCCGGAACGAGACTTGAGGGTCGAGGTAGTAATCAAAGTAGCGTTTGGCATCTCTGGTGGCGTTGATCATAGCATCGGAGAGGGCAAGGAGGTGCATTGAGGTGAAATTAGCCCACACAAATTGAACTGGACGAGAGCGTACTTTTTGACATCGAACATGGGGCATGCCTCCGTGTCCACACGACCGTCCGCTTGCTCTCTCTTTGTAAGGTGCGCTGGTTACTTAGCTCGTTCTTTCTGGTCACTATTCAAAAATCCGTTTGAGTAATGGAAGGTAAATCGAGCTGCTCGGAGTAGACGAACTGGTCCACATCGAAGGTACCAGCTGGAGGAGGGTTCCGGGAAATGCCAGGACTAAATCGCTGCATTTTGTCTCTGGTGATTTCCGCCGGTGCTCTTCCGTCAGGGCTCAATGGGTGCTTTATAGAGGCGTTATCCTCGCTTCGTACCCTCCGAGGCGGTTGCGAGCTTATTTGGATAACCGCCACAGACCCGGCGGTCCGGCCTCGATCACCTATTGCATTCCTTGTCGGTGGCCAGTTAATCGCTTGTCTTTGATCAACTGTCATTTTGCGCAGAACTTCGCCTTGCACATCAAATACGGCCACGGTGCCGCCTTCGTGCTTTTTTCTGCATCTGTTCCAATAGAAACTAGTGGCATTGGCATGTTCCATGGTACTTTTCTTTAAGGAAGTATATCTATGAACTCCCGGCTCTGGTGTACATTATTTCCGGAAATCGGTTGTCACCCCCTAGACTCTTTCATTGTTCCTCAAACCCTAAATTCCAAGATACGCTAAACTATTTTCGGAAAGATTATGTCAGTGTAAAGAACTCGGATGATGTGAATCATATAGTATTAGACGAAAGTAACAAAACTAGAGAAGGAAGAAAAGAGAGGAAGCTATGTACATGTTACATGAAGGAATAGGCAGTTTGGGTCACGTGGTGCACGTGACGGGTCACGGGTGCGTCTACTCAAGAAAAAAGACTTGCAGTCTACTTGGTGGGGCAAATTCTGCCTATAGTTAAGGGTCTCTCGCTGCCATGTAGTCTAGTAGACTGCACCAGGTCCCTTGGGATAGCAGCTCTGTAGTACTCTGATTAAGGTTCAGAATACGTTCCCTGTTCGTTTACATATTTTTCTATACCGTTCGGGAAGCCTCTGATGGCCTCGGAACAGGCTTTTCAACGTGCGGCAATTGTATAATAGGCCTGGGGATACAAGTCCAGGCTCAAAATATAGCGCGTAAAGTTACTTAGAACATATTAAATACCAGAAGTTGCCAGATGGCATGGTTCCCGAGATATAACAAAAAGTAGGTTTGCGTCTTGAGATATGTATTGTTTGCTCCCAAGTCATCTCCCCCTCCTTGCCAAGCCTTTCTCTAAGCGCGTCCTCTAGGGGGGGGAGGGGGATGGGCGGGCATATATTTAGGGTGGGAAAGAATATAAAATTCCACTGTTCCTTCCCCGATCCCCTAGTTCCCGCTCATCGGCGCCTGCCTATATTTCTGGTGCAGCTGTGTAAGCTTCGCGTCAGCATCCTTCACAAAACTAGCTATGTTGGGGGTTGCCCGATATTTCAAATCTCGCAATTCGAACAAAGGTGCATCGCGACTAGTGCCAAGAACCTTCTCCATCCTGGACCCAAGGCCACCAATAGAACCCTTCAATATCCTTGTCAAATTTAGTAAGCAGGTCTTCCTTATCAAGGGTTTTGATCCAGTCCTTGATGGTTGTGCTTCCGAATGTCGCATCTCCGAGCGTTGTGCGGGGAACAAACGTGGGTTTGCCATTTTGTTTCTCAACTCTACATAGCTTTTGATCCACGCTACACACTTGTTAGATAGCATACTGCAGCGGCTAAATTAATTGACTTACAATTTTTTGTTTACGTTAACCTTCGTGGCTTGCTTGTCTTTTGGATCAATTGGCGTATCGCATGAAAGGGTGTTGATGATGTTCCAAAGATCACCCGGAAGCTGCGATTTGACTTGCGTATAAAGGGTGTGGAAATCAGTCCGAGGCATGAATACTGATCGCAATTTAACACTCTCATCTCGCTTGAGAGGGTTCTTAGCGATAGTGTTGGCATATGTCAGGACAAGGCTCAAGAATGCAAGAGTATCATCGGTAAGCGAAACCGGATCGATCCCATTCGGCATATTCGTGAAATGATATTTTGTCATGAGCGCTTGAGTTCCAAAAGGGGTCCGGATGTTATCTCCAATGATACTGTAGTAGTAATTCTCCTCCGGGACAATTTCATAGGTTGCGCGCTCTTTCATCAGGACATACAGAGCCTCAAGCGGCATAGGCACGGTGATCTGTGGTTGCCAAGAGATTTTTGTCACATCATCCTTCGGGCCTGGCGCGTCGATGTAGAAGTCGCATGGTGTGTCCTCGACTTCAATTTTGACTCGGTCTTTTTCTGTTCGCTTTTTCCAGGGTTGCCAATCGGTCTGAAAGTATCTTTGTATTAGCCACGAGATAAGAGAGCCAGGTGGGCGCAATTCCCACGATGTCTTTCACAATCTCCTTTGCAACTGTCTCTGCCTCTCCACTCCCGACTTTGATCTGCTGACCATCCATGATATACTCGGCTTGGATAGTTCTTTCTCCTGCTCCTGTGTCGGCAGTCAACATCCACAAGGGAACCTTGCCCTCATCGACTTCCTGCTTTCGGCCTGCGAGTATATTTTTCTTTGAATTGTTTACGGTGTCTTTTGGGCAGTCGGGGCTGGTGAATTTGAATATATGGGTTTCAAACTCTATACCAATGCTAAACCTTCTATCTGCAGTAGCGGCGTCCTTATTCTCAATAATGCCCCTATCCTATCCTTTACAATCCGGGTCATCGTTGTCATTTGTGGAATCTGTGGGTGCAGTTGCAGCAACTGCGGCAAGACAGAAAGGCAATAAGTATAGAAGTAGACGTATCTTGAGAAAAATGCTTCGGCAATAATAAATAGAGTAATAAACGGATACCTGCCTAAGTTGTAAATTTTTCTCGGCTGAGAAAGAAGACTATTTATCTATGCTGCTTGTAATAGAAGCCTGATTGCGAGAAACAAGTGCATTGAATACGCGATACTAAGTGTAGAGAAGAGATGAAAAGAGTGAGTGAGGCCTCGCAGATAGGCTGCGAGGATCGCACTAGGCCCAAAAGGGAAGTAGGCCTGATCCAGAGTAATACATTACCCCCTCGCAAAACCCGATTCAGTCTCGTTGAATCGGTTTATTGTCATCAACGTGGTCCTCCAGATAGACGTCATTCGCAGCAGTTGCCACCCAGTCTGGTAGCCGAATTGAAGGTCCTGGTTTGTCGGGATACCGTGCGTGATAGTCCATGAGCTTCAGGGGTGGGTTCTTGAACGACGTCGCTGCATACCAGTTGTTGTCGTTGCTCCCAGTCCATCTTGCGCGATATTGAAGCTTTCGATAGTACAGTCGCGAGTCCAGTATCTCGTCCACGTCCTCCTCTAACTCACCGAGTATCTCAGTTGGGGGAGGTGCATCTGGTATTTAACCAGTCAATGGTGATGAATTTGATGCATTTCGTAGTTTGTCTGGTGAAAGGACGGGGTGTATCTTCATGCTTGACGGGAGTTCGACTTCGTAGGCGTTGCCAATCTTCTTCGGGATCTTGAACGGACCAACAGCTTGCTCTGCTAGCTTACGACTAGGCCTATCCATCTTCATATGCTTCGTGGTAATGTACACCAAGTCGTCCTTCTCAAAATCGACCTCTCCGCGTTTCTTGTTCGTATATCGGCGTTGACAGTCTTGTGCTAACGCGATCTGCTTCTGTGCTTGTGGCCATATCTCATGTAGGTGTTCGACAAAGGTCTGCGCATCTCGGGCCTCCTCTGAGGCGAGGTCGTCCTTCCAGTCGAATGCCATCTTAGGTTCGTATCCCCGTTCCACCAAAAACGGTGACTTGCCTGTCGATGCATTAGGGAGACATGCGACAGCGAAGTCTACCATCCAGAGATGCTCTGACCAGTCATCTGGATGGTAATTCACGTATGGACGAAGCTTCTGTTCTATATACTTGTTGGCAATCTCCGTTTGACCGTCCGTCTGGGGATGATGAGCAGTAGAAAGCTTCCGCTTGATCCGCAGGATTTCACGAACGCCTTCCAGAAGTCTGACACAAACTGCGGACCTCGATCTGATACAATAGTTTCAGGAGTACCAGTCAATCGGAGTACATTGTCAGCGAACAATCGTGCAGACTAGGGTGCAGTAATCGTCTTGTGGCAAGGGATAGAGACTGTCCTCTTGCTAAACCTGTCCATAACAACCATCACATTATCTAATCCACGCTTATCCTTGGGTAGCGAGCAGAAGTCAACAGAGACATGCTGCCATGGTCGTGTGGGGATCGGTAATGGCTGCAGCAGCCCGGGTGTTTTATCCTGTCGAGTCTTTGTCCTCTTGCAAGTCTGACAATTGTCGACATATCGGTGAACATCTGCAGTCCATCCAGACCAGTAATACCGTGTGCGGAAAAGCTGAGCAAGCTTATCTTCTCCGGGGAGCAACGGCAACAGCGGAGGTCTTCTTTTCGGGACAATCTTTAGCCATGTGGCCTTTTCCTCGACAGTAGAAGCATTGGCCATTCTTGAGAAGGGCTGCACGCTCCGCGGGATCCATCTGAGGACGAGGGGACGCTGAAGGAGAGCCGGTTCCAGTCGTCTTGTTCTTATCCGTTCCTCCTCGGCCGCCGCCACCTCTTGCAGGTGGGGGGGGTTATCTTTGAAATTGATGTTCAGCTGAGTTGCAGTGTCCTGGCATCGACGTACAAAGTCTTGGAGAGTGAGACTTGGGTCGATCATGTATTGGGTCACACGGTCTTGGAGTCGCCAGACCAACTTGCGATAGAGTCCTCGCTTGCGGTCCTCAACAGGGATCTCAGCTTCCTCCGCAAGACGAGAGTATTCTGCGATAAAGTCTGCGAACTCCTCTTTCGGTTTCTGTTTCAGCTGTTCGTACTCTTGTCGAGCGTTCTCCTTGCGATTCGGGTCCTCAAAGATCTCTGCCAGATGCTTCAGCATATCCTCCGCATCAGTATATCGATTGGTCGACGTTCGGTGGAGACGGGGTCCGATATGCTTCAAGGCACGTCCTTCACAACGAGTCGAGACGTAGTGAGTCCGATGATGTGCTGAACCAGTCTGCGTTCTGAGCGAGTTTGAACTCAATACCGGTCTGCCAGCTTTCCCATCGAACTTCCTTGCCATCTGAGAGCATCGGGGGATCTGGCATCTTGGGTGATCGTTTCTGGTTTCCCTCGATCATAGGGAGTGGGACATCTGCAGCAGTAGTCGATGTGTGAGTACGGGCTCGGTTAGCTTCGACCAGGTTAGCTGCCAGTTCATCACGTTCTGCTCGGAGGCGTCGGATAACGCGTTCATTTTCAGCGACTGCTTTCTCAGACGCGGTCAATTTGGTAATACCAGGAGGACATGGCCACTGACCGAGAGGAACTGGCCAGGGCCCAAGACGAGACTAATCTAGCTCTGGAATACCTGGAACGAGCCCGCAAGGACCTCGAGGAGCAAGATGAGGAAGCCGGAGAGCGAATCCGAGCTGCTGATGAGAAGGCTGAACATCTTTAACAGACTCTCAATGACCTCCGAGCCGACGAGGTTCGACTGATTTGCAATCTCTGGTCCAGAATTCAAGCTTCTCAAGGATAGCGTCATATGCGAACTTGGGGTCATCCTTCACCCAGATCGCTGAGGTCTTTCGCGCTGTGGATCTATTAGACCTTGTTCTCGTCCTTCTTGTCGTAGAAGACTAGCTGGGGTCGTGATCCACGGGTCACAGGTCGTGTGGGTTCATTCGAGGGACCGGCTTCAGTGGGACCGGCCACGGGTTCTTCTCCAGGTTGAGACATCTCGTCAGTTCAGGAGGTTCAGTCAGTCAGTTCAGGGGGATTCTAGGTGCTCTCGCTGTCAGCAGTGCTTTTGGAAAGGCACACTTGCTCAGACGAGAGGTGAGAGATTGTGAGTCCTGCTGTCGGTTACGACACGTCTGAACGCGTCGAAATGGCCCAGTCAGGACGAAAAAGGGTTTGAAAAGGTGAAAAGACACTTAGTATCATGTAATAGAGGCCTATTGCGAGAAACAAGTGCATTGAATACGCGATACTAAGTGTAGAGAAGAGATGAAAAGAGTGAGTGAGGCCTCGCAGATAGGCTGCAGAGGCTCAGGAACCGCGCTAGGCCCGAAAAGGAAGTAGCCTCTGGTCCAGAGTGTTACAACTACAGTCGGATTTCCTGATTTATCTAAAGAAGGATAAAAATTAGCTGTGATAGATTCCTGGTCATTTCCAATTTAGAGTCTTATCATTATTGCCGCAGAATAATAACGAATCCATAGTCAAGAGAAAGTGCCTTGTTTGTATTTTATAAGAAATTATCTGCTTCTCAGTTGAAGGAGTTGAAGGAGAGGGTATTTTTAGGTTGGCGATCAGGCAACCTTTATAGCGCTAAGGGGAATGGATTAAGGCCGACCCAGGGAATATCCTGTCGGTCCTGTGAAGGTCACATTAGTCTCTAGGAACAGATCGATTCCGAGCCGGAAGACCCCGATCACACAGAACACGCGATAGCTATATAGCCAGCTCCCTATACAGGGCCGCTCGAAATCAGCTTTATTATGCTTATTTTTTGGAATTTGAAAATAGTCTTAGCCAGACCTGCATTTTCCTATCTAAGGTCTAGACGTTGTGAAGTCATTGAATATGATGACAGCCAAGATCAAGGGGCTACTATAATCTAGAGTATAACGCGTCTTCAACGATGTTCAACCAAATAAACTAAGCAAGGGGAACGATAGAAGCTAATCCTTAGCGGCCCTGAATATACCTCTTGTTTATGAAATAAGATAGTTCTACTATTGAAGGACATGGATTCTTCAGGTTGACTAGTTACCCTGTTGTAGTCAATCCACACAAGTCCCAAGTAAGACACTCACTGTGTTATCGCCCTTATTCGAAGTCACGATATCGAGAGGGCCATCTCCGTTGAAGTCACCCACTGCAACACCAGATGAAGCAGACCCTATAATGAAGTAGTCGACTGTGAAGTCTCCTGATCCAGTCCCGAGTAAGACACTCAATGAACTTTCAATTGAATTCGAAGTCGCAATATCCAGATGGCCATCTCCGTTAAATTCGCCCACTGCAACACCAGTTGGACCGTTCCCTGCAGGAAAGTTGGCCTCCGGTGTCTGGAAGCTTCCTGATCCAGTCCCGAAAAAGACAATCGTTGTGTAATCGAGGTTATCCGAAGTCACGATATCCAGATGGCCATCTCCATTGAAGTCGCCCACTGCAACACCAGATAGAGCAAGCCCTGTTGCGATGGTGGCCTGTGTCTGGAAGCTCCCTGATCCAGTCCCGAGCAAGACACTCACTGTGCCATCGCCGTCAGAAGTCACGATATCCAGATGGCCATCTCCGTTGAAGTCACCCACTGCAACACCAAATGGACCAGACCCTACAGCGAAGGTAGCCTGTGTCTGGAAGCCCCCTGATCCAGTCCCAAGCAAGACACTCACTGTGTTATCGCCGGCATTCGAAGTCACGATATCCAGATGGCCATCTCCGTTGAAGTCACCCACTGCAACACCAGATGGAGCAGACCCTACAGCGAAGGTGGCCTGTGTCTGGAAGCTCCCTGATCCAGTCCCGAGCAAGACACTCACTGTGTTATCGCCGGCATTCGAAGTCACGATATCCAGATGGCCATCTCCGTTGAAGTCACCCACTGCAACACCAGATGAAGCAGACCCTACAGCGAAGGTGGCCTGTGTCTGGAAGCTCCCTGATCCAGTCCCGAGCAAGACACTCACTGTGTTATCGCCGTCATTCGAAGTCACGATATCCAGATGGCCATCTCCGTTGAAGTCACCCACTGCAACACCAGATGGAGCAGACCCTACAGCGAAGGTGGCCTGTGTCTGGAAGCTCCCTGATCCAGTACATATGCAGGAGCCTGATGAACAAGTCGATCCAGACGGGCACTATAGAGACGCAGGATTCAATCACATTAGCTATAAGAACAACTACACAACGGTAAATCTATAAGCATAAAGGTTAGGAACAACTCACACTGTTTCCACAAGTACCACAGTTACTAGGACTGTTCTGGAGGTTGGTACAGACTCCATTGCAACAGGTCAGACCGGACGCGCACTGTCGAGCACTATTTAGTTATTGTTATTGCCACAAATATGTTGTCTCTAGGTATCCTACACATTGCCCATTACAAATAGAAGAAGCATCACAGCCTGTCATTGGTGTACAGATGCAACCCCTATTTTATATCAGCTTTCAACGGCTCTGCAGTCTTAGAGTCTTAGAGAATCAGAGATAGAGACTCACGGCGTAGTTTGTCCAAGCAGAAGTCCAAGTAAACTGGGAGATCCACTACCGTTGTCGCAGGATCCAGATTGATTCCCTGATTTTCGACACTGTGGTAATCAGTATAATTCATACAACCTCTTCAGCCATTCCCGTATCCTACCTGGGCGTCACAAGTGGCCGGGTCACAACTCCCCCCGCTCCCACCCCCAACCCCGACCCCGATCTCCCCAATATTGCCACCCCCGGTGTCAATGTCAATCCCGCCGCTATTCCCATTTCCAATACTGTTACCCCCATGGGAAACCTCACCCCCACCGTTAGGGCCGCCCCACCTTTTCAGGGCATCTTCTCCGGAGAGCGCAGTAACAGCAGTGCAGCATAAGAGGGTACGACGAGCGAAACGCATCTTTAAACAAGCGTTGGCTTAAGTTGAAAGAAATTTAGTTGTCAACCTGTCGTACTGCTCGTACGGTATCAATTATGTCCTACCCTAGTGGAGGGTGTTATAAGAAGTCCGCTCATGGTCATTAATTGACCCCTTAGGTTTTGTTATTATGAATAAGCACTTAGATATGTTGCCTGGAATGTGACAAGAACTCTCTCTCTCTCTACCACACCACATAGAACTCCGGAGGCTTACGGAATGCACCTAGATTCCGAGGCTAGGAGCATGCACGGGGCGACTAATCAGATCCCGTAGAACTCTATTCTGATTGCCGGAAAGTTTTTCTGGAATTTATTTTGCGCGAAATAGTCTACATACGCCAAACCCCTTACGGGCTGAAGGAAGAAAGGGTCACTGATTTATTCTATAGCATTCTTAGGAATATATTCAAGTATATTACATTCAAAAAATTTTTAGACCATCAAAGAAAGAATAGTGTAGACTACATATTTAACGCTATAGCTTAGATTTTAAGTCCAAAATTTTCTTTGTTACGACGAACAGCAAGACGACATCACCTTTCCCACTAACAACCTGTTATTACGTATTCAAAGGTTCAAGCAAACAAGTTTGCAAATATGCGTTTTACTCTTCTCACACATTTTGAGCTGTGCTCTTGTCACTACGCTCCTGGAGAGGATACTACAGAAATGTGGGGTGGGCCAAGGGGTGGGGGTAAGGTATCGCATGGGAATACGCAACAGAAAGCTTTGGAGTTCAAGGGACCAAAGAAAACAAAATCGCTAAAGTGGTATCGGTTTTTATTGGAAGAAGTACTCAAGTCCAGGAAAATTGCCCACAATAGTACTGCGAGTGTGACACGTCCTTAAGGCAACGCCTATGGAAGAGCCCACAGAAAAACTCCACAGGGAAAAACGTAGGTAAGTTGTCTGGTCGCTTTGTCTGATGCGCAGGGATCCACTATAGAATTTAGGGCTGCTCACGATATCGCAAAATTTCGCAAAATTGCGATATCGTATCGTTTCTATCGCAATCGCAATCGTATCGCAGAGGAAAAATTTTTGCGATACGATACGATACACGATATCGTCGCTTCAAAAATTTTACGATAAATATCGCCTATTGTATCGTCAGTAACGCTGTTAAAACGATACGATAACGATGCAGTGCTGCGATGCGATTTTATCGTTACGATAATGCCAAGCCTAGTCACGAGACCTTAGTCATGCGTCCTAGCCAATAATAGCCCTCCATTTGCGGTACCACACTCCTCCATGATTAATATATGTATCTGGTGGTGGGAGCCGGGGTGTACATGCAGTATATTTTTCTCATGCTTACCATACAAAATTATATGGCAAGCGGGAGAAAGTCATCTGTAATGAGCACTCAACTTCCTACTACCTGTAATCTTAAAAATTATAGCGTATTTGCGGTAATTAATTACTAGAAAATTGCCCGATCTGGTGGCAGATGAAGCTATTTACAAAGATATTGTGGAATTCCGACTGGAAATACTATAATCCGACGCACTAGGCCTATTTGGGCGAGTAATACCTGGCATGTCGTATCTTGTATGTTGGCTACGGTCGCATGCCGGCTAGGATCGTACGCCGGCCACAACCACCACTATAATCATCATTTTCTATCACCACAACGCGCTGAATCACTCAAAAATGCAATAAAAAAAAGAATAGCCTCTGTTTCCTATCTGGGACTAGTTTTTATGGTCTCTAGGGTCTTGTGTTGACGATGGTGGTGGGTCGACTACAGTCGTATGTCAGCCATGAATCCTGTGATAGTATATTAGCCACTACAACCTGTGAGAACAGCTGTTTATCACCACCACGATGCGCCGAATCGCTTAAAAATACAATAAAAAATAAATCAGCCTCTGTTTCTTATCTAGGACTAGCTCCGATAACCTTCTAATAATATTGAACCCCAATACTCTACAAACGCAGCCCGTAGGCGAGGATGGTGTGCAACATGAAGCTTTTCGCACACTTCAACATGAAGCTTTTCCTATATTCGTCCTTCCTTTATTTCTATATGAAGCTTTTTCTAATCGTTATCCCCAGGGTTCAATTGATATGGCTTCAAGTTCACGACCTTAGCGTATAAATACGCAGCGCAATTACCTGGCCATGAATCTTGTATATGAAGATAATATTCTACCCGAAGACCAATATGAAGATTTTCCTACCGAGACGTCTTTTTCTGAAATTCATGATACTATTCAGACAATTCCAAACGATCCAGCCCTCGATCCAATCCTCCCTTCGGAATCAGCTTCACAGACTATTCCACCGGAGCCTGAGACATCGTCACTTCTAAGTACTACAGTCTCTCGACCATTAAAACGACCTCGCAAAGCTGCAACAAGGAATGAGTGGCTATGGGACCATTTCAATGTTTCATCAATTGCACGCCCACTGGACCAATCGTACCAAGAAGACAGTTACACACGATCGTCTTATTCGATACAAAGAATGCAATTGGGAAACATCCGACTCAATCCGATCAGGCTCAACTGGGAATATGGAGCGTTATCTTCAGAAAGTATATGCTATCTCAGCACCGTCTTCTTCCTCATCTGAGTCGACCGAGCAACAGCCTTCTATCATCGAGTCATTGAGCAAAAAGCCTAAGCTGTCGGTAGCAGCTCAGCTTCAGCAGAATATCCTATGATGGATTGTCAAGGAGAAGATGGCATTTACTGCTATCGAATCGCCCTACTTCCATAAAATCTTCACCAATCTGCCAATTGCTGAGCTTGCCGAAGCCTTATTTTCACGAACTACAGTGAAACGACGACTCGAAGCGGAATTCAAACAGCAACGTCTACGCTTGAAGACAGAGCTAGCCTCGACATGCAAGTCTATCTCTCTCTCTTTCTGGATATCTGGACGAGTACGAACCATATCTCTGTCATCGGGATTATCGGTCACTGGCTTACACCGGACTTTATTTATCAAGAAAAGGTGCTTGAATTCGCAGAGTTGACAGAGGTTCACAGTGGCGAATACATTGCTTAGGTAGTATTCAGCATGCTACAAGAGCTTGGTATTGAGCAAAAGCTACTCACGATTACTGGTGACAATGTTAGTAACAACGAATCAATGATTTCAGAACTTCATGATCTTATAAAGGCCCAGTAACCAGAGTCTCAGTTCTAAGGTCTTGGTAGCTATATCCGCTGCCTTGCTCATATCCTGAACCTTATTGTGAAGGATATCCTTCGTGTATTGAGGTCTAGTGATGCCCATGAAGCCTCAAGGATCTGCGATCAGTTAAACGATGAAGACCTTTCAGCAGAGACTGCTCTCTCACGCATTCGAATCTTTGCAGTATGGGTCAGTCGAAGCAATAAACGACGTGCATCATGGACCAATATATGCACTTTTGTGCAGATTTCTACTGCATTTATCCCATGTGATGTCGATACACGCTGGAATTCGACATACCTGATGCTTGAGGCTGCCCTTAAAGCAAAACCCCAGATTACTGCATACCTTGAAGCGCAGACTGAGCTTCCTCGGTTTACTGTGGAGGATTGGCATCGTCTTTCACAGCTACATCGGGTCTTCTATCTGCTCTACAAGTTGACTCTATCTGTCTCTCGAAAACAGCCTCATCTTACGATGGCAATCCCTATTTACTACAGTCTTCACAATTTGCTTCATCAAGGTGCTGATAGAAGAGGGATATTTACAGATATCGACGACGATATTGCAGCTGCATTCCATCAAGGTCTTGCTAAGTATCAAGGGAAACAGACCTCTTTCAATTCCTCAAAAGAGCTGGCCGAGGTGGTCGACCAGAGGAATTCGATCGCAGCCGGGCAAGTTCGCCAGCGGTCGATATTATCAATTCCATCATTATCCTCGAGACTGGTGCCAAGTCATTGCTATCATTTCTACCCTTTTCCCGGACTACACTGCAATCGATCTGTGCTACCGTGCCTTGTTAGGTTGGATTGCCTTTGGAGATAACAGTGAAATGAACGCATCGATTTTGATGTGTCCATCGAGTTTCACGAGGAACGCTAGAACAGTCCAAAGATGGGTGATAGAAGTTGGCTCATCATTAATTAAAATGCTCCATTAATATAAGGCTTGAAAATTAAGGATCACTATCTCACGATATCAACTCACGCGGGTCCAGCTACGGGCCAGAGTAGCCACACAACAAAGGAATACGATACCTCAAGGAGCTCGCGTCGCAGAATCCTAGACACCACGACAATAGTGGATTGCAAGTCAATGATAGAGACTGCACACTCGAGCCCAACCATCGTGACTGTACGCTAGAACTAAACCAACGGGCTCAAGACACTCACAACAAAATGAGTTGATACAATTGAAGATGACACGCGCCATCCCGACAAGGATTTGGAGGCAAGCACGGATAGAAGGTTAAAGAGAAGCTCCGCTCCCCTTTTGTGAAAAATGAACGTATACGGCTATGGCGGGTTACTTGCACGATAGCTTCGGTCGTCGTTGTCGTTTGGGGGCCGTGTCATCAAAGGAACGGCATATTCCTCTCTCCCTAATATTCCACTGACCTTAAGGTAGTCTCAGTTTGGCATAGATATTCAACCATGATCTATAGATTAGAGCAATCCGGGATGTGTCGAAAGGAAGTGCGATACCAGCAGGCCACCTCAAATATTTTACGAGTGATAACATTAAATATCCTGATATGGCTGCTGGATCACCAAAGTGAATTGATTTTTTTCATTTGTATGACCTTGGATCAGGCTCATTGCACCACATCAGGCTTGCTGCTTACATATAGTCACGAGTAGATCCCTGTTGCCCCTTCGTTAGTCCGTTAGCATCCGGGAGTCTGTAGGAGATACTGGTACCATATGTTGAGGGTTTAAACCAATAAAGGCAACAAATATCATGATACTGAGCAGCGAAGTCAAACCCTGCAAGCGCAATATACTGGAAAACCTCTGACGCTCAAAGAAATTGTTCCCAATCTCTAGTTTGACTGAATACTCGTGTTGCCTGAATTGCTGGAAAGATGCAATAGAAGAGAGCCCATAAATTTAGGCCCTCTTGCGTACAGTACGGAAGACATCTGACTGCTTTGCTGATGTTGAATGCGGAAATTTGATGTGCCACATGCTGGGGATTGACCGTCTCCCTTGTTTGCTTGTGTCCCTTGTTTGTTTGCGTCCTGTCTTCTGGCCCGCCTCGGAAGGTGGGATATCTCCCCCCCCCAAACGCTGCTAATCTCCCCACGCCGCGATTTCCGGGCACGTTGACAACACTGTATCCACCTACTCTATAATGTCAATTGTCAGCTTCAAATTTTAAGGGCTATGGCGAGCTGTGATTGAATTCTTTGATACTACTATTGTTAGATCTATGTCATAGAATCGTGCTCGCCGAAACCACCCTTCGTTTGTTCTCTTTCCGATCTACGCCATCTCTATCCAGATATGCCTGAGTCTCTTTGCTAGGAAGCACATATTAATCAGCCTTCTCGACAGCGCATAAGCTAACAGCCACGAGTAACAAACCGAACTATATCCCAAAGTCGCCAAAATTAGCGCAACATAGCAAGCGCCGCGGCCTCATCAATAGTGCTAGCAAATCTACCGCCAAACCTAGCATGGACACAAATTGCTCAACCCATTGTCGCCGATGCCTAGAGGATTATAGTAGCGCCATGCTCGCACACATCCAATCCCAGATTTTATCACTAGTTGGGCTAGACGAATGTTACGAAACAACCGACAACAATGCAGGCGATGGTATCGTCTGCAATGAGCTACAGCATCAAAGTCCTAGCACTCCTGGTACAGACATGATTGAAGTAGCAGGATGATGCACTGGGATATTCAAATTTTATTTAATCTTGAGCTAGCCGGCTATTGTTGTGCGCAGTCGATATAGTGACCATCGTATCCGCGTACCTCGGCACGAGAGATAATGTTTTGTATATCAGAAGAACTGGTCATTACATTTTGTTTAGTTGGACCCTAGAACGTCATCAGCCGCTAGTCCAGGGTAGAAATGAAGTTATTGGAAGCCTGGGGGGGAAAAAGGGGGGAGAAGGGTATCAGGGAGTGCACAGACCACATTTGTGCCGACACAGCCAATAATATTTAATAATATTTAGCAAACACCCTGTCGGGACTCACAGTAACGGTGGTCAACTGATAGTTTTCCTCAGTGAGGATGTTGTTTGTCCATATTCATCAGATCAACTCACTGATAATTATTTCTTTTCTGTACTGTTCTTCAGTACAGTATTCTCGCAAAAACAAAGGGAAAATATTCGTACCAAGCCGGACACGCGCGCGATATACGACATGCCCATCTCGCTCACAAGCTCGGATTCAAGTCCCCGGAAATTGAGGGACTGGTTAACAATTATCTGGATCACCAAATCGCACGGTCGGCCCTTCTCCAGGCCCTTCTCCAGGCCGAAATCGATACGATGACCAGCACTTTGATGTTCTCGTGCGTCAAATTGTGGATTGTTTTACCGAACCTTTTCCAGATCAGCCTGACCCATCTCAAGGTCTTTTGACAGACAGCACTTCCAAGACGCACGGTCGTTCTGCGGTTTCATAGACATGCGTCCATACACAAGTTGCCCCCTGCTATTCCAAGATCGTCCGCCTGCTGGTTTTGAGGTTGCCGATACTAACTTTTTGTTCGACGGTGTGTCCATTTGGCTTTCTTTGGGAAGTCGCCTAGCCTGCGGGCTGCCAAAACGAGAGAGGCTTTTGATGAGCATACTGTACAGACCTAGGGATGGAGAAAATGCCGCCGACGCCGCTGTTTGTGGAGGTGGACGGCCCGCCTGGCCCTTGCGGCCCTGAACGGCAAACGGTTACACGAAATGAACCATCTGAGATCCCTGCAGTGAAAGATATGACGTCGTAGAGCGCCAATATGTTTCCCACTAAGCAAATAACTCCGACAATGAACTTGAACCTATGGAGCTAGACTACCTGGACCCGGAAAATGAGTATTTCATTCTACACAGTCTAGGTCAAAGAAGTCCTTCGGATGGAGATCACCCTACTCCCAGAGAGTGCGGCTTTGTTCCTGATCTGCACCAGCCTCATATCACAACAGTTACTTCACAATTATTATGGGGCAGAGTCTTCCGCTAGGGAAAGAAAGCTAACTTGTTAGGGCTCCTACTACCCAACGCCAAGGTTTATTACAGACCAAGACTCTGAGAAGACAAGGGAGGGCATCGATGTCAAAACCGCGCGATGAGGATTTCAAAAGGCAGATACTGCGGGTCAGGCTATCCATATATATGTTATTGGTCTTCATTTTCCCTGTTATATTCCATAGATGTCTTGGAAGAAGACGGTTGCTGCTTGATTTTGCATATACGCAATGCTCGCACCTACGTTAACAGCGGCCCTATCTGATAGACGTCGTCTCCCTCTCCTTCCAAGCTATCCGAGGCAGTCTTTCCTCTCCGGATACAGTTTGTTTTTAGACGGGCCACGGTTCATACGTCTGCAGCCTTTAGTACTTGGCCCAAAGTCAACAGACCTAAAGCTTTTGGCATAAGGCCACGTGTATTGCTAGAATATGCGGACCTGTGAAATCGACGCCGAAAATGACAGCATCTGGTACCAGAAACGGCCTGCTAGACTACCATAGATGTTCTTCGTAGTCAACGCTCCCAGCCCCAGCTGTAGCTCATGCCACCGCACGACGCACTCCTAATCGTACCATCCAACATCCGACGGATTTCTCCCATTGATACGCCCATATCACTGCTGGCACTATATCGTGCGATGGACTTGAAATTGGTGCCTCGGATACCACCCCTACTATCAGAATCATTTTATCTATCTTGATATATTTCCCACCGATAAGGAGATACCTTATAAGGGAGGCATTTGAATTTTATTACAGATAATTGAAAGATACCAAAGTTGTCCTACTCTAGGGTATATTGTCTACCACGAACTAAATTGGTTATGGTTTCAACGTCCTGCTAATTCGCGCCGGTTCAATCCACCAGCCTCATGCACCTGTGTTACCGGATTACCATCTACCTCGTAGGTCTGTCCCGTATCTGCCTCATAGGCATGTTTCGTATACCCTGTTGTATACATGAGTTTTGTAAGGGCGGTCTCAGGACTGGCCGATTTTCCCTCAGCTGCCAATATTCTATCTGGAGGGAGCGCGGTGTATGTCGGCTCTGGAGGGCGAGCGCTGTCCCCTTGACTGCGTAGATGTCACCAATAAAGTTTCGATTTCTGGTCTAGGTACTCGCACCCAAGCCTTAGTCTTAGTTCCAGCAAGTGCAATGTCAGCACCGCCACGACCATCATTGGCGTTATGATCTTGTAGGTTTTAAGATTGCTTTTGGACAGCGAGATAACCCAACATAAGCTTCGGCAAACCCTATTTTTCGACACAATTTACTCCAAGCAGAAGACCCCCAAAGCCCCAAACAAACCCAAAATTCATAAAAATTACATAAAATCTGTATCAAGACACTTAACTAGGAAGGTCTTGGCATTTTTATGCTTAGGTCTTTTTTTTAAGTTCTTGGCATTGGGTTTTGGGTTTAAATCTTCAACCCAAAATGGTGTTTGCCGAAGACAAGCTATAATACTAAAGATACTAGATAAATTGCATTGATTATGCATTTAAAGTGGACCTTCGTATATGTTTATTTCATCTACCCATGGGTAAGGCCGGCCCATGGCCCAACCCACGGTGGGCTTGCTCGATAGGACCCATTTGGCAGCTCTTCTGGCAGGGAGAATGAAGAGCCGATGGTGGCAAGGCCAAGAATAAGTAGAGACTTTGCAAGCATTTGGATAGTGTAGAAAAAGATCTTGGATAAATACCCGAGGACCAAGTAGAGTAGAGAGCGATCGATGTGTGGATGAAGACTTGCCTTTTATATACTCGCAAAGAGGTATTCATCAAGACATTGCTTGTCGATCAGCTATACTCCGTACAAGAAAATGGGATTAGAGTAAATACTGGGGGTAAAATTGAGTTTGCGGAGGAGGGTCGTGCCCCTGGTTGAGGCTGGCTGAACTAGAGGCTGAAGAAGAAAGTCTTGCGAACTGCAAATTCTTGGGAACCAGCTGTGGTTAGTCAGTCCCCCCTGTGGTCAGCACTAAGATCCCCACCTATTACAGGGCTTAAATTTGACTTTAAACTTCCAATTGGCTAATAGCTTAGCCTTTTAAGCAAATGCGACTGTCGATCGGATCCTTCATTTGGAAGTGGAAAGTGGGTTAGCACGACCCCCCACCAATGGTCGAAGCAGCAAATCTGCCCAAAACAGCTACATCTCTTCTTTCCATACAATATACGAGCCCTTCCAGGTGTGGATCTACCGCGTGATTCCTTTGGTCCTAGACAAACTCTCGGTTAGGTTTGTCACTTGTGAATACTAGTAGAGATAGCAGCTTGTACGCTAGCATCCCAATCACTCAGGAAATGTCCCCTGGGATTACCGGCGGTGCGCAGATACCAGCCACACTCTGTTGGCTCGGGAGCAGCTACACCATGAAGTCCTGCAAAATTGACCGCCAACTCTGGTGAAATTTTCGGTGAAATGTTAACCCGCGGCTGGAACGGCCAGTCATCACGCGAGATAATGGTAGTATCCAGGCTGTCTATAAATCGTATTACGCCGAAAATGTCGATTATTCCCAGAACTTTCTTTGTGATCATATTCAGCTGGCGGGGTCAATTTCACGGTCCAGGCCACTCACAAGCCGTTATTTAACGCTGATGTCGTGTCGACGACCCACTTCCTCCCACCAAACTCTCGGCACCCCCTCAAACAGCTAGAGACTTGAAATAAGTGCTTGGAATGATCAATAAATTGACATCTTCTGACATCAGACAATACAATATGATTATTCCATATCATCCCCAGAATAATCTCTCATTTTATAACGAAGCACATCGGCACAATTGAAGGATTGCGTAAGGACCAATATTTTCTCACTGCATCTCATGGGGTTTGTGTGGAGCTGATAATTCTGCTAGCACACTCTTCGCTGGAAGCTCTCCCATTTGAGCATTTTGCGCTGGTAAATATGCCTGGTGCTCTGAGAACTCCGGTGCTTCTTCTGTTGTATTCCAGTAGACAGGATCTGCATTGCTCTTTCGCCTGCGACTGACGAACCAAAATGCCGCCGCTGCAGCCAGAGCCAAGCCAGCAACGGCGCCAACTACCGGGCCCGCGATCCAGGCCTCTGAGGATGAGTGATGTTCTGATGTCGTTGCAGCGGTTGCGGTTGGAGTGGATGTTGATGTCCCCGTATGGCCTGGGGACGCGTTCGTGGCAGAAGTTGCGGTGGCAAGGTTCTCTAAGCCCGATGACACCGCCAAGGTGTTGTACTTCAAGTTGAACGAAGATATGGAGGCAGTCGTGGCGAATACTGAGGAGTTGCTGTTCGTGCCACTGGAGATCCATGTGCTGGTCGAGAAGTAGCAAGAGGCACCGAGCGTAGACCCGGTCACGTTGCAGTCCAAAGTCCCAGTGACGATAAAGATAGTTTTGTTCCAAAAGCTGGTGACATCGTAATGGAAGTCCTGGAAGGACGGACCGGCAGTGAGAGTCTGGGGTAAGAGATAACCAGAAGAGGTGCATTGGCTGGTTGCGCTAGATCGGCAGTCAATCTGAATCGTGGTGGCTGTGGCATCGGCACTCACGACACTTCCTTCCACGTTGTTCATGTCCATACCATGCAGGCCCGGGAAGAGAATATTGACATCAGTCGACTGCGCTATTTTGGCCGCCACCATGGGTATCATAAATGCCATGGCCACGGCCGTAATGTGGATACCGATACTGTGAAGGGTCATCGTGTCATGGCTGGGAAGGACGGTAGAGGATATTTCAAGTCCCAGTCTAGGGGATTCACCTTTTTAATAGCGGCTGCGATCATCAGTCCTAGCACAAGGGTCCACCATGGCCAGTTGACTTGTCAGTACGTGGTTAAGTGTGAGAAGAGAGGACAGACGGACATGGAAACTCTATCATTATTATGATTGGATCACAGCAATTATTGGGAGATGAAATATTTTATTTATCTTTAAGATGTGGTTCATCGATCCTATGAGTGTAAAAGCGCTTGGAGAAGCCCAAGTAAATATCAGTACAAACAAAGATGAACACAATCCCGAAGCAAAAGTTCTATCAGATGAAAACAATCTACATTGAATTCTCTCATTGATCTCTCAAATTGTGAATTAACATTGTAAAAGTACTCAGTATGCGAATGTGGGACACAGAGATGTTGGTACTGTAACATTAGGGCTGCCACCTCAGCTTAGGGTTCAAAGTGGATCCCGACTTCGGGAAGCAAAAAAGGGGGACGGGTTGGAGATGAGAGGAACGTGCAAGCTGAGGACTGGGTTGGGGGGCTAAATTGGGCTGAACACGAAGTCAATCTCGAGGAGACTGTGGACTACAGTAGTATTTGGAATTGTTTTTGATTTTAGTTTCATAAAGACCGGTATGGTCAACGCTAAAACCCCGAACCTATCATAGGGCTTATATTTAAATTTTAAACTCCACTTGGCTTGTAGCTTAGCCTTTTAGGGGGGTCAAGAGGCAGATCAAATTGTGGAGACACAAGGCATCTTCTGATGGAAATCACATATCAACTGCTGTTTGAGGCTGAGCTGAGGCGCCCATGCAGAGGATAACAGCAGATCACCTTGATAGGCTCATTTCCAACGCTTTGGTCAAAGGCGACGAGCGATCGACGGGGGTCAAGCAGTCGACCAAGTGGCCGATGTGACAACGCAAACTGAGCCGCACTTCCCCATCGTCCTCGAAACTAAGCACGCACAACAGGTCGAGCCACTGACTCCCAATGTGTTTCTGCTTCGCTGTGTCGATGAAAGAAATCTAGGAAGGCTCAGTACCCCTCGATTAGCCATATGGTAAAGTTCCGACATGTTTTCATCTCTCCCAGCTTCATCCTGTTCGACCAAAGATTAACTGTCACTGCATTAGAGACTTTCCGTTATCCGACAGGCATGATACGGACCCATACTTGAACGACTAGGTCATTGCAGCATTCGGCGACAACAAAGAGAAGCATAGCATCGACGGCCATCGAGTAATAACACGGTTTCCCCGGAAGCCGGGTCAACCAGTAATGCCTCAAATCATCCGCCACAATCTAAGTACCAGCTCTGTCAAGCCCTGGTTGTAGTTGAGCAAGCGACACCGGGCCGCAGCACTGGATCTACTCAGATCTCTGGCCGCGAGAGCAGTCGTTTTCAGGTCAGTTCTTAGTTTTCTCTGAACAAAATACCATGAATACCTCCTCCATTGAACATTCTCGATCTAAGTCGCGCTCAAAATCCCGATCTTTACCACTCTACTCGATGCGCACTCGGGGAACCTCACGACGGGGAATAACTGATAGTATGCTCGACACCATTGTCAAGCGAGGAAACAAGTCCGACGAAGATATCGAGTCGCACCTCTGTTCCGCCCAGGAAGATGGAGGCATAATGGAGACAATGTCTATTGAGGTAGTCACATCTCTAAGGCTGCCTGCCAGCACCGAGCCACGCTCGCCCGCACAGACCACATGGCACAGAAGAGCACAGGCAGGTATGAGAATCGTATTGTATAGATTGATTTTAAACTAAGGCGCTATTGGTCAATGGCTTCTTTGTTACCATAATGTAATGTTCCAACAGTCTAGTAAGTATCTGGATTTGTATACAAAGGAGACTTTATGTGGTGTAACGGAAATACTCTGTGCACGGAGTCCTAGAGCAATAATATATTCGGTACCGAGTACGGAGTCACTAATTGGACCTAGATTTGTTAAGGTAATTCATGGAGTCTCAGCCGTGTCCCCTTAGCACGACCAAACTTAACATAGGACTAGCCATCGGCATAGCCCGCATTCTGTTTGGCCCCCACGCGGGTGATTGTTTTTTTCCGAACCTGACCGCCAATAATTATTACTGTATTTTATACACTTTTACGACTTTAACATACAGTGGCGTCTCATTAGTATTTGCACCCAGTACATCCGTCTCTGACCGCTTTTTCATACCGCCTGCCTATTACTATTACGCGCGTTAGTGCACACTGCGCGCAGTAACATGGAAACAGTTGACGATTAGGCATTTAATTAATCAAGCTAAGACTATGCCCCATCGTGTAGAGGAGGTTATTCTATATGAAGGATGGCACACTAATTAGTTACTTGGTACTGTTTACAAAGCTATTGCTGAAGTTCTACCGGCAGAAAAAAGAGGTGGAGCTCGGGCCTTCCGAAGTACTGGGGTGCAAATACTTATGAGATGTGACTGTATGTAAAGTATTTATTGACTACTTGGTATGATGTAATTTATTTTTAGCGGTCATGCTGCTAATGTCTAACATTGGACCTCCAAAGTTCCGGCAATGCCTGCAGGCAAATCAAATACCGCATGATACCCAAACGACATAGACGTTAGTCTCAGGCGGAATGTTGCATGTGCATGACCCCTCATTATTGACAATTTCCCTGAACCAACTTGCTGGATATTACAAATCCACGTGAGAGATGCTTTGCAGGTAGAGTGTTCTAGTGCACAACCAGCTTTCAAGTCCTTTTCTTTCTTTTTCTTTTTCTTTTCCTTTTTCCCCTCGTGCCCTTGTTCAAGTGAATCCCACAACTGCAAGTGGCGATAATCATGGCAGATACAGAGATAAAGGTGTTCTCGCCAGATTTGAGGATTCAGACTAATTCTGTGTCCTCGACGAAGAATGACAATGGTATTGTGCTCGTCCCTCAACCAAGCGATGACTCGGAGGACCCATTGGTAAGAAACACCCTACCATCAAAATATGACAACCCTAATGGTCGTAGAACTGGCCAATGCACAGGAAGTTGCTTGTGTTCGCCTCCATTTGCCTGGCTGGTTTCGCAGCCCAGATGTCGCCGAATTCCAACCAGCTCACGTTTATCTATCAAATACCGGCTTATCACAGCACGCAAGCCGCGCTACTTAATTCTGTGGCGGCAGGTCTTGCAGGCTGGGTTGCCGGTCCGTTCTTTTTCATCCCCTTTGTTGCGGTAGTCGGTCGCAGTTCGGTTGTGCTCTGGAGTCTGGCGGTTATTTTTGTATGCCAGATCTGGGCGGCCGAGATGACCGGTCCAGATGATTATATCTCGTTTACTATCTCGCGGCTCATCTGTGGCCTTTTCGGTGGCATCCCCGCTATCCTGGGCAGTGGGTACATCATGGACATGTTCTTTTTGCACCAACGAGGCAAGGCATTCGCAATCTTTGAAGTGCTTATTATTTTTGCGGTTGTTGGTGGTGGCACCCTAGGTGGGTTTATTGCTGAAACTAAGCCCTGGAATTATGTCTTTTGGTGGACCCTGGGCCCCGTTGGCAGTGCCATCGTGGCTGTTTTTCTCTTCGTTGAGGATACTACATTCCCTCGCCGTGATTCCATGCTCAGGCGTGCACCTCTTCCGAGGAGCTGGTTTAAAAACCGTGTTGCAACCTTCCTGCCTGGCACAAAGACTCAGCCCTCTAACAAATGCAAAGAACTGGTAAGGCACAAGCCCTACAAGAGAAGAAAAACCAAGACTAACGAAAAGTCACGATCTCAGGTCCGCCGGGTAATCATTCCATTCCAAATCACATTTTCTCCTATCACTCTTCTGACGGGTACATACATTTTTATTGCCCTCGGTCTTCCAATTATGCAAGCCTCGACACTAGCAACCTACCTCGAACCACCCACCGAAGCAGGCGGGTACGGCTTTTCATCGCTTCAAATGGCATTCTTCACCATGACCGCCTGGGTCGGCATCATCGGGGCGCAGGTCTACGGCTTCTTGTTCAACGATAAGATACCCTTATGGCTGGCTCGTCGCCGTGGCGGAACATGGCACACTGAGTACAGATTGGCCAACACTGTCCTACCGAGCATCATCCTCCCCATTGGACTGGGGATCTACGGCGCGGGACTGGAGTATCACCTCCACTTCATGGTTCTGGCGCTAGGCTCGTTCCTGATCTGGTTCGGTGCTCTGCTAGCTCTTCCTGTCTGCTACAATTACATCATCGAGTGTTTCTTGCATCACCCCGTTGAGGCCTCTGTTTTCGCTCAATGCCTACAGAGTCTCATTTGGGCTGATGTCTGTTTTCATTGTGACGCAGTGGCAGGGCTCTGTTGGTGTCGGATGGATGTGGGGGATGGGTGCTTTCTTTATACTCTTCGTGGATATTATTATGCTGGGGATCATTCTCAAGGGTCACTTGGTTCGAAAAGTGGACGGGTAGCCTGAGCAGTAATATTATTGCCACTGAAGATGGGGCCAAGATCAGTATCATTGCTAGTCAATTAAACGGGGATGGGCTTTATAACGATGAAAGGCTTATTTGACGGAGTCGGTTATCAAAGGCTTGATTCTAAGATTGATCAACCAGCAAGTTGAACTGAAAGAGTCTTTGCGGCGCCGATGGGACCCTAAGAATGACCGATTCAGTGAGGACATTAGCTCATGGCGAGCGTTGTGGGACATATTTTGGGAGATGTTGGACCGGTGCGACTGCTCAAGGGTATATGTCATCCTGGATGCCCTTGATGAGTGCCAAGATAGCGGTATGGCCGACTTCTTGAGACTCATTACCCGAAATGGTCTTGATCAACCTACCAAAATCAAATGGCTCCTGACTGTAAGGACTCGGTATGAACAGAATTCATGTAGTATTGACGAAGAGTAATAAAGCCGAAGAAAGGAAAGAGAGGTAAGCTCTCGCGCGATTGTTATGGTACAGATGGAACAGACGGTTGTGATCGCGTGATCGGGCACGTGACTCCGACAACACCGGTTCGTTACAGTAGTCAATAGCTATGTGATAAGTCTTCAAACAGAAGAATTCGTATCCCCTTTCGCAGTAATTTCTTCCTGGGCGTCGGTCTCTCTTCAATTTATTCCTGCATTTGCAAAGGGCACTAGAATTTTGAGCACTGACTTACCTATTCACTTCGAAATACTCGGAAGGTTTCGTGGAACCCAGTGCTCTTCTGTCCAGCTCTCAGCCCCAGCATCCCTCAACTCTTGCTCGGCCAGTGAATATTCTGTTTGCCCATTACGCCCCTCCTTGTGTTTGAAGTCTTGCTCTATCTCAGCATTCGTCCAGAAGTAGAATATCACACACGTCTTCAGTTTTTCCCCATCGTCTGCTTTCGTTTTATCCCAGAGTCCTATAGGGGTGCCTGCATGTGCAACCGTCACACCTCTGCGTGCGTTGGGCATAACAGTGACTTTAGATTCGAGGGCTTTGACTCTAGGCTCCTCGTGGCTTTCCTCCAGGCCCATTGAAGCTGAGAAGTGCGCACATATAAAAGAGATACGATAGCTTGGGTTCCTCAACCATGGGCTTGGAAAGTTATAATTAAACTCGTAGACTTCTGGCGGAATTGATGAGTATCGACATAATGCTGACAAGTAGGTCTTGTATGATAACGAGGCTCTGAATTGATTCAATTCCTCTTGGGATGTCCACACTAGCGAATTTAGTATCTTTGTCACTCGTTAAGGGAAGGGATATTACATGTGATCAGAAGAACATCATTTAAATGTTCTTCGATTCGCCCCCATTTAGAAGCATAATGCCCGGGACAATCTTTCAGGTTCCGTGCGAAATCTCCCCAGTATTCGTCCTCCAGACTTGCGGTCTCAGGCACGTAAAATTTGGTAAAGACCATCAGCCGCGGAGCTGGCATAGCTGCTTATTCAGACTGAGGAGATCAAGAAAACGATAACTTTGGGATATTAAACGTAGTATCTCAAAATGTTTCGTGCAAGTGAAAAGTCCAGCGCGCAAATAAACAAGAGAGAGCGGGAGTAAAAACGGAAAGCGACGTCAGGCCATCGGGGGGGGCGGAGGAGCCAGGTTAGAGGGGTTGGGGGCCGAGGGAATGGGGGCCAGGGGGCCAGGGAGGGGACTGGGGCTGGGGGCTGGGGGCTGGGGGTCAATGCACCCGTGGCGTTCAGCTTCGCACTCTTACAAAGTACATACTCTAGTACACAGCACTTTCATCAGCATTCTGATTTACGCAGATGAGACAAAAACAAGCGGCTGTTAGTATCAATGATTCCATACTGTTCTGGTTGATGTTCATCTGGAACTGATCTATTCCTGAAATTCATTCCGGAGATATGTCAATTCCTCCCTAATTGAAGCCCTTCGAACACGACTTAGAATATTCAGCTACTGCTCCAGTAGCAATATTTTGCAGTGCAGATGATCGTCGGTCACCATCTAACTCGAAACGCCTGATTCTTCATGGCTTCTCCAACTTGAATTCGTCCGCATTAAACCTGGCTCAACAATCTACCCCTGAAATAAATAGCCCCAAGCAGGACTCGTAGACTCTCTATAATTAGATGAAGGTTACGAATCAATGCGGTTCACAAGAAATTAGCGGCCATCCCCTGCTAGTAATCCCAGGGCATTTCCGTAAAGATAAATCCCCAATGTCCCACTCCGTTTTCTGATAAAAAGGTCATTCTCTCTCACTTCTCCGAGATTAGACGAAAATCACAACATATATTTCTACTAGGGATCGGAGAAGTATGTCATCGATCACCGTGAAGATTTTGGCTTTCTGGCTTTTTTTTCATCCCTGTTGCCTTTTCAAACGAGATTGGTAAAGTGTTTGAAGTAAAGCAAGGAACCGAGAATGGCGGTTGTGACTCTCACTTATCGGTCCTTACGCGATAGTGGACGGAATCTCAAGCCATGGTCTCCGCCGGTATTTCTGCGTTTGCTGACGCAAAGGGTGACGCTGATGACATAAAAACAAAGAACGCGAAACATGCTCTTGCGAAATACTTGGGTATTACCGATGATACGTCCGATGTACACGTGGATCAAACCAAGGGTAAGACATCAGGCCATCTCTTACTACCCTTTGGCCATCTTCAAGCCAACTATTTCATTACTTGCCTGAAAGGTACCATCTGCCGGATTTTGGCTTACAATAAATACTATAGAGGTTCTCGAGGATGTTCAATCGTTTATATACAAGGAATTCTCTACTCCAGGAGGCATGCCGTGGTTGTTTTGCGACAGCTCCTGGCTGGAAGAGAAATCTAGGACAGAAAAAATTGAAGAGTGTGATAAAGAGGTGGAAAATCAAAACTCCGAGGAATATGGATCGCAATTGAAAGCAGACGGAAATTTGGTGCCATACTGGTCTTCAGACCTTGATGAGTATATTATAGATGATGCCCATGGAGAAGGAGGTTTATGCGGTGATTTGGGCGAACTGGGTGTGACCCAAGGTATCACGGCGCGAAGGACCGTCACATTATGCCCGAGGGCCTTCACAAGAACCGACGTACAGGCTGATTTCGGTGTCGATGCTCAAGGCAAAAAGCTTAGCGACGTGCTCTCTAAAAGTGCGACCTTGTTCCATGAGTTATTCCACCTGGTTATTGGCAACGACGCCACTATAGATGCGACTTGTACGTCCACTAGTACTCTGTGATGTAACTTGAATCCGAGACATAGCTGACCCGCTTAACAGATAATCTTGGGACTCTTTTTCAGCATGTTGGAAAGGGTTACACAGTACCTGCTAAATCTGAATGGGACGGTCAACGAGGTGCTTTGAGAAACAGTGGTCGCAAGACCAATATTGAGTTGGTTCGCACGAATCCTGAGACTTGGGTGTTCTTCTGCACCGATTACTGGTATACTCTCAACAAGAACTTATATTGGGATACGACGGGAGTATCCAAGACAGCTTAGAGATATCATTTGGTTTTGATCTCGAAATTGGAGACAACGTTGTCCGGGTCGGGCTTGGTTTGTCTGCAGTGAAATTCTGTTATCAAATTTATCTCCAAGCGCAGTGTCAATAATCATAGCTGAAGAACCTTTCACTATTAAGGTCAGATTATTCTTTTCACAATGACAAACCAGAGCTGTCTCACAGAATTTGCTCGCAGTATACTCATTGGCAGCTATATATTGAGTCTATACAATTGGTAATTAGAAAGATTATAGGTGGTGGGTGGGGAGACCTGACTATAGGCTGTAAAAGAAAATCCGAGTCGCTACCTAGGTAGTACCTAGTAGCTATTGTCGCAAGGTTTGTAGTAGCCACTGGTCTAGACTGTATAGAGAATTATCTAAGAATTGTATGTACTTTGAGAGAAGGTAAATAAGATCGGACCAGACAGTGATGATGGTAAAAACATAGTTTTGTACAGCGTCAGGTGAATGACCAGTTCTCGACAAAAAAAAACACAAAAACATACAGCAGCAGGGATTCGCATGTGGTCACCCACCATACTACTAACCTACCGGCGTGTGGCTAAAACACAGTAAGTAGTGCGGTGCGTGCCGCCCGGGTGAGAATGGGGTGCGCGCCGCTTGAGCGTCGCGCAACTCTGGTGATTAGGGTGTTTTGGTTTATTAAGTGATGCTTCAATGAGGGGAGTTGATTGTGTGTTGTGTTGCGTGTGTTGTCTAAGATACAAGTGAAGTGAGAGGTAGGTAAATGTATGCACGTGATCCAGCCTCATTATTATCTCAGCAACCGGGATATTCCAACAGGCTGGGTTTTCGTGGGCGGGTTTGGGCAGTGGGTGGGTTTTGGCGAGGTCTAGCTCTGTGACTGTATCCATGGGCCTGACGACAATGTGCCAGAAAATCTTCCCTGCTTAAAAAAGGATACCCCCGGCTCCCTACCGGACCACGGTCCCCTTTCACGCAGCGCCAACTTATAGCTCACCATCAGTATTGGGATCAGCATCTCGTTGGTGCGCTTCCCAAAATTGAAACACAGATCTAGATCGTAGCTTGTCTTGAGCATCCGCAGTTAAGCTTTCAACCCAACCTGCTAGCTGCAGGGACGCCATTGGCCCTAGTATAATAGATTTGCTGTGTTCCTCCCACCATTTCTTGAACCAATCCGTGCCAAGTTGCTGGCCCAGGAATTCAAATTCATTGGCATAGCACATCCTCCCAAATGCGTGCCAAGCCTCCATGTGTTTGATGACGAAATCTCGGTGTTCTGTCACTCCCCATGAGTGAATCTGGTCGACCAACGATAAGAGTTCCCACGCCTTGCGCTTTGTCACAACCCGGCCGCTCCATACCCTTTGGAAAACCTTCGTTCACAATGAGTATATAGAAACAAAATGAGTTCTTTGCCCATAGTTACATAAACTGACTCACTGAGTCCTTCATGCCCGGCATACTCGCTTTCCAGACGCAGTCGCTTGTAGCCCACCAAGATATGCCAATGAGCGCCAAAGGAGGTGAGAGCAAAAACCTGGTTATTGCAACTTCGTCCAGTTTGATACGGTCTTGCTTTTTCGCCAGCTGCCCCTGGCCTTTTTGCTAAGTCGTCTAGCATGTCGAGATACACTGCTCCTGCTGAAAGAGCTTGGCGACGAGCTTCTCGAGGGTCACCGGTCCATCCCTAGCTTCATAAACAGCAAAAGGGGAAGACAAGATCTACATCTCCCCAATGAGGGTCCGAAATAAGACCACAGTGCCGATGGAGAAGAAAAGATTCCAAACAATCACGATCCAGACTCCATACATCTAAAGAGTCTGGATAATTAGGGTAGTCTGCCGGTCTGAAGGTCGCCAGTCCAAAAGTAGCATCCGGAATTCTTCGAACAAATTTGGATTGGCCAGCGAGTAGGCATGAAAGTGCTACAGTAGCGTATGGCTGCGGAAGGATTGCTTGCGTCGGTACGTTCCGTTCGACATGTATCACATCCTTTGTTCAATGGCACATGTAACGTAACGAATCCGGGAAAGGATCGACATTTGAGGGTGTCAATATATGCTTAGTGTTGTAGCTCAGAAGTATGAATTGTTTTCTTCTAAGAGGGAAACATGAGGCTATACCTACAGCGAGAAGATAAGCCAATCAACTTAGTTCTTTCTATACATACTTCGGGATTAATTCCGATGGTTCGCTTTGGTTCCTGATCTGCACCAGCCTCATATCACAACACTTAGCAAAAATATTTTCGGTAGAGTCTCGACGTCGAGGTCAAAGATCAGCCGGGGTAGTCAATAACCATCCCGTTTCAGACCCTGACAAGGTATTTGCCTGCTAGTGCCCAGACTTTCTCTAATTGGGCTGGGGGATTCCATGCCCTTGGAACCAATTTCAAAGAAGGTAATAATGACTAGGGGATCCTGCGTTCGAATGGCGTTTCAACTTTCAGCATCCGAAAAAATCCTTCAATCTTCGAAGAAGAATCTGCTTCCGGATTCTGACAAAGTGGCTTCTGTTCAACACCACTGCTCTCCTTCCTCTAATTTAATGAAACTTATTGGAGATATCGTGTCTCTTTCCGCGGATATCCAGCTTAATAGGTTGTAAAACGCGATCGAGAGACCAAAAATAGCTACTTGGAAGGCCCCAGGTGAGTAAAAAATGACTGTGAAGCCCCATGTAACAATTGACTTACTAGATCACCGACTCCGGGTTGCAATCTGCCAGGTAAACATGAGAGAGGAGAACCGAGCTCATATGTGGTAATTTATGTTTGAAAAACAATATCTATCAGGCACTGTACCCATGCAAAAGTCCACGATTCCTGATACTAAGTAGATCCTGCAACCGCACAATCACAGGCACAGTGTTGGGTTGGCAGACCGAAGCTGCTCTAATGCGCATCTTTACCAAGTATCCTGTCGCATCCTATTCCTCCAAATTGTTACTCCCCATGAAGAGGTAGCTCGTTGGTTCCACAGACACGGTGTACATAATCCCAAAGCCAGGACCTAGACTGGGATTCTCGTGACTGAGGATGATGTGGAGCCGGTGTGGTATGGACTAAATGACAGAACAAATTAGCATGAGTAACCGACAAAGAAATGCCTGCGTACCGGAATGCGAATTTTCTGAGGCGAAACTGTTCTCCGAAACGGTTGACTCTTCTGATGATATTCTCTGAAGCCACTGGTCGATATTTTGAGCCTTGGTATTCGTGAGTGCTGGGAATCTCTTTCTGGAACCCCCAAGCCGTCGAATACGTCTTGGCGTTTTGGAATTGAGCGCTGCCCAGATACCTTGGCACGATTGAGACGGCGTTTTCGGAGAATGTGATATTTCTTCCCCCGTAGTGATTCGACTGTTCGGCTGGCCCCATATTGCTCATTATAAGCGACAGCACGGGCGTCCCAAGACAGAGCTCGGTGTGCATCCAGCCAAGGGAGAAAATTACCCTCCTCCCATTCTGACCAGCCTATCGAGCTGTGTTGGAGGGGTGATGAATAAAATGTTGGTTTGTGAGACTTCTGCAGGAAATTGAAACGTACAGAAAGTGGGTGTGGTGAGCTTTAAACTTTTGGCACCTGAAATAATTGTCGCGAGGCGACAGATTCTAGAGGCAACCCTACCCAAAATACTCAACTGATTCCAAGGAATAACTGGTTATCCCTGGAACTTGCTGGTGAAGTGATAAACCAATGTAACAATTGAGAAACATGGTTAGACTGAGCTGACCCGTGGTACTGTCCTGCCTCCTCGAATCCTCATTTATTTACGGCGTTTCTAATGTTATTCAACGATGCTCAACCAACACGCATGATTTCTTTCCCGATGAGTTCACAGAAAGAGCGAATGTAACGTGCTGAAAGCTTGAAAGAACCTGTTCCAATTCAAACAAAGCCATTTTTCGCCCACAAAGCCACATGGCGTCACGACTAAACATTGCGACTCAGCTATTGTCTCACCGATTAGCTCCGTTCGTGATCATTATGGTCACCGTCTGTCAATTTCAGTCTATTCTCGGTTCGTCAATTGGACTGAACTGTAGATTGATCAAATTTAAATGACGCTGTTGTTGGTGTATCAATTTCAATTGAGAAATTGGAAAGTGAAAGTCGATTGGAAACTATAAGGGTCAAGGGTATTTCGATTAGAACTCCGGATACGGAAAGCGGAGATCAGTGGGGCAGGATCTTCCCGCCACCTCACATCCCCCGTTCGGCCCGGACTAGTGTGCTGCAAATCCTTTGACATGCCTACGGCGGACTATATCTAGCTAACAGACAAAATTAATCTCAATACCAAAATTCCAAAATTCCAACCGCTCCCGCCTGTGCGCACGCAAAACATTTCAGTCGAATATATGGCGGAATTGCTATTGAATAATGCGTTGTTGAATGACCAGTTGGGTATGGATTAAATATTTCAAATCTTCCGATAATCCTGCCTCTTAACTACTTCTCAACTGCAGAATGAAATGTGTTACCGATCGGTTCCAGATACTGTACTTAGTCCTCTTAATCAAACCATAATGTATATTCGGAGCCAGGGGTTCAGAACTTAGCAGGTGAACCAGGCTCGGTGTAAGGTGGCCGCTGGGAGGGTTATACTCAAGTTATCAGCCCGGCTTGCGGTTACGACTCAAGTCGGTGACCCAAGCCACGTCCATCACAGCCTAGCCTGACACATAGTCTTTGGCAATGAAATATATTATAAATATCGATAAGTATTGTCAAAGTGGGCGCTCGTAGGCTAGTCTACCTAGGTATGGCAGAACGGGCTGATCCAGCAAAATCCGCAACGTGAAATATATATCTGAGACCACAGCACACCAACGTAGTTCCCAGGGGAAGGGGAATGACCCCCAAAACAAGACTGAAAAAGGAGCAAAAAAGGGGATGTGTATTCTCTATCTCTGATGCCAATGCTTTATAAACGGGAGGGACCTCAGGTTTTGAGGCCTCAGGCACCAAAAGCCCTCTTCCGCATTTACAATTATGTATGGGAGCACCACACTACAGTATGTATGTAGTGGGTGAATATATACATATTGACTAGTAACTTGCTTGTATGTTATCACAGTTTCCAGTCGGAAGATCTATTTATATGCTATCCAGTACAAATCTAGTAACCAATGCAATAATCAATGGACTATCACAGATATTGAAGGAGATGCTCGATGGCAGTCTGACAAGCAGACGAGTCGAGATAGCCAAGGAATCAGCATAATCCGCAGCGATTAGTACTGGTGGTACAGTAGGAGATATCAAGATCTAGCCATGAAGAATCAAAAGAGTGTGTATTGGAAGAATCAAGCTGGCAGATTATCGCCAGAGAGTTGTGGGCCTCAGAAAAAAGGTGTCAAAACTAGTCCCAGAGAGGAAACAGAGGCGGTTCAAAGAAAAGATGCTCAAAGAGCTAATCCCACTCTGATCCTTCTCCGCGAGTGATTGCCCTGGCCTCACGAGCGCATCCTTCCGTCGCTGGTTTCCTCACTGCAATATTTATAATGAAATGATGGTCCAGGTATCATGGCGGGTGAGCGGGACATCTTATCTTGCCAAATATGGAAGACAAGGCATTTGTAATCGAGTCGCACAAATAACTAAATAAATAGTTTGAGAATTACACAGAGTCTATATCCACCCTTAAGACGAAATTTGGTCAACACCGGATGGGCAGGTTCAGTCTGCAACTCGACATGAAGCCTCATTTCGTTACGTGCGAATATCGAACTGGCCGTGGTATTTTGTATTTCTCCTTGAATACCTATTTTGTCCGTTAGCTAGATATAGTCCGCCATAATGCCCTCCATTTAGTATTCCACTCCAGCGAAGGAAAGGTCATTTGGAAATTTCTGCCCTCATGTTGAAATCTCCAAATATGCCTTCTCGTCGAAGACAGTCACTTGTTAATGGACGACACACCTTTCGAAGCAGACTTAAACGTGCATTATCTCTGTCATCCTCCGAATCGAGTAAAGAGGCCAGATATAAAAGACCAAGGGTAAAGAATATTGCTGATAATGAGTCGTCTTTCGAAAACAATGGAGCTGTTGAAGGCAGAAAATTCGGAATTGAAGCCGACAATCGGAAGGGTCACCATTGGCGACCATGGGAGATACAGTCCGAGAATGAGATCAATCGGCCTGAAGCTCCATACTGGCCTGAAGAGCCTGCAAACTATAGCATTATTGCACTGAAGTGTGTTTTAGAGTGAGTACTAAAAATGAAAATGGGTTGTTCTTTTACTAATGGAACTAAGACTAGATGAACGAACGAAGTTAGTCTTACAGGAGGATGCAAAGAGCTCGAGGGGGGATCCTGTGATCAAGGGGACCAGACAAAGAAGCTGGAAAAAAATTGGTATGAACATAGTGTCGCGAATCGTCTCGTAGAGCGAAAGACAAAGATTCACAGAAAATCTGTATAGCTATTAATCATTTCAGGACAGGAGAAGTCCCGGGTTTTTATTATGACCTTTTCTCTTTTAAGTTTTATAGTTTAAGTTTTAAAAATAAGTCACTTGGGATCAGTAGACGAAAGGCCAATTGGGCCTTCGAATAGACCAAGAAACATGCATTCTACAGGGGCCAGTGTTTCAAAGCTGCGCGTTTCGCTGATAATTTCTGAGTTGGACTTAGTTTTGTTGATAGTCAATCCTTCGTCAATCCTACCTTGTCGAAAGCTCGAAAATGACAATACCACCAGTATGCCAGCTATATCTATGGATGTTAACATAGAACGCTCAGATATACAATCTACGGCTCCTGACGGTTAGATTCTATCAAAGTTTGCAACACTACTAGTAGTATTCATAGATCTCCTTTATGCCAATTGAAACCAAAATACTGGAAGCTGATTGCATGTGTCTATATAACCTTGACCCGGACTTAAAGACGAATGTGCGATCCCTTCCATCTTAAGTGAAAGCTGGCTGTGTAGACGATACATGATTTTTCGGATTTCTTGACAGGCAAAGCATGATCCATGTATAATACCCACGGGGGCCAATCGACCATTACAGTAAAGACCAACATCATAAGTTCACATGCACTACAATCGTACTAACCTATTGGCTCGTTCCTGGATAGTAGGAGTCGAAATCTTGCATGTTCGCCCCAAAAGCCCTCGCGTGGGGGCTAAAGCTTCCTGGGGCAGGGAATACAGCAGGTTTATTCCACCGCGCAAATTGCATACTAATACGCGACCAACACAATCCTGGCAAAGGGGGCGGTTTTTAAATCGATCATTACCAGACTGGGAACTTCTGCGTAGAGTCCCCAAGGAGAAGGATTGCCAAGTGGGGCTTGATTGAGTCAAGCAAGTCGCCTCATTGCCTGGTTCCACACCCTGGGTCCCTGGCCCCCAGACGTGTCCAAATCGGTACCATGTCATGCAGGTCCGAAATATGGACCCTGCTATCCACAACAGGGGCTCAAGACTTGCTATGATTCTGTCAATTCCATCTGTGAGAGCAAATTTAATTATATATCTAAAGTGCCTACTCTTTTTGCAAATAATATTGCACCATAGCACTTTATTCCGTAGGAGCTTTGTTCTGCCAGGCTTGCGCATTGCTAAAGGCACTGGCAAATTCGCCGTCAGATGTACTCAGACCTCTCTTATGGAAACGGCACCCTGATAGAGCCCCCTTGGGGGCCAGTGTTTTAGAGTATCCCAAAGGATTCATGTATGGGCTATAAATTACAGGATTGGCTGAACAGATCGACAGTGGCTCTGCACTCGCTTCGGGGCTAGGAATCTCGCAAAAGCACTATGTTACACCCCTCTGGAAACTCATATTTCGTTTTCGATTCGAAATAATTCTAAATATAGCTTTTTCGCGCATGTCATCCCCAGGCTAGAGCAGATTTCTGTTAGGTAGAATGGAATTGAAAAGGCGGAATTTGTATCAAGGTGTGTAGTAGTACCTGGGGGCCGAAGAATGCAATACAAAAGACTGGTCGCTTTCCTCTCTGTCAATGCTTCCGTATAGCTTCGTCTCATTATTCTTCCAATCATTCGGTGGCTGTAGCCTTAGCTCACATCAAAATGCATCTCTTTTGGATTCTGCAGCTCTCGGCGGCTGCCCTGGCCATGCCTGGAAGAAGTTTCGAGGCAAGAGCCGCCGCCATGCCTGAAAATCCAACAGGAAGCATCACAGCTACTGCAACCAAGGCCACTCGCACGAAAGGTACGATGATTCTAAATCGCAAGCTATCTAAGAATACAAGAGCTAATATTGATCTAGCGTCGGTTTGTACCAACCATAAGCATAAGTCTTCTTCGACTGCTACTGGCCCACAATGCGTTCATTCGCAGAATCCTCACGAGGACACGAACAAGTGTGTCTGTACATACAGCGGTACCAGCGAAGTCATCCATGATGTACCAAAGGACGGCAATTGCCCTATGACAATGCCCTCGAGCTGGATGCCCACTTCCTCCCCCGAACCGACCACGACCACAACTCATTCCTGGGGCACCGGCGAAGTTGTAGGTTATGATTATACGTACTGGGATTCAGCACTTGGTGGTGCTAAGATTCTTTGTCAAACCTCGGAGCACTCGACGATGGGCATTGCCGTCGGTACTACGCCAATCGTCGCGACCGTTTGCGCTGGTCACAATTCAACTGCTGAAGCAGGCATCAGTCACTGGACAAGTGCCACTGTTGTCAGTGCCGATGCGTTCAATATCGGAAACTGGGGGTTCTCAAAGACTGAGGCTACCGACGAGGCTGCCACCGCCACCTCCTCCGAGCGAAACGAGCTTGCCACTAGCATTTTTTCAGCTATGAAAACCCTATGCTCCGACAGTGCTGTTGACACCGAGACCTATGTTCCAACTACTAGCTGGAATGAAGAAATCAATAGCTTCACAGAAATCTCCGTGACAAAGACTATGAAACACTGCGCTACCCAGACGGTTGAGGTCATGGACACCTACTATCTGAAAAGTCTCAATAACGATACGGACGTGGCGGATGGCCCTGGGGATGGTAAGATCGAGATCGAAATCAAAGATTCTTGGTTCGAACCGGCAAATCTGGATGGGTTTTTGTGGAAAACTGCTTTCACATGGGCTGAGCAGGCCATGAAGAATATGCGAGAGGTTAACTACAACTACGGTAGCCAAAGTGGCGGATTTGCTGGTGCTGTTTATGAGCCGGATTTGTGGCTGAAACAGTACGTTGTGCCATCCGAAATTTTGGTTACTCATGGTGCAGACTATGCACATGATAGCGTTGAGGCCATGTGGACAAAGTTGCATCTCAAGGAAAGTAAAGCAGACGAGATGTCTTGTGTGGAGCAGGAAGAGATGATCATGCTGGCCAAATCATTCGCGGAGTTTATCGTTCCTGAGCTCGCACCGGAGATCGAAGTAGGTGCCGATATTGGCCTGGAAGAAATGTCCTGGCATTGCGCGGAAGAAGCTAGTACCGGTGGTGATTAGTGATCTCTCAATTCGAGTACTTGGCTGAAGCATGGCATATTGCTACTCTGAAGATTCAAATATTGGACAAGTTATTCAATTCTGTATTTATTACCTAGGTATCAATTATGATAACAATTCGTTTTGTTGAATATATGTGTAGTCTACCACTTGATATGAATCGAGAAGCTTTCTAAAGTGAACTAATTTGGAATTGTTGTGGAATACTAGAATTACTACGGCTTGAGAAACTTTCTTTGATAGTACCTTGATTTATGATTTCAACAAAAGGAGCCTTTTATTGCATGAAGATCTCATGGTGAGTTACTTCTCATATAGCTCAGTTCCTAGGTATTCGCTATGGTATCATCACTCTGTTTGATCCCCGGGGCTGCTCTATCCAAGGGTAAGAGGTCAAACAATCCCCAGTTAGTGATGATTACGGATATTCCCTGATACTAAGATACCTAGGTAGTACGTAAAATACTACTAAGTCTATTCTTTTTTAAAATGAATACCCAGTTTTGTCCCACCAATCCAATTTCTATTTCTTTAATCATCCACATAAGTCAAAACCCAGTTGTATAGTAACTTTTAGATGTTCTTTTACCTACACACCTATAATATCATAAAATAACAGGAGTGTGCAGAACAAAGTTGGAAGATACTATTTTGTATCTCAAATGGGATATTCCTCTACTAAGGAGTAGTCTTAACTTTCTCGTAAGGTGTTGGGATACCTGGTATCTGCTCAGGAGTGGTGACTGGGAGACCAAATCCTGAGGGGAGAGCATTATGATTTGTATACCTGTTGCTCCAGCTATATTCCGGAGCTAATGCATGCCCCTTCGGTTTGGTTGGCTCTCGGTGCCCCATCAGTAGGTTGCGGCCCCTCATGTTGCAGGGTCCGTAACAGATATTAGATAGTAGAGATCAGATTGGATAGTTAATATGCAGGCTGATTCTTAAAGAGATTAGGAATCCTAAATATTTATAGGATCTTATAATACTAAGGCTTATATAGATATTGTAGTGGGGAATTCCGCTCTCAACACCGGTATCCCATAGTCAGGTGATTGGGGCCTTAGTAACAAGGCAGCCATTTAGTTTCTGAAGAATAAGTAGCGTTCGTTCCATAGTACAGGGCCGCTCGAAATCAGCTTCACTTGTTTACTCTCTTAAAAACTTTTCGAAACCTTATCTTGCATTGCACTATACCGGTTTAGGCTAGACTACCCCTGACCCACTATGCGGCGGTATTCTCATACAAGTGTAAATAAAACGAATAAAAATAGATTCCGTAACGTGCTGTACGGACGATTTTGTTTTCTAGAACCAACTCATTGCTAACAAGTCAAACAATGCAGTCGGTTGTCTGGCCACCTCTCTAGCTTGCATTCCAACATTCATCTAAGCCCCCACCCAGATCCAAGCGGATAGCGAACGGAAATTCGCAGATGGAAAAAGAAAGGAACTGGGGGGGGGTCTTCATTACAATGCGTTTATCATCGACTCTACATCAACTTGCAACCCTTATTCATTGAACCCACCGCCTGTTGAAACCTGGAAGCCAAACCGTGCTAACGTTGAATTAAACAGGAACCGTTCACCATGATTAATCCTAGAACAGAAAAAAAGCCACGTCTGTCAAGGTAGTATAGAGCACTAAGCTGATACGGAAATAAGAGATTCTAGATTACCCCTTCAATGAACTGGGTGGGGTCACGGGCGCAAGGAGTCTCCGGCCGAGTACAACTTGACCAATCTTTCCTTCAACATTCTCGCTTTTGAGAATTATCAGTATCTTTGCGACAAAGGGGCATCTCCCTCATGGCAAGTGCTCTTTCATTCATGTGTCCACTCATTAACTGTTTTTCAGACATCAGTCGCCTTTCAGAAGATACGTGCGCCTGGGTACGAAACGTGACAATATTGGGCATCGAGGGAATAGTAAGTCACTGGAATCATGAATAAAATAAGGCTTGCTAGGAAGAAATGGTGCCTGGTTGGGAAATATCCAGATAGGCGCCAGCCTGCGAATAGGCCGGAGATGCTGTTGGGGGGTATGTGCACTCATGTGAGCAGCTCAATGGCCGTGCCCGCCTGAACCCTCTATGGGATGCCACGCAACTGGGTATCCTGAAAGGAATTCAGAAAGGGGCCCTTCAGTTAATTTGAGACTTGATGGGATATTTCTGCGTGATTTGCTGGATTCTTTCATGCGGTGTTGATGTTGCAATGGCTACCCTTTGTTCTTCGAAGAGTTGGATCGAATTTCGTGTATTCCTTTCAACGGAGTCCCAGACGTGGATCTAGCTATGAACCGTTTGAAAGAATTCTTTGATTTCTCTGCCCACTACTAGTGACATCAAGTAATTTGAAATATGCAGGTGATCTATGCGTCCAGGGCATTCCTCGTCGTTTATTTCTTTGAGAATCCCTCTGTCTTATAATGGCAAACCTTCCCTGACTCTGATTTATGTCCAAGTACGCTCTTGCATACGACTGCACAGTTAAAATTCTACGAAGACAGCCTTCAAGTTAAATTAGTATTACTACTTGTGAAGGATACATACCGCTAGTATATAGGCTTATTTGTCAAGGTATCTATAAAACATGTCGAGGATCTTCAAGCGAGGAGGAGAGAAATTTGGCAAAGCAAAGCAAATATTGAAGGAACGTGGAGAGTCATTCCGCCGACGATTCGAACGTGGTTTTGAAGGCATCGAGGAAGTGCGAGTAGGCACGGGACGGGGAGCCGATGATCCTATTCCGCCGCTGAGGTTTCAAAATTCCACAGGGGTTTTGATAGACAAACGTCAAAATGCACCCAGGGATTGGGACCCCAACGACAATGATATAGATGAGAAGTAAATCTCTTCATTTAAGCACAATTTGGACTTCTATGGCTCACTAACTCTCGAACAGTGATTTAGACGCAATGATTCAACGTTGCAACGAGCGTATCAATGACAATATTTTGCCCCAAGTATGGCGAGACAAGCTAAAGGAGTGCCTGGAGATGAAGGTTGAGATGGAAGCACTAGTCAAAAGTGAGCGCAGAGGACTTAGCATGCATGTCATCGAGCGTTTGAAGCGACTGGAGGCGGTCAAAAAGGCACTCCTCGAAAATGGCGACAAATACAAGTCAATTCCTAACATTGATAAAATTATGGACTCATATCGCTCAGGAACCTACAAATGGGAGCATGGGACTGCGACATACTGGTCAAAGGGTTCTTTGATTGCGGGCCCAAAAAGGTTTGACGATAATGAACTCTTGCGACTAAGTACGCAAAATGATAGCGACAATGGATTTTGGCTTGAACTGGTAATATATTCTTCACATCTGAAATTTGACATTCGCATAGCTCTGCAATACAGTTTCTAATCGATTCTATTAGCACGATACACCGGGACCAAGTGGTCAATTTGCTAGCGGTGCTATAAAGCAAGCACATACCGTGGGAGACAATCCAAGCCTGCCTCATTTTTACCCTGTATAAGTTACTTCGAACTCCAGGTGCGGGGGCGCTACTAACTTATCATTTCAACGTAGGTCACTCTTCAGTTTCGAACTCCCGGGTCGACTGTCGCGATCGGAGTTAATCTGAATCATATTGATGACACCGGCTCCGGCAATATAACATGCTTCGAGAGCGATGTGGACAAGATAGTTGCAATCAGTGGGGTGAAGGCTCCATTTTGTTTTACCGGCGTCGCGAGGACAGTAGGTGGAGATGTTGTGAGCATAACCATTGTCTTGGAGGTTGCACTTGTTGGCCCCGATGGGAATGCAGTAACACAGTGGTCTCGCTGGCCCGTTGTGGTTCATGGGGGGACCGCGAGCGGGCAGAGCGAGACTTGTCGGGCCATACTTACGACAAATGGTATACACCGGAACAGCACCTGAGGTACCTCCACGGATGTATGTCAGTAGTAGTGTTGACGGTATAAGGAAAATGCTACCCAAAAGAGAGGATGTTGATACGACGCCAGATACTTGGGGTTTAGCGACAAACCACGTCGCCTCAAACATACCTACGGTTGGAGGATTCGATCCAGCCTATGCTCCAAATTACTATAGAGTAACATCTTTCGCATGGCCGACCCCCCTACAAGCACCAGCACCAGGACCAGGAGTACCCACTGCAGGCACAGCAGCCGGGCAACAAGCACAAGCAGCGAAACTTGGGACACCACTGCCAGGAATAGGGGTGGGCGCTGGGGGTGCAGGTGCAGGTGCCGGAGGTGCAGGTGGGGGTACAGGTGTATCGGCTGCAGGTGCTGGGGGTACAGGTGGTACAGGTGAAACTTTATATCTGCCCACTACCATGTAACTACTAGTTTCAACCTTTGCAGGACCAGCATTTCCAGCACGCCCAACAAGCGATCTTCTACCTGGTTGACGCCCCTCCCCTTCCGCCTCTTTGGACTCAGGTTTGGTTCGAGCGGAAATTTCATGCGTGCCTTTTACCAAACCTTTGGATAAATCAGATTGTTTCAAGTTATTATATATCTATTGATCTCGTTAACTTAAGCTCTAGTAGCATACGTATTAGCCCTATATGTGCAGAAATGTTTAAACGACAGTATCTCTTTTCTCGTACCCGTAACCAACTAAGATGTCACCATTGTCGAGGATTGCTTACACCTGTGTCATCCATTTAGGCATCCACCGAGGCATCCACTGCCTACACCTGCATCCAGCTTCCTTCTTTTCCGTCTCGGGCTATTATTTTCGTCGAAACGTTACTGCTACCTCTTCCTGATCACTACGATGTATCTTGATCTCTGTGAGTATCTGAGGATCCTCACGGTACCCCCAATGCTTGGCGGGCCCAATACCAGTGAAAATGGTATTTTGCATGCTCTAGCCACTATCTAGATGCTGCCAGTTGCTGGTTCAACTAAATCTATTCAGGCTGGACTCACGGCCTCCGAGAAAAATCATGGCAAATGATCTTGTGTTGTAGCTGCACGTAGTTTAGCACACGTGGAGGAAGACGGCATAACTATATGATTGACTGATTTATTGATTATTCATTTCACGCGCCAACGGCCTACAAAGGCTCCAGCCAGAGATACCATCGGATATTCGCTCGCAAAATTATGCATTCTCCTAATGCTATGAGCTTGAAGCTAGCATCAGCATCAAAGATATGATTATCTATGATACTATCTGCTGCAAAATCCCACAAAGCGGCTGGCTTCCCGCTGGCACAACTAAGTGGGAAGCCATTGTTTCTTTGGAAGTATCCGATGACAAATTTTCAAAAAGGGCTGTCATATATCTAGCTCTCCGGAGCCCCAAATAGTGCGACAGCCCCCTATTCCTTCGGGATTTGCGAATCTTCTTAGCCTTTTCCAGCGCTTGAGAAGTATAATGACACACTGTCATTTTGACTCATGTCATTGATATTTCTACCCGCCAACGAGAGTTCTTGGACTCTTTTGTCTGTCATCACATGCGGAGGAAATGACAGGGAAAGGCACTAACAAAACAAAATTGTTGAAAGGTTCCCCATTCTTTTCTGGTGTGCGTGACGAGGTTAGGTTCCCAACACCGTTGCGAGTCTTTTCAATTCAATATTTCGCGGACAACACTCCATACCGCCTGGCTTTATCTACAAAGCGTGCTTGTTGAAAACTTGTTTGAGTCACAATCGCCGTCTCTTCCACCTGGCATCCAGTGACATCATTCCTGGATGCCACCGAAAGCACTGATACGGCCATCAACTCGATTGAGGGTGTCCTTAGGCCCTGGCTTTGGAGTTTTCAGGGGTGGATATCCCACACTTTTGCTGATCTTCTGTATGACATGTCTGCGTGGACAGTAAAATACAACGAATTCTCTCCCGAGAGTGAATTGAGGTTTGGTTATCTAGCTGGTAAAACTGGTCGTCTGTCCATATGCTAACAATTCCAGATGTTGCAAATACGAAATATCGGCCCAACTTTGTTTGACTATGAAGCTAACTACGAGCAAAAGCGAGATAACGAGAAGAGAAGGTTTTATATCAGTCGCCTTGGAGACGCTTACAAATTTGGATTGCTCTCCACATTCACACGGGATAGCTCGTGACGACTAATGGTAATTCATGAATAATTAACTTGAGACTGGTCTTCCCTTTTCGAGTTAGGTCATGGATAACAGTCTAATCACAACACCCGCTAAATACTTCTCGCTTTGTTCCTCAATAAAAAGTGAAGGTACAAATACGTCAGCAGCCTATTGTGGGCCGAGATATTCGATTCTTCACTCCAATTAATTGGCGTGCTAGCTATCGGATCCATCACTTCTTTGTTGTTCCCAGTGAATTGAATAACGACTTGACAGCCATTTGCGGTCTAGGGGATTGATAGAAAGTGCTACAGAAAACCCGATGAAATTCATCAGGCTTCCTGCGGAGACTAAGCCTCTTTCAGGTGATTGTTGTCAATCGCCCGTATGTGGGTAACGACTAGACTCAATCTCGGGCTAAAGTGGATATGCCAAGCAGCCGACAAGGAATATAGCCCTGGAATTTCCAGTTAAGCTCTTCTCTGAGTGGCAAATCCCCCGCACGGTACTAGGTTGTGAATACGCGTTTAATTTATCTGATCCAAATCTAACATGGAACTATTGGGAGGCTTATAAAAGAAAGCTACACGCAAGAAGTGCCCTTGATTGGGACATCCCATCAATTCTTTCATTCGTGACACCTACACCCTTCTAAAATATCACAATGCTGGAGGCTCGCTTGACGACCTTATTTGGTTGCATAGCTACTCTCGCGACCGCACTCGCACCTGGCCTTGAAGTCGCTTATTCTCTTGAACGAGCTACCCAGGGTATTGCTATCTCCCCTGATGGACGCAAATTCCTTTCGCAGCGATACTCAACACAATTTCCCCCGCAAGCAGTGGAGCTCCTTTCCGACAACACGACCGCTTTGTATCCAGACACGGCATGAAACTCATATAATTTGAGTGACCCGAATTCAGATCCAAGAACTACATTTGTGAACATTGATGGTGCCCGTATCGGACCTGATGGATGCTACTGGCTTGTGGACGGTGGTTCTACCGGATTAAACGGATCGACAAAGTTTGTCGGTATGAACTCAAGTACCAATACCGTGGACTCAATTTACTACCTTGATGACATCAAAGCAAGTGACAGTGGCATCGACGACGTGCGCTTTGGTGCCTCTGGTGACATGGCCTATCTGAGCGATACTGCCAACGCTCTCCTCGTTCTCAATTTGACTACCGGCAATGGCGTGCGAGTTCTTTTTTTATGACCCCTCTGCCGTATCCTGGTTTCCGCTGATGTATAATGGCACGCTTGTGCCTGGCTATGGTGCCGCCGGAAGTACTCTGGCTGTTGGCCTGGATCAAATTGAGGTTTCCCCCGATGGTGACTACTTGTACTATCAACCATGTATCGGCGGATTGTATCGCATTAAAATGTCCTATGTTGATGCGACATTGTCAAATACAACACTGGCCGCTTCCCTGGGTGATTACGCGGAGCCATTCGCGCTCACGCCGAGCACAGGCGGTACTACTATCGATGCAGCCGGGAACATATACGTCAGCGACACAAACTTACTCGCTATCTGGAAGGTCACGCCGGAAGGGCGTGCCACTATTCTTGTCCAAGACGATGCGCTTCTCTGGATGGACTTGATGTGGGTTACTTCTGACAAACATTTATGGCTCCCAGCATCTCAAATGTGACCTGGTGGCGATGGTCTTATGGCTAGCGGCCCGAACTATAACTTCACCTACCATATCGATGCGGGTCCTTCTCCAATCGATCACGCATAGATCTTGGAATTTTTGAAGCGAAGGGATATTTTGTCAAAAGTGTTAGGAATTAGGCCTCGGCATAACCCACGGGTTGCTCCCACGGCCATTGTGACGAAGGTTGAACATGGCTTGAGCTAATTGAGAGTCTGCCTCGATGGAATTCGGGTAGAATTTTGTTGGAACCTGTGCTCTGCTACCTCAGATACCGCAAGCGTCTATAAATTCAAGTTCTCTCATTCACGCGCACTCTCTCCCTCATTTACCTGGGCCACACTAGGTTATCGGGCCTATGTGCTTCCTATATTATATCACAATAATCGATCTGCCAGCTTTGTAGAGTATCATCTAGCGTTATCCATTTCACAATATTCGGAGATCTCAGTGCCCTATAATAAGCCTGGTTGTATCTAGTTGCAGTAATCATGAGGGAATAATGTGTCTCATCCGGTCCTCTACTACGAGTAGTACGAGCAGTGGGTATTCCGGCATGTTAGTTAACCAACGAAAGGGACAATGTACTGTTACCGCAGAAAATAATCGCTATGCTTGTTTGCTTAATAAAATAATCCATCATGATGACTACAGCTGCTGTACTGCGAACAAATACTCCATCCACACACAAATAAACACGGGGTACATACTCATAATCAGTCCACCTCAGGAGCATCAAATTCGATCTTCTCCTCTTCCATCACCGCTAGACATTAAGATGCCAGTCCATGAATTTATCTCCTATATCTCGCACTAGACTTCTCAGATACAAGTATCTAAACCGCATTCTTCCTTTGGAGTTCGGACCAAGTCCGTTTCTCATCCCTCAACGCAGACTTAGCCCAATAAGTTGTAATGACCGCCCAAACGCCAGCCCAAATCCATGGAATGGTCCATCCTTTTATATTGAAACAGAAAATGTCAGCTCATTTTATCTTAATAAAGGGAAATAAGTATTTGATGCTTCTTTGCAATGGCAAAGAGGTGGGTGCGTAAAGGATGTGGTGCAAGGCTGAACGGGATGCATCGTCAACTTACCAAGCCCGAAAGCAAATGTATTGGTGTGAACCTTGGAAATTATGGATATCAGCAAAATACCCATAATAAGTCCACCGAAACCCCAAAACCAGTTGAGACTTTCCATTAGGTGTTGGAATCGTAAGCTGGCTCTGTATCTCTCCATCAAGGCCGAGCGGTATAACCTGCCTCTACCCCCATCTACCGCAACGACATCCTCGATGATGGTTAGAATGCCTGGACGAAAGACTGAGCCTGCGGGCATTGAGGAGACTGGAAATGGCTGTCGCACGCCGAGCTTTGCCAGAATTCCGACTATGACTAGGGTGAAGCCAACTTGAACGAGTAGAACACATGGAGGCAAAGCGGCCATTCGTACGCTCGGCGGTTCATGTGTCAAGCCGATCACGATAATGATAGTGACTAGAATGAAGCCAAGAAGATAGTTCCAATGAAAGAAGTCAAACTATATCCCAAAAAATTGGTATAATGTGTCAGCTGAAAATCCTTTAACATCTCTCTGTGTTTTCGGCACGTTATCGGACCAGGGGACATGCGGGCGGCAGACTAAGGGAATGGGAAAAAAGGTCTAGAAATTTGAAAAAAGGCACTGAACGGAGAAAGGGGTAGCATACATGCCAACGACTTTCTGAGGTAGCAGGTCGGCAGTTTGATCTTTGCTTGAGTAGTTCCCATGTTCGCATACCTAGCGAAAACAAGGTTGACACTCCTAGCACAGCACTAGCCACACTTAAGGCTAATACGAGATACATTAAGTCAGTCCATCTCGTGGAAACAAAACTTGTTCGGAGAGGTAAGTTGAGCACATACCAATTTTGTCTTCCAGGTTCGCCGCCCAGTGTAAAGTTGGATAAAGCACCAACGGAGCTATGCAGGATGTGAGCAATATGAAGCCCCAGTTTAAGGCAATCTTGATTTTGTGCTCATGGAGATCAAGAGGCAAGGGAGGGGGGCCCTCAATCTCCGCCGCCTGATAGTCTTCCGGTGCAATCATGTTATGTTCTTCACTTTCGTTCGAGGCAAGGTCACTGGAGCGCATGTTGAAAAATAAGATAGACTCAATCAGCAGTGGCATACGGTTCAATTTTTATACTTGTCCACCTGGGCAAGGCTGAGCAAGGAGCAAGGATAGACTTTAGGGTTCCTTATTTAGCAGCCACCAGCACAGGGGGTTGGTTTAGATTCGTGGTCCATGGCAGCTGAGCTTTTCGCTCGAAATTACTAGAAATTGATAGTCATGTTTCTATTATGGTAACTTCGAGCATATAAGACGGGTATTCAGCTGCACCAAACTAAACTCGTTCAAGGTATATACTGCGTATTGCGACGGGGTTTTTTTTAGCTAGGCAAAGCTAGCTGGAACGATGAGATGGGGGCCGTCAAATATCAGAGTCCACAACAACCAGAGTTTCTTTTCGCCCCCACCTAACCCTATTCATGGCGGCAACTCCACAATATGAAAGCAAAACAATGATATTTATGCTTTCGCCTCTTCGGGAGTAAAATTGCGAGATATTGTTCATGTTCAACACTGGCAGACATCTGGCTTCATGCTCGTCAATGGTCTGGTCCAATCATGATTTCCCAAGCCACCTAGTCGATCTTGAGCGCGAGGGTTATCTCGTTCGAAATTGACGCTAGACTCAATAGAGAATCAATTTGCGCCTGGCTGGGGCTTGGCGAATTCGTGATTTTACAAACAGTAAGGCATCGTGCTCCATAGCCGTAACAGACCCTTTGATTTCGCGAGCCCTGGAGCCTGGAGGAGGACAGTGCCTAAGTTACTAGGGTTTCCTACATTAGTAGTAGATCTGGCTGATGCACCAAGTACTCGGGTATTCCAACTTCCAAGGTTCCATACCACCGGACGAATTTTTTGATTTGAAATCTGTATTCGCAAAGATGAGAGCACTCGGCTCAGACCTTCCAAATTTTGTATACGTGGTCAGAAAACCCCCATCTCCTCCAATATGTTGCTGCGCAGGACGAACCACCAACTAAGGCCCAAAAATCACTCGATTTTTCGGGTAGACTTAGGTTCAATATCTCTTCTGGCCAAGCTATCTGGCTGGGATTCCAAATCGCCCGTTTATTGAAGCTATGAATGGACATCTCGTCATCTTTGACAAAGACCACAAAATCGCCATCTCCGTAGATTCTAGCTCCACACCCCTTCTTGAGCTCACAATGAGTTTTATAATCACGAACAAGATTACATTCTGATTTGAAAGCATGCAGAATCATCACCCTGTTGGCATACCCTCCCCATTGTTTCTGGGACTCGGCAAAATAAAGAATACCCGGGCTTGGAGAAATGAATGTGAACTCTTCGCGCGAAGGCAATATGGGCCGCATTGTGTGGGCCCTATGAAAGACAATCTGCTGGTCGCTTTCGATAGAGAAGAATCTCTGGGAAGCCCACGTGTGATATTGGCGGTAATTAAATTCCTCTTGATCGGCTTCGGGATCATCTGGATCAAGTTCATCATTAAAGTCCTCTTCTTCGACATTGAAGTTGATCTGGCCAGGGTATGTTTCGCAGCGGAAAGGATATATTCTCACAGTGCTATCGCGCCGCAGGAATAGTCTTTTGATCTGGTCTGATGTAGATCGAAATACCCCACCTCTATCTCGGTCACCCAGTGCGAAGGTTTCTAGGTGTGCCTCCACGTTTGGTATGGAGGAGGTTGTTAGACTGGGGTCTGAAGGGCTGGAGGGAAGATCTTTAATATGAAAGACGATGAATTTCTCCTCGTCTGGGTCTAGAATCAAGACTCTGATGTTGCTCGTATCCTTCCATGGTATAGTGCGTGCAATACGCGACCCAAAGCTCCAGTGTATGAGGACAGCTTTTCCGCTGGAGTCGTTCGGCCCGATGAACATCACATTGGTTCCGTGAACCAAGAGCCTGCCCTCCCAGCCGGAGTGAGGTAACTGGAAATTGGTATATTCATGGGTTTCGATATTCCATACATGGCAGGTTCTGTTCGATGGCCGGGATCAGTTAGCATCATAGTAATGACTAGTCAGTCATGGCGAAATCACGTACCGTCGAACAAGCGCCACTACAATGGCGTTTGATACTTTGATGTGAGAAAAGGTCTGTCTATCCTCTGTCACAAACTGACTAAGTTGTCCGGTCCAAAGATTGAGGACATTCAGGGTGAATTCTGTGTAATCGATCCATGCGAAATGACCTTCCGAATAGTCCGCGGCCATGCACCACTGTAAGATCCCAATGTGGGGCGGCGTGAAGGCAATTTCTGATACGAATTTACCTTGCTCGATTCGATCCCTTTTCTTTATAAAAGCAACCGTGTCTTGAGTATCGTCGCAGACCAGCCCCCGTGCCAGAAGAATAGCAGAGTGCATGTCGCGAGAAGACAGAAGCGCTTTCCAGGTCGATGAAACTCTCTGCAGGCGTAGCATGTCAACCAAGGGGAGCTTTTTGAAGATCAGAAGCACAATTTCCATCGGCAAATTGCCAATAATGTCGAACAGGAAGTGCTCATTCTGGAGGCGAGCCCTCACTCTCCGAATCTCATGGTGAGTCAGGCTATCCAGAATGTTGTCGAGTCTGTCTCTCGTGAGTATTCAAGCAAGTCGTAGAAAAGAGGCAGCAAAAGAGGCAGCCACCCATCAACTTACATGGCAGCTCGACGTTTCGATGACAGGGCTTGATCAAGGAGGGGAGATAATGGATCCCGATCCATGGTTGATCTTGTCTCTGTGATGTGGAGACTGGGAGGGAAGGTAAAGGGAGAGAAGAGAGGGAGAAGATGGGAAGTTCAACCAGTTCAACCAGCCAAGGCAATAACGGCAGTGATCAGCCACCGCCCCGCCGAGTGTCTACGAGGAAGATACGAGTATACGAGTAGTAGTACTTCGAGTATAGTATAGTATAGTAAAGTATAGTATAGTATAGTATAGTATAGTGTAGCAAAGTATAGTACTGTGTAGTATGGTATGGTATAGTCACTAATAGTGACTCACTATTGTAGTACTATGTTACAAAAACAATTCCCAGGTGCTATGCTCAATCCAAGCTGCATAGTCGGCCAAACCTGTTGATCAAACAGAATGATTGCTGGTCGCTGTGAGAAATCTAGCGCTTGTGGAAGACAAAGAGATGAAGGTCGGGTGACCCAGCGCCTGTTCATCGCCCTCGTCTTCATCGTCTTCTTCTCCGTCTTCGTCTCTCCTTCGCTCTCCCGTTTGGCCACGGTCGCTATTACCGCAGTTCATTCTTTGTGGTCTCGGTTGATTGCAGCCGCCTCGAGATTTTGACTTTGGAATGCTGGGTATGATATATTGCGCAGAGACAGAGCATTACTCCAAGCTCGTGGTGTATCGGTTGGTGTCGATCATAGTTGATAATCTTGAGGTTCTTCCATTGCGGTGTTCAAGGTTTCACAACTCGAATTCTGTTCACCCATCTTGAAGACTTTCGAGCCCTTCGCGACCGGTCCTGATTCAGTGTGCGCCAGATGATCCGAATCTCTTCTTCCGTCCTTCCTTCCAAGCGCCAACAGCCCTCTTGTGTATGTCCAGTCAAGTTGCAATGCCCGCAGAAAGGACGACCACGTCACTTGGTGACCGGAGGAGCTAGAGGAGCATGATTCTCTCGGATCAGAGCCTCGTTGGCTTCAGTCTCCAGGACCAAGAGGCCCAATGGCATTGGAGTGAACTCGCTGGTCGCGAGATTGTCCTCGATCATACACTGTTTGAATTCCTCCCATTTTCGACCAAGGCCCTCCAGGAAAATTGTATTCACCACGGTCCGCGAGATACCATTGGGTCGCATCGATTCCATTTCGCTTTCGACGGACATAAATTTGTGGGTATAGTCACTGACCAATGCGAAATTGTCGAGTCGGAGGCGGGAGAGGATTTTGAGGAGCAGGGGGAATTGTGGCTTGGGTTTGGGTTGGTAGTTGGTTTGCAGGAAGTCGTACATCGCATCGATACTGATGTTTTCGGGGATATCGGCTAGGATTGCCCTATCAACCGTCAGACCAAGCAGAGCGCTTAAACTCTTGTCCAGTTGCTGCCAACTTTTATACGTATGGGCAAGGGGCGGATCCAGGGCGAGTAGTGGCTGCTCCGACCCAGTCAGAAGTGCCCATACGCCTTGATTCTGGAATGCAGTGTGAATGGAGTGGTGTCAATCATGGTAATTCTCGGAGCCCCGGAGCTTGACAAGGTCGGTAAATCGAGAGACATCCAGGGGAACATTGTATCGGTCGGGATGGCCCTGGTTCTGGGACGGGCCGGGACGGTGACCGAGGCCGAAGCCCGCCCAATGCCCATCTTCAGAGGCTTCCCCCTTTTCGAGAGGGGATTGCAAGGTACAACTCGGGGCCGTTTTCCAATCGGACTAGTTGAGTGTAGTGCAGTGAAGGAGGATGTCCTGGGGATGTCCTGGGGATGTAGCTGTACTTCGTAGTGTAGGTGCATGCAGCTGGGAAGTCACGGGGATCGCATTTACCAACATCAATCTTACCCAATACGGTTAGACTGTCAGTCGCGTCGACGCGTACCCGGGACGATTCTTGCTGTCGACCACTGGTTATGTCAGCGGTTTATATCAGCTCACACCTGAGCCGGGAGGATCTACCCCCGGGTTCCAAATTTCACTTTCTTCCATTCTCCTTCCATTGATATTCCATCTTCCTCTTCAATGGATACCATCAACCTCTTTTGCATGCGCTGTGCAGCACCAATCCCTTCATCCGAGCTTTCAAACAACAATCGCCGGTTGCAGGGAACCCGCTGTCGGGATTGTGCTTCTGTCTACCGACGTGCCGGCATGCGATGGTTAAACAATACCCGATACTGTGACCTTTTTGCAGCCCCCTAACCCTCGATCAGCCGTTATGCGAGATGTTCAGACTGCCGAGTTAGCGGTCAAGTTGCCTCACTGCCGCAAGCAGCTGTTGGGGGTATCCGCCAATGTGATCAGTGCCAAGTTCCACTGCCTTCATATTATCAGAGCCGTCGGAGATGTGACCGTTGTTCTGGCCGTCGAAGACACCGTCAGGTGTCACCTGCTACTACTCTATCGACTACTCCATCGAGCCAATCTGGCCAGGAATTGGGTCCTAGACTTGCCCATCACATCTTGCCCCATCCCCTTTTCTGAGATGTATGGGGCGGTACCATACAAATAGGACGAAGCGAGATGGCGCATTAGATAAATGATTGGATGAAGCTAACCCCCCGTGGCTTTCAAGTCCTTTCAAGTTAAGTGCAAGTTCCTCGCAGAAACCCACAGTCGGCAACGCCTAACTAATCACGCTGCCTGTTGACTACATACTCTGTATGTGCTTGAATCAAAAGGAGGATATCTATACACGCGTCATAGATCTGCATCATCTTCATCCAGCGATCCCAAGTGGTATCCTGAACAACTATCTCTCTCTTGCGTATACGCATAAAGCTCTGATGCCATCGTGCGCCACCTGTTAACAGATTCAACTTTCCTTTTTCTAAGGACTTCGTCGACATCCAAATCGCCCATTGGCGATTGTAGGCCGCGTATCAAGTCCCACGTCCATGTATCTTCACCGAACGTATTCATGAGATTTAAAGGCATACGTTCAGTATGCCACGTATCGAGGAGAAGACTCGTGTCCTGAATCGCGTACCTGAACACTGATTTATATTGAGGGTCGTTCCTCCCACAAGGGTCTGGATTCGAGGTGCTAGGCATCTTGAATTGATGGGAATATGTTTTGTAAGAACTCCAGGCAACTCGGAAGTAAAAGTACTGTTCGGCCTTTTCCGCAGATCGGACCACTAAGTCGTATAGTGTATTCATCCGAAGGCCATCTCCGCATGCCTCTGATGGAAGGCTATACCTTTGCGTGGTAATATTGCTACGATCAGCAAGACTGAGGTCAATCCATTGCAATCCCATAATTGGAGGCTGCTGCACCAGCATTCGTCGCCAGCTTGCCGTTGGTCTCAGATATACTGTTTTGCTGTCGAGAAAATCTTGCATATCTCCGGCCCCGTATGCCATGGCGCAGGCTTTGAGATTATCGCTGGGGAACCAATAAGGAAATTTTGCTGCGAGTAATGGGTTCTGACGAGGTTTTTGGCATCTTTCTAACCCTGCGTTTGTGGGCTGGAAGAACAGGGCTTGTTGGATTGCAGAGGACTGTCGGATGCAGTTGACCCATTGTCGACATACTCGCTGCGCGAGCAGAAGGGTCTTTTCGTCTTTGACTCCTAGCAAAATAGCCTCGAGCAGCTCTAGAGGTAGACTTTCTATCCCCATTTTGGATCGGGGATGTTACTCTATCTCGAGATCTTGTCACTTGTCAGATGTTCAGCATTAAGCAGAGTCGTTGGGGGCTCAGAGAAGTATGGGTCACGGGAATCAGGGACACAGGCTAACTCCTAATTTGGACTAGTAGTTGCTACTAGTTAGCAGGTACAGTTTTCGGTAGTTGGGTAGCTTAGAGCGATTGGCCACGGTCTGCTACTATACAATACTACCCTGGGTATGTACTAGCCGCGAAACCAGACCCACCTCAACGATTTGCATTCTTAGTACTCGTATCTACTACTCCACCTTTTTCTGTATTGGGTTACCGGTCTTAGGATGATGCTCGGCGACGAGTTTATTATTACTGATAAATTATAATGACCTGGATGAGACCAAGGACATCACCTCGTGTTATTTATGACCGGCAACTCCATCGAGCCTCATTCTCAATGACTACTAATATGTATGATCTATTCATAGATTGGCCAGACCGTATCACGTGCCAATGTTAGTCATTCATACACGTGATCTATACATAAAACTTTAATCTTTTCTCCGGAGATGGCCAGTCACGTGGGGGTGCCACGCCTCTGGGCTGAGCAAAGCCTCGATGTCTGACACGGGGTGAAAGAACGGTTTTCAGCGACCGCACGACACGAGCACATTGTGACTGGTGCATCGGTTTATTTACCAATGGTTCAATAACATCTTCGAGGCTCAACAGGCCCATGAGGCAGACATGGCCGAGTCTGACAATGGACCAACGGGCCGAACCATTCCATCAAGCAAGCAAAGGCCTTGGTTGCCAACTTCTCTGAGGCGGCCCTACCTTTCTGCTCTGGCTCTCTTCTTTATTTTAATGGCAATTTCCATCGAGGCTCTTCGTCAGTACTCAAACCGTCACCATGGGCTCATCCATGTCAGGTCATACGAGGACCTCGCCCGGTTTACCTCAGGAGTGTACACCTATGTACCCACTGCTTTTGCCATTTTAGCTGTGGCGTTATGGAATGTATGCGCTTTGGATGTTCTACGATTGGAGCCATTTTTTCAACTCGCCAAACCCAACGGTGTCCCCGGAGACATTCTCTTCACGAATTACTGCTTCTTTTATGGCATCATGGCACCCATCATGGCGATCCGAAACCGACATTGGATTGTAGCGGCGGTGTCATCGACTTCAATTATTCTACGAATGATGTTGCCCTCCGTACTTTCTGGTCTCGTGGACCTCGATGAGCCAAACATCGTCTTCGCGAGGCATCTCGATACCTGGCCCAGCCTGGTGAGCCTAGAATCGCAAAACACTTTACTCGCGCACGCTGCAAACCATCTCGGGAATAACGCCTCAACTCATGTGGACACATTCTTTGCCTATCAAGTACCTGGTTATTCCATGCCGCCCATCTCAATGCCAGCACACTCCAGACCGGGCACGGGAACTTCAACCTGGGAACTCAATCAAGACATTTACTGGTCTGACATTAGTTGCGTGGAAGCTCAGCCCATCAAGGTCATTCCTGGGAAGATACTTGATTCTCAAGATGGCACGCCACTTTTGGAATGGCAAATTCGCAACTTGTCGCTTCGGAGCTCTTCGGGTACTGAAGCGGCTTCCAACTGTGAGATAAAAATATCTCTGAACAGCACCTACCCGCCCAACGATCGACTACCTCAGCTCATGTACTGGGAGCCTCTTGGCTCATACGGAAATTCCAGTGCCATTTTCACCTGGAACGGTGACGGATGTACGCCCTTCTCGCTCTTTGGAATCTACATCGATGTAAACCCCACATTGAACAATCTATCATCCAAAGCCAGTGTCTTCGGATGTACGAGCACATATCTACGCACCAATGCCGACATAACCCTGCCAGCAAACACTTCAATAGCCACTGCCACGAATATCTCTACCTCGACAACTTCTCTGACTTCTACAGATCTCGGCCTTGCAGAGTTCCAACGTATGCTTTTTACGAGGCTTTCTCTTGATGGTCGCAGGCGATTGGACCAAAGAGAATCGGACTTCGCCTCCTTCGCCGATGCTCAGTCCGATCGCATCAGTCTCACCCAGTATCAAAAAGATATCGGTGAGACTTGGAATCAACATTTTGTTGCCTCGATGAACCGATTTTTCAACACAACAGCCGATCCGAGTCGGATTGCGGCAAAGCACAGCACTTGGACCATCGTATATAGTGTCACATCTCAGACGGCCACTCTGGCGGAGGCTCTTTTGCTATCAGCAGCTTTGTTGCTTCTCGTGATGTTCTTTCTATACCCTCTACGGCCAAGCTTTCTTCGTTCAGATCCTGGCCCCATCGCAGCGCAATGTGCCCTTGTCACAGACATGTTCACCTCGCTCAACCACATCACAGATTCTGGAATGGATTTCTGCCGTGCAACTCCCCGACAACTTCGTCGGTTTTCTCGGTCTCTGTGGTGTAAATTGGTTGACGGGCCTAATGGCAAGCACATCGAGATAACCCCACGCCAGGGTCAGGCTGCAACAGTGGATAACCGAGCTCCGCGCAGGATGCAACTTAATACGCGGCCTCATTTCCTGACGCCTCTTTGGTTTCTGATAGAATGTCTGCTCATGACCGGTGTACTTATTACATTCGGAATAGCCTTTCAATTTATTCGATTGGATAAATTTGATACATCTGACTCTACAGGCACTACCGTGCTTTGGCTTTTCTTGGACTACGGCCCGACGGTTGTCGCCTCTATGATCAGCTCCCTCTTTGTCTCCGTCCACCGACACATCGGAAGCATTGAGCCTTGGGTCCAGCTCCGCGAAGGCATGGCTACGTCCAAAGAGTCATTGGCGGCTAATTTTGGCTCTCATACCTCTCTGACGATTTGGAGGCAGTTCCGTGACAAAAGACCGCCTCTCCTCGTCATTCTCTCTGTGATCTGTATCTTCGACTTTGGCCTCACCATCGCTAGCAGTGGAATGTTTGAACCCTCTGTCGATACATGGATGGACCATACAGAAGTTATCACCGCACAGTATAACACATCGGCTTTTGGCAACCCAAATATTCGCACCGAATTCAGCGGAACCAATTTGATTTCTGATGTTCTGCTCATCGGAAAGCCAATGCTCTCTTGGAATACTGCCAATCTGTCGTTCTACCCCCTTGGAATCGATGACCCTGACGCCGAATATGTCGATCGGGCTATCTATACCGCTCGAACGCGTGGTGTTGGGGTCGAGCTTCAGTGTGGCCAGGCATCTTACAGCCATAGCTCCTCCAATGCTTCGTTTTGGAACTACAATTCCTCCGTGGGCACAACAAAATCAAGTTGCACCGCGGAGGTGCAATCGCCAGTTGCGCTCGATACATCATCCAGAACATACAACGGATCGCTCTATTTCAGTGCTGCCCTAAATTCAAGTCGCGCATGTCAGAGGTCTTTCGCTGTTGGCCTAGAAGAAATAAACAATACTGAGATTGCCCATGGAGGCTTCGCAACCGTCTTCTACTGCAGCCCTAAACTCATACTTGGAGATTTCAGGTTGGAATTCGACCTTGATGGAGTCGTTTCTCACCACCAGCCTATACATGCCAGCTCGATCACCAGTGGACAAATGTTCCAAAATGCATCGGACAGCCTGTCATCATTCAATGATGCTTTTATGCGATATGCCCAAATCGACAACTCTTGGAACGCGCTTGTGACATCCCAAGTCTACAACATTCTTGGTTCTGGCTCGGCTTCTCGAGGCTCTTCTTCGCCACATTCTCACTCCCACCGGCCTACTCACAAACACCATCATAATCTTCTCCCGACAACCGAGTCCCAGAAGCAGGCGCTTGTCATGCGCACTGTGCAACTTGCGTATCAGACAGCTTTCAGTAGCTATATAAGTCTCCAGCGGGATCTCTACCTTTCTCCTCTCACGTCTTCGGGAAACACTAATACAAGTGTGCCCGCTACTGTTACATTTGCTGCATGGTACATTGAACCGTCCAACATAACAATTGTTGTAATCATTGTTATTCTTTCCGTCGATCTTGCCATCCTCATGGGTGTCTTCTGGCTACGTCATGGGCATTATTCCGGTCCGCCCTTTCCTCGTTCAATCGGATCTTTGATCCCCTGGGTCCTCCACAGCAGAATGTTGAACGATGTGCGCGGTACCAGCACCTGGAGTGAAGAAAAGCGCAACGAGCACCTACAAAAGCTAGGCCATCGGTACAAATTTGGCAACCTAGGCAGTGCCGACGGTCGGGTCGGTCTTGATTACGACGAGAAGCCTGCGATAGAGGAAGAGGATCATGAATTGGCTACATTTGGGCCGCCCCGGCGATCCAGAAGCAGCGAGCCCGATATTCATTTGGCAGATGATGGCGGGACTTTGTTAAACCATTCTGCACATAGTTCAGGTACATAGAACTTGCATTTATGAACATTAGATTTCACCATATATTACATCAACTTGGTTTACAAACGCTACCGGCTGTACCAACTTTCTCGTTTTTAATCAAGAGAAAGCATAAATATAATCGTATAAATTAGAATTTCTATTTTACTCCAGTACTCCGATCTTGCGATCTTCTTCACCTGACCCCCAAATTGTCGATTTGTTCCATTCTATTCCATGCCGACCCCGAAATGTTGATTAAAATTTAGATGAATTGGAAAGCGAGATTAAACAGTGAAGTTGGCGTCAATCCCGCGTAGTTGTCTCAACCGGCATGCCGATTTGCTTTTAATGGCGCTTGGCAGGGCCGGTGGCCTTGGGGATGGAAGATGACCAGGCCTCTGCTTGGGCGCTCTGGATGGCTTGAAGGTCCGGGTTCAGCTGTTTATACAAGCTGGCCTGTGCGGTTCCAGTGGCTTGGAGGTAACTGGAGTAGTCCGCGAGGTATTTCGACTCGGCTGCCTGTACGGAGGGAGCGGGGGTATAACTGGCGTAGTTTGCCGATACCGAACTCGGGATTGCTGAAAATGTGGAGGACGGGGCCAAGCTTGTGCCGGAATTTTGAGCTGGCAAG